GCCTACCTACCTTATAGACACCTTCCGCTATAGCTATATCTATATAAAACTTTTATTAGGACACCCTTTTAGGGACTTAGTTTAATAGTACTAGTAGATTAATATAGTCCCTTTCTTTAGAATTACTAATCTCCGTACGATTCTTCTAATAGGCGGCCCTATCGTATAAATTTCTTCTTATTACTAAGAAGATAATATACTCTAAATATTATATAGTTCTAATACTTAGAGATACTACGATCGACTTAGTTAAGCTAGGCTTTTAGAATATCTCTAATTTTCCGATAGAATATAGATTAGTATATAGAGTACTAGTAGAGTAATATATATATAGATATACCTTATATATTAAATAAGCTTAATAGCCTCCGGTTATTCTTTCCTCTCCTTCTTACTCTACGCTACCTATTTTAAGTATCTATATACTTATATCCCCCTTTCCTATTATCTAATTAGATAGGTCTACTATATTCTAGTTTAAATCTACTATTAGATATCTACGTAGCCTATAATTTCGATAAAGTTATAGGTAACGTATTTTTTTAGATTAAGAGCTAATATTATACGGGTATACTCGCGTAATAAAGATTACTATATAGAGTGCTAGTAGATACGCATTATTAAGACTTCCTCCGCAATTCGCGAAATCCCGAAATCCTAAAATCCTGAAATCCTAAAGTCCTAAAATCCTAACTGAAATGTCCGTTATGTAGATCCGGAGCTCCGTCGTCTGGCATCCCAATACCGTCGACAGTGTACACAAGGCCAGGATGCTACTGCCGTACACCACCGGCAACATGACGCCGCAGAACCAATTGCATTCGGCAGACATCCTCCTCGGCGTCTCCCGCTCCGTCGAGATATCTTTTGCCAAGGAATCCACGCCTGATCATTTCCTGTTCCTGACGCTCCCTTCATGTCGCGCCTGCAGGTGACAACCGGGATGGCCCAGCGAGTTGGTGTCATCATCCCCTCGCCCTCGTCTCCACCGCAGCTTCATCATGATGAACGTCGGATCCCCGACTGCTGTGCCTGCGTGCCTGCAAGACACCCATTTCTCCTCTCCACACCCACATGTTGCAGCTGCCGGATGCGGAAGGGGAGCGACATGTCGTCCCAACTCCTCCTTCGAGTTGCGATCAACCGCGGGGCTCCTCGCCAGCACGCACAACGCCTCCCTCGTGACCCTCCTCGTGCTGCATGTTGACCATCTTTGCCCCAGGCAGTTTCAAGCCTGCAGCAATCTCCTATTTTCCAATCCAACCAGGATTTGCAGGCACATATCCAACCTTGGCCCAAGTCCAACTACTAGGTAAGTCATCCGAAGCAACGGAATGATTAATAACGAGGTACGTACGAGTGGGCATCCGTTCTCATCTCTGTCATGCGATAGCTTGCTCCAGACATTCCTCTTTTCCCGGCCCACTTCCCGTTGCTCGCTCTTCACCCCCCGCTCTCGTCCTGTTCCACCTCAACTACCATCATTGGCGCTTCTGCCGGACACATCTGGACCACATCTCTGGACCACATATCTTTTACATAATGCGTTCGCTTTCACTCATAGCAGCGGCGGCAACGACTGTCGCTGCCTTGCCCTCGACACAATGGGGCCTCCCAAGTTGGCGGGGAGGAAATCGTGGATATAACGACAGTTCATGTCCCGAGTCTGAGCAAGAGGCAGCACAGCGCGCGGCCGCAGTGAAAGAGATGTTCCAGTTTTCGTGGGATGGATACTACAAGTAAGTCTGGAACGGAGAGTCCCCTCGTATGACAGCAGACTGAGACCAGGCAGATACGCGTTTCCCAACGACGAGCTGTTGCCGGTGAACAACAGCTTCAGCAACTCGCGGTAAGCAAGAGCAAAGTGTGTGTGAGAGCTCGGCCTGACACGTACAGTAATGGTTGGGGAGCTTCTGCAGCAGATGCGCTGTCTACCGCGATTGTCATGGGCAACAAAGAGGTCGTGAACCAGATCATTAACTACGTTCCCAAGATCGACTGGTGCGTCAGCTACCAGGATGAGCAAGTGAGCTTGTTCGAAACAACCATCAGATACGTCGCCGGTCTCCTTTCTGCCTACGATCTCTTGAGCGGACCAGCTGAGAATCTGGCACAAGACCCGAGCAAAGTTCCAATCCTCCTCGCCCAAGCACGCAATCTCGCCAACAACCTGACCTTCGCCTTTGACACCCCGACTGGCATTCCCTATAATACTCTCTATTTGAGTAATCACAGCAACGACGGTTCGGACACCAATGGCTTGGCGACGATTGGCACGCTGGTGTTGGAATGGACTCATTTGTCCGATTTGACTGGAGACGAGTCATATGGACAAATGACACAGCGAGCACAGAGCTATCTCCTCAACCCGCACCCGCAGCCTTTTGCAGAGCCCTTCCCTGGTCTTCTTGGTACGGATGTTAGCATTGCGAATGGCAGCTTCTTAGACAACGTCGGCGGATGGAACGGCGGAGACGACAGTTTCTACGAGTATCTGATCAAGGTACATCTAAGCCCTCTTACCTGGAGAAGGGTCCGAGACTGACCGTTTGTTCTGTAGATGTACGTCTACGACTCATCTCGATTCAGCACCTACAAGGACCGGTATGTTCCCCCTTTTCCAAGAGACGCTTGGAGAACCATCACTAATATAACGTCCAGCTGGGTCGCAGCCGCCGACAGCACCATCGAATACCTCGCCTCGCACCCCTCTACCCGCCCGGACCTCACCTACCTCGCCGCCTTCGAAGGCCGCCAACTCGATTTCTCCTCGGGCCACCTCGCCTGCTTTGACGGCGGGAATTTCATCCTCGGAGGCCTCGTGCTCCAAGAACAGAGATACGTCGACTTCGGCCTGCAACTCGTCAACTCGTGCGAGAACACGTACAACCAGACCTTGACCCAGATCGGACCCGAGAGTTTCGGCTGGAATGCGTCCGAGGTCCCCGCGAACCAGACTGCGTTTTATCGGCGAGCGGGCTTCTACATTACCTCTGGTGCTTATGTCTTGCGCCCCGAGGTCATTGAATCCTTCTACTATGCTTACCGCGCTACGGGGTCGAGGATCTATCAAGATGTACGTTGTCCCCCTCCCTTTTCCCTCCCCGGGGGGGCGCGCCCCCCCCCCCCCCCCCCCCCCCCCCCCCGGGCCCGCCCCCCCCCCCCCCCCCCCCCCCCCCCCCCCCCGCCCCCCCCCCCCCCCCCCCCCCCCCCACATTGAAAACGTCAACGCGCGCGGCGGCGGCGGTTTCTACAATTTCCAGGAATCCTTCTGGTTCGCCGAAGTGCTGAAGTACTCGTACCTGATCCACGCGCCGGAGCATGTGTGGCAGGTGAATTTCCGGGGCCGGAATCAGTACGTCTTCAATACCGAGGCGCATCCCTTGCGAGTTGCTGGGGAGCCGATATGAGATGATTTGATATGGAAAGCGTGAGATGGTGATGATGGAATTTGAAATCATGATGGGTGTTTTTTCTTTCTTTTCTTTTCTTTCACAGGGACAGGAAGTAAGTATCTTCTTCTTCATAAGAGAAACAAACAAACAAGCAGACTTCTGTGTGTGTGTGAGAGAGAGAGAGAGAGAGAGAGAGAGAGAGAGAGAGAGAGAGAGAGAGAGAGAGAGAGAGAGAGAGAGAGAGAGAGAGAGAGAGAGAGAGACAAACGCTCAGCGCGGAAAACAAAGAAGCACCCAGGAAAGCAAGCATTCATCCATCATCACTCCACTCAGCTCAATTCTTCTTTTGGATTTCATATCAGCCATGAGGGAACACTAGACAGTCCGTGGAATTTCCTCTTTCTTTGGATCGATGCCAATGCAGCAGAAACGACTCCCGCTCAACGCGTGGCAAAATGCATGCTCCTCACTTTGCGCTCCTCGGGCGATGATTAACATATGCCTTTGCTCCGTCAAATCCAGCACACACACACACACACCCATTCTAGTCTCGTCTCGTCTCGTCTCGTCTTAATGTTCTGCGAGGTAATTCATAGCACCCCCCCGCCCCGACCCCAAAATGTTCAATCACAACAAAACGCCTCTCCATGCCCACCCACCCACCCAGTCTATCCCACATCCCATAATAAAACGCCTTTCCGAATGGCCGACCGAAGAATGAAGACAGTGCAAGTGGTTTTTTTCTTCGTCAAACACTACCGACCCTGCGTCCTGCCTCGTCGAAAGTAATCATAACTCGTATATTCTTCCCCCTCACTCTCCTCGTGGCCGGGAGTTTCCATCTGCCCGGCTACATGGCCGTACCGCACGGGTCCGTATCCTGCCCCACCGGGAGTGACGGCGGCGGGCGTGCTGTGGCCCATGGGCATCGCGGTGGTCATGAGCCCGTCGCGGCTTTCTTGCCGTGCGAGATGATGATGATGCCGACCGGCGAAGCCCTCCGTCATGCCGGCGGGCGATTGCTCGCGGAGGTGGGAGGGGGTCTGGTGGTAGCCGCGAGGGTATTCGACGCCCGCGTCGGGCACCTTTGTGCGTTCGGAATCGCGGGATTCGCTGCGGCTGCGGGTGTAGGGGTCGCGAGAGCCGCTGGCGCTGCGCAGGGCGGCGGTGTAGGAGGAGGACCGGTCGGTGCCGGTGCGGGTGACGCCGGTCATGATACTGCTGGGTGTGCCAGGCCGCATGAGATCTCCCGTCTCGTCGCGGAATTCAGGTCGATTCTTGAAATGTTCGAAATCCATTTCGCTTTCATTGACGACTTCCCAGCCTTGGAAGGCACTGCCGGCGGACTTGCCTGGGTGTCGTGCGTCCATGCTGTCCATGTAGACATCGCTGTACCCGGCCACCGTCGAAGTATCCTCCATGGATGTTCGCCCCGTGTAAATGTCCTTGAGTAGATGCTGACTCTTGGCAGCTACCATAGGCGTGATAAGTGGCCGGTAGAGCACAGGATGGCCGAACTTCACGCCCACTTTGTCGCCCTTGCGTTTCTTACCATCGGCACCACCAGGCTGAGATTCGGAATCGAGCATACCTTTGCCCTTCTGGTAGTAATGGATCTCGTCATCAAACGTACGCTTGCAATACCACTTGAAGCCCAGACAGAGGAATGGCAAGGGAACCAGCGACGCCAATTTCTCCCACTGCCAGTCAATTTGGCCCGAAGCAGCAATCACCAACGCAATCACGACGTTTCCGAAAATGGCCAAGAAGACGATCCGGTTGAACACCGAGCGCCAAAACATACCGCCCGATTCGTATTTGGTGATGAAGACGTAGAGAAGCAGATACTTCTTCATGAAGCTGTCCATCCAGAAGTAGAGAGCCGTGACCGGAAGGACCAGAGGCTGGATGGTAGCAAAGCACACCGTGACCGTCGCGTAGAACAGAAAGTAGTTGTAGTAACTGGCGTAGTCAAACGGTTGCGGAGCGGAAAGCTCGATCAGACGTCTCGGCGTCGGCGAGAGGAAGCGTCTCGAGAATGAGCCCCAGACAAGCGTCCACATCTGACTGAGATCCACGGCCGCACCCAGGTTACGCTGCAACAGCCATGAGATCCAGTACGTCGAGACCTGGCACAGACCGACCATGAGGACGTTCAAGGGCTGGGCCTCGGTATAGCTTGCCCCGTTGATCAGGGTAATGATCAGCTTGAATACAGCCGAGAACAGCGAGAAGACAACCAGATTGTTAAAAGTGAAGAAGTTGTAAAGACTCCGAGCCACATGTCGCTCTCTGCTCGTCTTGCTGATATCTCCGGCATTCATGCAGAGTCTCCGGAAAATCGAGGGCAGGTAAAAGTAAAAGGCAGTCGTGATGGCCGGGGAAACCACACCCTGCACAACAGCCCACCAAGTCCGATGCGCGTTCAAGCTAGTCTGGAAAGTCGGCCAGAGAGCGCCCAGGTTGGACAAGTTGGATAAGAAGACCGCAATCAAGACGTTGGGCACGACCCAGAGACCCGTCAATATCGTGATCCACATGCCGTTCAGGAAGTTCTGACGGCTTCGCTGCCTCTTGGACATTTTGAGGTTCTTCCAGACCAAGTCGTTCGGCCTGGGGGCAAGACGGATGATCGTGCCCTGAGGTGCTTTCTTCCTGGCTGCGTACGCCACGCCGTGTGCGACTGGTATGTTTTCGTAGCTAGCGAAACCATAGGGCATCGCATTTCGCTTGTCCACCGTCTGGCGCACCTCGCCAATTTCACGCTCGAGCTCTCGGATCCGGCCGGTCAAGTACTCGATAGCATCCACCTGCTGCCCCTTGGGATAGCTTCCATACGCCTTATCCTTCTTGTGCGGCTTACAAGTCGGCCGCTTCGGAGGTAGTCGATCCGGATTCTTCAAGTACTTGGCCAAATGCTCCTCCAGCTGCTTGACCGTTTCCTCATGCTCTTCAACCAATTCTGGGAGATCCTTCACGTTCCTCGCAATCGCGGTCCTCGGCATGTCATGTGTAGCCTTGACCTCGTCCGTGATCCTCGCAATGCCCTCATCAGATCTCAGCTCTTGCGGGATATCCGTGACCAGCAAAGTCCTCGCATGCAGGCTCCTCTGGTACTCCGGGCTCTCGAAATACGCCCTCCGCAGCCTCGACACATGGCGGTAATTCAGCCAGAGATAGAAGCAAATCACCGCATCAAAGAGATATGCCACAAAAACATAGGCCCAGAATCCCGAACTACCGTACATGTACTGCGGCTGCAGTCTCCCGAATATGCTGATGCCCTTGGCATAATCCTGCTTGCTCGAGCCGATGAGATTGACAGGAATGACAATTCCGCATCCAATGATTGTCAAGACGGTGAAGATGTTCCTCATCATACGGCAGACTCTCATAAAGATGGCCGCGTCGAGTCCAACACGTTCTACCAGATCCTGCTCCTTCGTACGGATGAGGGGCGGTATCCAGCCAAAGAGGCCCTTGTTGACGGGCGGAGGGGCATGCCTGCTGTCGGCGTATTTGGCTCGCGGAGCGTAGACGAGGCTGTTGAACGGGCGGAGGAAACAGAAGAGGAGGGCGATCAGTGTCGCGAGGACAAGCGAGAAAGCGAGGGAGGAGACGGTCGCATCGGTCGCGAGCTGTTCACGTGTGTCAGCTACGAGTGCCAGAAGAGGGATGAGGATTGGAGATGGCCACTTGCCTGGGAAGAAAAGGGATCCGAGATCTCTTTCAAGAACTGATTAGAAGCCGAATCGGCTCGCGCAGACAGCGCTCGAGACATGGTGTCGGCGTGCTCCGGTCCCAGTCGCTATCTTGCCTTTCGACACCAGGAACTGGGAGAAGATCCACTCAAGAGGCACGCCCTTGGAGAGTCTAGTGTTGATCAGAAAAGGCCGTAACGACAGTTCCGGTCAATTCCGTTGCCGATGAGAAGAGAAGAAGAATGGACAAGGAAATGCGCGAAACACGAGGCACGAAGAGGAAATGTGTCGCAAGGTGTGTGTGCGGTTGTGAATCACTCGTCGCTTTGTCTCCGATCCCCCAAGGGAAGAAAAAAAAAACGAATGACGATAGGCTTCAAAGCCAAATACGAGAAGTCTCTTGGTCTCCAGGTCGGTTGAGAGGAGGAGGAGGATGAATGGCACCACGCCTAGGCACGCGTTCCCCGGAGTGAGCTCTCCCCACAGTATCAAATCTGTTCACAAGGTACCACGCAGCAGTCCGTCACATGATGCATCACATTGTCGAGGGTAGCGTGACGTGAGTAGGAAACTTCTTGTGACGCCTCTCAAAGCACAATGATGATGTTCAGGGTTCATCACACCCGCACACAGCGGGACCGAGGCCGTGGACACGCGTACGAGCGATTTAACTTCCAAGACACATGGCGGATGGAGTTCCAATTTTGGTAAGCCGTTTCAGCAGGGCATGAGCTTGTGAGTGAGGTCAGCGGCTATTCGAGAAGCGCGTCCCAATGCTTCCTCATGTTCCTCTCTTTTCTTCGCTCCGTGATGCCAGCAGGCGCTTCGTGATGCAGTAGTACTACAGTCGGTTGTTCACGCATGCGGAAGGATTTAGATGTCGGGATCAGGGGATCAAAGACCAGCAGTTCGCCGCCGGTACCTGCGTGGCCGTGTGCTCGAGCGAATTGTAGATCATACATCTCTATCCGAGTCGCCCTGCCGAGAACGGGTGAGAGGAGTTCGACAGGAGCCGCTTGCCGGTCGCCGCTCACCGCTCACCGCTCAACGCTGCAGAGAGAACCTTAGGGACGGAAAGACCGGCAACGGCAGGAACATGTAAGCCCAGCGGCGTCACGTCACGCGACTGGAGTCAGCCAGGAACAGGAAAGAGAGAGAAGGAACAAGCAATGGAAGGCACAGAGAACTGCGATCAAATCCGTCCTTGTTGTTTGCTCGCGCTATAGTACACACTCGTCGCCGCTGGGGTCATCAGTTGTCGCACCGTACGTAAACCCCTGGTATCATCATTCCCATCCATTGAGCAAAGAGACGCTGTTCGCGGCTGTCGTGTCGACGCAATCCCATCAAGGAGATCCCACTAACCCGAAGCCTGCCAAACATGATCTGAAAAGACTGGCCAGCAGAGAAGCCGGGTCAGTGTGAAAAGGCAAGTGGTCGAGATGAGAGAAGAGAAGAGAGGCGGGCGCCTACTCCTCGTCCTCGTCATCGTCGGCGGCGACGCCCTGGGGAGTGGTCAGTGGAGATCCATGACGAGCCGGAGACAATTGGCACTCACCTGAGTGTAGGCAGCCTTCTCCTCCTCGTAGCGCTTCTTGTCGGCAGCAGCCTTGGCCTGGTAGGGGGCCTTCTGCTTCTCGCCGAGGGCCTTCCACTTCTCACCGAGGATCTTGCCGACCTCACCTGCGCAAATCATGTCAGTGACGGCGCGCGACAGCAAGTAGTCGGAGCAGCTTACCGAACTTGATGCCCGGGTTGTCGTCGCGAACCTTGTCGCGCTGCTCGTTGGCGAAGAACATGTAGGCAGAGAGACCGCGCTTTGGCATGTTTGGGTCTAGATGAGGTCAGTCAGTCAGCGTCGGAGACGCGTCGCGTCGCGTGCGTGAGGGAGGGTGATGAGGAACTTGCCCTTCTGCTTCTTGCCGCCGTCAGCCTTGCCGCCGGCCTTCTTGGAGTTGCGGGTGGTGGTCTTCTCCTTCGGCATGGTGTCGGTGGTTGGAGTGAGTTGGTTGGGTACTGCAGTTGCGGGTGTTTTGTCAGTGGCGTTCGAAGCAGAATGCGAGCGCGATCACGGGGAGAGTGGTGCTGGAGTTGTGCGATCGTTGTGTGAAGAGTGCGCGTGTTGATGAGTGGGTGGCCGCTGTTGGGAGGCCGGCCGCGCTGCGGGCGCAACACCTCGTGAGACGTCGCGAGTGAAGCTGAAGAAGCGATGCGTCGTGCAGGAGCCGGGAACGACTTACCGAGTTTGGGTTTTGCAGTGGTGGATGTGTCGGGGGTGTGGTGTTGGTGAGCTGGGCGACGCGTGTTAGCTGGTGGTGGTGGTTGTTGACGGGGCCGACGACGAAGATGAACAACAACAACAAGGCGTCGACCATCGGGCGCGAGTTGACGCGGGATGCATCTTCACGCGCCGCACGGGGCGACGGAGGGCGACGACAACGCGGTGAATTGCGCAAGATGTTGCGGGAGAGGGTAGAGAGGGTGACGGGGCATTTGGGGCGTGAAACACCAACATACCTGTACTCGAGGGCTGCTGTGGTGGATTTTTGGGGGAGGGAAATGGGGGAGAGACGTGCTGGGTGAGGAACAGCAGAGAGGCGGCGTGAGAGCAGCAGCAGGTGGCAGGTGGGCGACGGCGCAGACACGGAGCTCGAGGCCCCAGAGCTCTCCCTCTCTCAGCACGGAAACAGCGCCTGACGCCTGACGCCCGTGCGCATCGTCACGTGATCATCCACCCACAACAACACAACACACACACACACAACACACGCAACACGCAACACGCACCACGCACCAGCACCGCGCCAACCAACGCGAGGCACTGCTGCTGCATTAATCAGGATAATAATGAAATTACCCAAAACTCTATTATCTAATCATCGTATTAATCACACAACTAGTACTTCACCATCGCCCTTTCCTTCACCGCACCGCACTGCGTCCATCGCACCTGCAGATCATCGTGTCCGCGGACAGGTCGCCACTGCCCCTTCTCGCATTCACATAGACACACGTCTTCACGTGCTACGCTAGTCCCCTTTCGGAAGCTGCAGCTGCGCCCGTCCCTCACTCCGACCTCCACCTCCACCTCCACCTCCACCTCCACCTCCACCTCCAACATCATTCCCCATCATCGCGCCCGGGTGGCGTCCATCACTGCCCGCATACCTTACTGACTGCAGCCTCCTCCAGCAATCGATCGCATTTCTCCGTCTGCGCAATCATTGGTGACCTCCACACTCGTACATCACACTCGGCTGCTATACAAAATTTTGCTTGTCTGCCACTGCTTCCTCCTCGTGCAGCCCATGCAGCCCATGCAGCACGGCTCGGGACACACATCCGGACCATGGTACCTCACCACAGACGCACCGTGTGCTCATGACGAGTGACTCTCCGCGCGCGAGCATTGCATTTCCAGAGCTCCCACCTTCTCGACACATCCGACTCAATCATCCATCAGCAACGCAAACGGGTTGTTGTCTCCGCTTGCATCCTCCTGTCCACTCCCTTCCTTTTCCCACTTCGTCCACTTCGTCTTCTTCCTCCTCTTCTTCTGCACCGGTTCCTCGTCTGTATCCTTCGCCTCAAAGTTCGCCATCAGTTCCGGTATCACCCGTACCCATGACTGTTGCTCCTGGCTCTCCTCAAAGAACTGTCCAATGCGTGGCAAGGTGGAGAGCCGCGCACGCACAAGAGAAGCTACGTCTTTGGCGATGCTTCCGTGCGCCACCACATGAGATGCTATCTGATGGAGGATGCGAAGGGAGTAATAGGCGGCTTGGTACTCGGCGCTCAGATGGACGAGATGCCAAGCTCGAAGACGCCCTTCTGCTCTTCCCTGCACGAGCTGCTGAGCCTCTTTGATCCCGGGCAACGAGTGGCCTCCCGCTTGGGCATATTGACAAGTCTGGCTGAGAACGACGCTTCTGCACGTGTCCGCGTCGCACAGATCCTGCCCCTTCGCCCATTCGAAGAACTCGTCAAAGTAGGCACATGATGCGCGCAGTTGTTCCTCCGTCTCCTCTAGAGATATAAGCTCCATCAGATTGCCTGTGATTCTGCTGCCACTGCGTCTATACTCTTGAGCTCCCTCGCTTTCGAGGCCCTCGCAGCGCAGAAGCAGGCTGTACGCCAAGGCTCGAATGTTGGTGCCCACGTTCCACGCACTCGCTCGCCCAGGGTCGTCGATGAGGAAAGGCAGATACATCTTGACTCCGCCCTCGAGTGAACCAGCTCTCAGTGATTGCGTTTGGCAGATGATTTCGGACACCCGAGAATCGCAAGCAGCCAAATTCCTCTTCTTGGAAGAGTCCGTAGTAATGCTTAGCCACTCCGTCTTTTCTTCCGTTGTTTGAAAGCCCCTGCCAAAAGCCTTGAAGTCTTCGCGATCGCTCGGATCCTTCTTCTTGATCCTCAGCAGCGCCTCGTCGAATGTGCAGTATGGATCCTCCGACATGAAGAACGCCGGCTTGACGAGGTCTTCTAGCAGTACGGATGCTTGTGCTGCTATTCGAGTGGGCCAGTATACTTCTGCGGACCGAGTCGTGCCGGATATAGTCTGTTCATCGTCCAAATCTCGAAAGGGGGCGACACAGACGCTTCGTTGGCCTAGGTTGTAAACCAGCAGGTCTGAGTCGTCCGAGAAGATCGTGACAGTGGTTTCTGAGGCTACAGAAGCGTGAGATCAGCGAGTATTCAGGCACAACAATGCTAGATAGACGATTGAAAGGCTGCCCGGTGGCTCAGGCGAAGCCATTCTACGGGGATGCGAAAGGGTCAAGCACAACAAGGTGAGAAATACGGTTGAAGGGCTACCCAGTGGCTTAGGAGAAGCGATTTCACGGGGATGATCACTCTTCAATAGCATACCTTCATCCGAGACCTGAATCGCTGCTATTATGCAGTATGGATCGGCCTCACCCGGCACAACGTACGTGACATGACCGTACTTGCTCTGTCGGAGCTCTTCGACAACCGCGAAGACAAGAAACGGCGGTGGTGGAAGCCGCTTTCTCGCGCGGCCATCTAACAGCATCCCAGCCTTGTCCGATTGCTTGTACACGTGAACCTTTTCCGCGTACGCTTGCAGACGGCCGATCCGGACGCTCCGCTTTGCGTGAGGCAGTGCGCCGTCGAAGAGGATGGCTCCACTAACCTCGATGTCAGGAAAGGGTCTTGTATCTCCGCGAAGCAACCAGAGGTTGTGCCTTCGGAGTGGATCTTGATCTCTTCTCACCATGCGGCTTCATGGAGTTGTTTCCCGCCGAAATCTCGAATTCCCGCCTGACATCTGAAGAGGTGAATGTGGGCTCATACTCACATCTTCATCCCGATCGCCTGGGTGAGGTCTAGCCACTCCAAGGCGGCTTGCGCGCATTCGGTGTATGTAATGGGCTTCTGGGAGCCTTCTCGCTTGCCGCACAGGCCGTAGTATACATAATGCGCCAAGCCAGGGCCGTCGACTATCGCGACTGCATCTCTCGCCGGATCACTCGTGCTTCCGAGGTGAGTTCGCTGTGCATATGCGCTCATTCGGGAGCCGAAGCCTTTGATGCCCATGTCTTTGCATGTGAACGTCAGAACAGAAGGAGATGGGCCAGTCGCCACTCAGAATTGAGAACCAAGAAAGTGAGAAATGTGTGGTTTCTAGCACTTACCGTTCGCGTGCTTCACATTGGTTCTTCTCACCTTGAGGTGTGGCGAGGAAGGGAGGAGTGTTGGTTGTCACGAAAGAGAGTCGCGAACTCGATCGGAATTTTGTGCCTTCTCCACATGGCATCACGTGGGACGCGTCGCTTTCGCTCCTCCCTCGCATGTCGTCTCCCGTCCGAACATTACCTTAACATTCCAATGTCAAGACCTCACGATGTCGCGGGCCTACAACAAGAATCCCAAGCAGACATCATCGAAGGCATCATCGTCTCAAATCCCGGCACCGTTTACGAAAGCACCAGCGTCGATCGAACCTTTCCTGACCAGACTTGATCCGGCCAAAGTCCACATCACACACATCGATCGCCTGCCGGCAGACCAGAAGCGGAAGATCTTCTACATCCCAGTCGTTCTGAATGCAGTCATTGCGTTACTGCTAACATGGCGGATCTACGTTGCTCTGCCCAAGTACTGGGCACTCGGCCAGACACTGCTTGGCTATGTCACCTCATACACGGTCAATCCTGAGACGACGACACGAGGCCAGCAGATCCGAATCCTACTCCGACGAACGCTCATGTTCGCCATGGACTTCCTGCTCTTCCGCTTCATCGGGCCTTGGCCTCTCACGTTCTTCGCCGAACAACCCGCCAATCCGACCTCATGGCGATGGAATCTAGGGTTCCAAAAAGAGGAAATCATCGTCCGAGTAAGCAGACACTGGGGAGCAGAAGAGCTCGTGCAAGGCGTAAAGCAAGGCGAGCAGAATCCGTTCTTCAAGACGAGGATTCTCCCGGCCATTGAACCGGCGTTCATGAGAAAGACGGGATACTTGATGATGGATAAGGACTGGGATCTGGAGTTCGAATTGATGTTGGACGCACATACTCTGGCAAAGCAGGGAGAGCTCGCGATGGACGACCTGGACAAATTGGTGCTCGCGTTCCAAGAAGGGACGGGGTGGCTCGCGTGGAGGTGGGAGGGAGCAGACGACGTGGTCGAGGGGAGGAGAAAGAAGGTGGTGGCTTTCAAAGAGACGCTCACCGCGATGGGCAAGGAGAGCCTGTTCTGGAAATGGACGGAGATTGTGGAAGAGGAGCGGGATGCGGACGGTGGCTTCACAATCGAGAGGCAGGAAAAGGTCGCGAAGAGGGTGCAGCATGAATTCGAGAAGAATGGCGTGGACTTTGACGAGGTGGTGAAGAGCATAGGCGGACTTGGCGAGATTTCCTCGAACGCTACTTGATCAAACCATGTCTGTCTGGACAAGATTTCTACAAAGCAACGAAAAGCAAAGTTGTCGGTCGATATCCTATCAAGTGTCACTGCGCTTCGAAACGGTGATAATCACAGCACCCGAATTCAGAGAACGGAGTTGGAGCCACAAGATGCCATCGACTCCGATCTACTCACGTGGTAGCCGATGCAGTGGGTACGTACCTACCATCGCCAGGGATCAGAAGAGCGACCGCAGGTCACTTTGCAGACGTCTTCTAGCTCAGTCCTTTACGCCATTTTCCTGCTACCTCCGAAAACAGTCGTCGCGACAATCATTGAAGACTTGGTCAAAAAGACATCGGACCACACAAAGATAGTGAATGACTTTGTCCAAGAGAAGAACCTTGGATTTGGATTCGACGTCGAGTCCTCTCCGGCGTTTCCAAATGATGCACCCGCTGAGGTCTCGAAGGCAAGAGGAATTGTTACAGAAGCTACCCAGGAGCTTAATGATCTCTTGACTGGTCCATCGGAGCACCTGCGTTGGCTTCCCACGACGCGTATGAGTCGTACCAGCGAGCGTGTGTTACCCTTCGGCTGAGCACATACGCTTGCTCCTGGTACCACGACCTCTCTAGTCTTCGATATATCTACCATCCCACTTTGGCTGAGCACATCCCGCTGGACCGATCTGTGTTTGTCCAGGACGTTGGACGCAAGGCAGGCGTCCACACAAACCAGGCGGAACGTATTCTGCGCTATGCCATGACCAACAATCCGTTCTGTGAGCTGGAACCTGGTAAGGTGGCTCGTACGGTTGGTTCTTCTCTGCTCGTCTGCGAGCGATGCATCCCTGACTGGGTTGGCTACTGCACAGAGGAGAGCTTTCCATGTTTTGCAAAACATGTCGAAGCAACAGAGCGATGCGGCGCTCCCGTCAGCCCTACCTACCCAGTCTACATATCAAGTGGCATCCGACACGGACCTGGCCTTGTTTGAGCACATGTTACAATTCGCTGAGAGAGCCGAACGTTTCGTGAACGTCATGATTGAGATGACTACCTCGGATGGATCCGATGTTCGGCACTTGGTCAATGGCTTTGCATGGGATGAACTGCCGAGAGGTAGCAACGTTGTCGATGTATACTCGGGATTTCAAATTCTTTCAATGCTGTTCTTACTGACTGGTGGAAAGTTCACTGGCTCTGTTGGACAGTGTTCGATTGCCACTTCAGAGAACGGCCAAAACCTACACTCCATCGTCCAGAAGGCGACCCGAAATCGTCGTCTAAGGAGAGAAACAACTTCAAAATCTCCCTGATCAGCAAATTCACATCCGCATCAGGTTCCAAACTCACGACACGTCCACGCCACAGCCCGTGAAGGGCGCCGAAGTGTATAAATGATGAGGTCCATCCTCCAAATCATCCAGACTCCGTCGCCAGTGAGATCCCACGCAGCCATAGTGCGTGCACTACAGCAGGGTAGTAGGTAGGATCCTTGTGATGCAAGGCGTCATGCGACCGGCACATGTGCTACCGAAGAGCGGAGGGCGTGTCATGAGGATTATGGACCTGGAGATGATGAATGACTACGTTTAATTCCAACGAGAGCGAACAGGCTGATTGGGAGGCTCTCTTTTCCCTGCCGCTGACTCACGACTACAAATGGAGAATGTTATCTGGCCTGCTGGGGGTGCACGGTGTGTTATGAAGATTGTGTTCGAGGCAATGAGTTGACCAGATACGGCTGTGAAGCTACAGGGACAGACAACAACGTGAAGCACTACGAGGTCTCATTTCTTTGCGTCCGATTGAGCAGCAGAACAAAAGAGAAGACTGGAAACGCGTTCGTATCAGCCGCCACGGAGGTAATGCTCCACTTTCTAGGAAGTATACTCGCGTCTGCTCTCCCATCCTCAGGAGTCCTGGCTCTTTCGCGAGAACGACACTGCTCAAGAGCAGATACCAACCTGAACCACTCGCTAGAAAACTCATGGCGAGAGATGGATTCGCAGCAACCCAGGAGTCGCATTAGCTTGAGTCACTGGCTTCTTGGTCTTGAGAGACGGGCCCTGGTCGACGTCTCGCTCTGTGAAATCAAGTATTGTCGATCGGATGCTGATGCATTAGCGTGTCTACTATTGTCAGTCTAGAGCCTTGCACACTGGAGCAACCTCGAACATACCTTTAAGACCCACGACAGAGGCCCGTCCACGGTTGTATCCGCCGTCGAAGTTCTCAAGCATTGGGTATCCTCCAATGCCACTACCACGGCGACTACTACGACCGCGCGCAGGAGAATGCTCCGTCTGGTAGCCAGTGCGTCCAGGGGGGGGGGGCGTTGAAGGCGATCGACCGCGTTCGTTCGTGTACGAGTCGGTCACGCGTCCGCCGTGGCCATTTCCACCAAAACCATCGGGGCTTGCTCGACGAAAGTCGTCTCCAATGTACGTTCCATGCTGAGGCCAGCGGAGACGTTGGTCAATAACGTAGCCGCTGTAGCTATTACCTCCGAAACCGTCAGGGGTTGCTCACGGTTTTCGCCACTGCCTTAGTGACTGCGCTGAGGTGGATGCGGGCGTTGATCGACGATGCGGCCGCCGTAGCCATTACTGCCGTAGCTCTCCGGGGCTACGCGACGGTATTCGCGGTCACGATAGACACTCTGGCCGTATCCGAGGCGCGTTGGGGACGCCTTGTTCGTTTCAGCAAAGAGACCGGTAATTGGACGAGTAGGAGGGATAGGTTGCACACGGCCAGTCGAACGCACTGCTGGAGGCGGAGGGGCCATTATCCTTTCTGTTGCTGGAAACCGACCACGCCTTGGCACGGGCATTCGCGGCGGCGAGAATGTAGACATCCGCGTGGTGGCGGAGAGTCCCATACCCATAGCCGTCGGTGCTGTTGGCTTTCGAGCCGGCGAGCGTGTCTGCCTACTGTCCGAGAGCCTCCGTCTTCGCAAGGGCGAAGGCGAAATCTGTCTGGCAGTAGACGAGGGCCTTCCCGTAGGTGAAGATGTTTCCCTTCTCATCTGGGCGCGGCTTCGCGTTGGCAGGGTAACATGCGGCGAATGCGAGCGCGAGACTAGCCGCTGTCTGATGGCCGGGCCCGTAGCCCGTCGAGAAGACATTAGCACTCTGAGAGGCGAACTGGTCCGTCGCGTATGTGGCGAGGGTGAACGACGTGTCGTTGGCGAAGCTGGCAAGACTACGACCATATCCGGAGTCCTCCAGATCGACTCGGGCCAGGACAGGATCGAACGCGGTCTTCGTGGGAGACTGGACCAGCTTTGCTGCTTTTGCTGCCTCGTAACGGCTCTTCTCCTTCTGTCTCTGTTCTCTCTTCTGGTAATCTCTCATCTTGCGCCCATCTTCCTCCTCCTAGCTCACCCGATGTCTTGGCTTCCTACGCACCCCCGTACGCCTTCGATTCCGACTCAGCACACTTCTCTTCCTGCCTCTTACGCTCAGGCTTCGCGCGAGCCTCCATACCCTCTTCGGACTTCCTCGCACCTCTCGCAATTCCTCTTGCCGTTGAAGGTGTACTCAGCCCCCGTACATACATGTGAACTCGGTATGTATGGGTGATGCCATGCTCGCCTCGACAGATGTGTCCGTCCGTACTTTGGTGGACAGCCAATCCCCCATTTTTCGCTTTCGCTGCTGCTCCTCCGCCTCCTATCGTATCGTGCCACTGCCGCAGATGAGGCAGTGTGGTGGCCGCTACCTTCCGGAGGCCGATTTTTCCTGGCTCGTTGTGCTGGAGCGGGAGCTTTTGGTCTCGGATCCATGTTGCGGTCCCAAATTGCGCGCTCTCCTCGTAGAGATTCTCGTTGATGTATGCGAGTTGGAGAGAAGTTTGGAGTACTTGGAGGTCGAGGAGCTGCGCAGACGACGTTCGTGCTGATGTCCGTGCCCGCAGGGGAAGTGAATGTAAGCTGGGCGCGAACCTCACAAAGCGACCCAAATACGTTCTCCGAAGTTTTCAAATAGTTTTGAAGCTTTTGCATACGACCGCCCCTGTGGTATTCAAAACTCCGGCAGGGCATTATCATCAACATCAAGACACCAATTTCCCGATATGTCTTTAACGTCCATACCAGACGCAGGAAGTGTCACGATCCGTTGTCTTTGCCGCATTCCAATTCATGCATGACATGCTCATTCTATGGCACGTCTTCCCTGGTATCCATACCGGCGCTCCCCGTCATCTTCATTCCCGTCTTCACAATCTTCCTCATCACTGCAACCAATCACCATCATCTTCGCCCTCTTCGCTGCTCTCGTCACTATACTCCGGGTCTGTGTCCGGCTCTCAGGCAATTACCTGGTCCGAACTACTAAGTAGTTGCTTGCCTCCCGCACCACTAGAAATGTTTCCAAATCTGCCCTCGGATCCTCATTCCAGACTCCTTCCAATGCCGGGAAAGTAGGAAGCAGAGTTGTGGCAGGATATCTTTTATTCAGCCGGAAGCAAAATCGTGGAAATATCTTTTCGCCCTGATGAATGTTTTGGATACTTCGGAGTTCAGTCCATGGATGAAGTGTGTTTCCGGAGGATCTTGTTGTTCGCCATTGCTTCATTCATCCATCCTCTCTCTCTCTCTCTCTCTCTCTCTCTACACCATAATCCCGACCAGCCTATCCCCACGATGATTTCTTTGGTCTGACTTGACAGTTTCCATCGTCCTCGTGGCGACCTTATTTTTTGGTGTGTACATGTTCTCTTCTCGACACAGAGAGAGAGAGTCTTGCAAGACTTTTCTCCGAACGATTTTTTTTTTTAAAAAAAAGAGCGAAAATTTCGGCAGAGGTGCGATCCGTTGTTGGTTATGTGTTTATTTTGCCCGGGGAAGAGTTAAAATGTAGGTAGTTGCAAAGGCGCAAGCAAGTAAGTAAGTGCCTTGATGCAAATTCCATCAATGGAAGGCCTCTCTATAAGGAAGGTACCTATCTAGGTAGAAGGCTTGTGCTATCTAGCAAATCTGCACTTCATGAAAACTCACTTATGAACCAACAAATGACAACTACACTAATCACGTGCATCCACATGCAGAAGCAGAAAGAAAGGAAAAAGGGGAAAAGAAAGTCTACTCACTGTGCACATAATTCAACCGCATTCACATTTTTGAGCGCTAGCCGCTAATACCATATAGACACGTCGCCGGGCTACGCTGTGCTCCCGCTACCGGGCAAAGGCTGTGGGGCCATCCTCCCAAAAACCAAACCAAAACAACACACGTCTCGAAGCATCGTTTGCCGCACATTACCTGCCATGAAGAAAAGGCAGCAAAAAGAGGGGGTAATCATGCTGAACAAGGAGGTTCTGCCGCCCATAAGCCATCAATTCGCGACTGCAATTTCCTGCCGCTTTGAAAAAAAAAAAAGACAAAGCCCACATTACCAAGCAACAAACGCCGTTGCCCAATGCTCGTGCAGTAGTGCCATGGAGGTTTGACGACCCCTCGTTGCGTATACGCTGTGCTTGGATCAATTCGCTGCTCTTTCGTAATCCGTGGTTGCGAAAAATCAAAAGTCGAAAGCCGAATCATGCCGCTTGCTCAATTCTGTACAGTCTTTACAGAGCGAACGCCTCCTCCCTCACCTTACGAGAGGAGCGTCAAAGGCCATTGCAGCGCGAGCGTCCTCGCATGCGTCGTTTCCTTTAGTCGCTGTAGCGTCAAGTATTGCGAACCTCCAGCGCTCGCTTTCGTGGACGCCTCCCAATTGCGGGTCGTATTATCGTTTCTCGTTCATGTAGCGGCTTACTCAGATATCGTCGAGCATGCCATGGTTGAAGTCGCCATCAGCGCTTGTCGCACCAGTAGGCTCGAGCCCGCTCATTCTATCACCGGCTCGATTGCTGAAAGTGCGCGAGGCGCTACCACCCATCTCCGGGCTGTCCAAGTCGCGGTCTGCATACTGCTGCTCGAGAGTGCTCTCATCCACGAATGTGAACCCCTTGAACTGGTTCTGCATCGTCGGGCTGAGGGGCGTGCTATCGGTGCCGATTCCACTGGCAAGTGCCGCGGCCCTCGCGTTGAGCGAGGACGAGTCTGCGCCAGCCGTGAGGGCATTCGTGAACTCGGGGTCGAAATTGCTCGTATCCAGCTCGCCCTTCAACTTCGGCTTGAACGGTGGAGCCACCTTCTTCTCGCTGAGAGCATTCCAGTCGACGTCGGAGAAGAACGGGTGCGCCATGAGCTCCTCAGCGTCGGCCTTGGCGCCGAGACGGTGCGAAGGATTCCTGTTCAGGAGTCCCTTGACGAAGCTGCGACCCTCGGCAGAGAGCGCATCGCGAGGGAAGCGTACTTTGCCAAACGCAATGTTCTTGTACATCTGCTGCGTGTCCTCGGCGTAGAAGGGCGACCAACCACAGCACATCTCGAAGACGAGGACGCCAAGAGACCAGAAGTCGACCATCTTGGTGTATCCTTGCTCATCGAGCAGAACTTCCGGGGCGAGGTATTCCGTCGTGCCACAGAAGGTGTTGGTCGTGTCGTTCTTGGACAGGTTGGCCTTGGAGAGGCCAAAGTCGCAGAGTGCAATGTGTCCATTTGCGTCGAGTAAGATGTTCTCGGGCTTCAGATCGCGGTATACGATGTCGTGCTGATGCAGGTGGCGCAGCGCCAGGATGAGCTCTGCGATGTAGAACTTGGCGCGCTCCTCGACGAACCGGCCTTCTTTCTGCAGATGCCAGAAAAGCTCACCACCAGACATGTAGTCGGTGACGAGGTAGAGGTCTGCGGCCGTCTGGAAAGAGAACTTCAACCCCACAATGAAAGGCGACTCTGTCGTTGCCGTCCGCACGAGGATGTTTCGTTCGCCAATGGTGTGCTGGATCTCCTTCTTCTGCACAATGACCTTCTTCGATAGGACCTTCATCGCGTAGATTCGCTTCGTGTCCTTCTTCCGCACCTGGAAGACTTGGCCAAATGTGCCCTTTCCAATCAACTTTAGGATCTCAAAATCGTCCGGACCGAAGGTCTTCTTGCCAGCTGCATGGAAAGCAAGCCGAAGATGGAGCTCGCCAGTCACGGTCTCCGTGATACCCTCGCGCGGCTGCAGCTTGAACCACTCCTCATGCTGGTGCTCGTAGTCATTGAGATCGATGGGCAGTCTCACATGACCGATGAAGCATTCACTGTTTGCCCGATCGTAGACCGATATGTCCAGCTCGTTGTCGCTTCCGACCACATCGAACGTGGCCCTGTGTCGCCAGACAGGGTCTGTCGTCTCTTGGTGTCCGCTCTTCTGATGCGAGCCTCTCCGCAAGTCTGCAATGTTGGTCGAGCTCGTCTGCCGGCTCCGCAGGCCCGGAATCGCCATTGGCGTGCCCTGTCCGCTCCCCAAACGCTTCATTGCCACACCCTTTGCCAGGTTCTCTTCTGGCGAGGCATTGTCCGGCTGTGTGTCCATCTCATCCTCTTTTGGGCCTCCCGAGATATCCTCGTTGAGCTGAAATATCGCCACGACGTACGGATCCACAGCAGGTCTCAGACCTCGACCCTCTTCCACGCATATCTCGAGCTGTCCTCGCAGCTGCCCGACGGTCGCGGCCTGTGATCCGCCGGAGCCCGATCGGCTCGACTTGGCGGTGTGTGGAATGTCATCGTCTTTCGATCTGCTCGCGTGCGAGCCGGAGCGAGGGGTCTGCGGAGGGGTGTTCTGGGAATCGGAAGCCTGAGTCAGCTGGGTTTCCCATTCCTGCGAACGAGGAGGAGAAGAGGAAGGCGCGAGGACAGAAGTGCTTGCGGGAGCGGTCTGAGAAGCCTCAAAGGAAGGGTTGGAGATGTGGGCAGCGACCGCAGGCTCGGTAATGACGACGTTGGAGAGAGCGCTGGACAACGTGTTGCGGCGAAGCTGGGATGGCACGTTTGCATGGCCCTGACTCTTCTTCCTCTCGCCCCACGAGCGCTTGCGAGAGAAGGGCGTGGCAGATGCACCATCGGAGCCGGCCTCGACGTCGTTCATGGCCAGGAAGGAAGACGAGTTGGAGAGAGGAGGGGTAGGGTAGGTAGCAGCCTGCTGCCGGGGATCGGTGACGGTGGTGGAATGGGAGAGGAGGTCGGGGTGGTGCTGGTGCTGGTGATGGTGATGGTGCTGGTGCTCATGCTCATGCTTCTGCTTCTGCTTCTTCTCGGACGGCGGCAGCGGCGGCGACTCGACCTGCTGCGCACTGGACGCGCCACTCATGGGCGGCGAGTTGGGTGCGGTCGGCAGCATGGTGGTCGGAGACGCGCTTCCTGCCAAGGCCTGCGAGAGAGCTGCAACTGCCGGACTGTGGGTCGGGCTGTGCTGGTGCTGCTGGTGCTGCTGGTGCTGCTGGTGCTGCTGGTTCTGCTGCTGCAACTGCAGATGTTGCTGTTGCTGTTGCTGTTGCTGTACCTGTGTTTGTGCTGGTGCAGATTGGTCGTGAGATGAATCGGTGGTGGGTGCGACGGACGGCTCTTTCTCATCGGATGAGATCATGTCGGGTTCGGGTGCGGGGCTGGCAGCAGCAGCAACACCACCACCAACACCACCACCAACACCAGCAGCAGCAGAGTTTGCAGTCACGGCGGCGCTGTTGCTCCGCAGACGTAGGGTGTCACATACTTGCGCAAAATAAGAGTTCACGATGCCCGGCAATCGCTTGTCGAGGAGATCGGGTCGCGGGGTCGAGGTGCCGCCGTTGGGCGGAGAGGTGGAGCGCGAGTCGACGTCGTCGCTGGCGTGGTCGTCGTCATGATGCATCCTGCTGTGGACGTGGGCGGTGTCAGCGCTCGCCATCTCGCCACACAGGCGCTATGCATTCGCGTCGCGACAGCGAAGGGGAAAAGTGAGGAGACAAGCAAGGCGGAAGCAGAGCAGAGCAGATCGACATGTAACGCAGAGCAAGTGCAAACAAAGTAGTGTAGGATGGGGGAGCTCGGGGAGGAAGATAGGCCGGGATCCAGACAGAGGTACCCAGGTACGGCGCAGGTGTGTTGTTGTTGTTGTTGTTGTTGTTGTTGCTTGCGCGAAGAAGTCGTCAGGTCCAGTAGTCCAGTCCAGTCATCAAGTCCAGTGCAGGTCAACGTCGGAACAATCATCAGAACATGACGACCGCGTGAAATCGGAGAGACCATGTGAGTGCCGAGGCCAACCGCGACCAGTCCGACGATACGCCACAGCCACCACTGGAACAACTGGAACACGGTCACGCTCCGTGCCCCACGTTCACCACGGCACCTTGCCCGTGCAACGGCTGATCCATTCGACCGCAGAAGAAGAGATTTCGCGGCAGCTTCGGAAGTTGATCCTCATCGCCCATCCGTGATCTGTCGCGACGACTCGCTGCAGCTGCGGCGCCGGATGGGAGAGCGAATCGTTGGGAACGCGGGCAGTCGCATGGCATGTGAAAGAACCGGACCCGACCCATCCTGGTAGATCAGATCAGGGTCGCCTTCCAGAATCCGCGCAGATTTCGAGGGACGGCTCCTGTGGCGGTGCGTGGTGGTCGCGTTGTGCTGTGCTGTGCTGTGCTGTGCTGTGCTGTGCATTGCCGGGCGTCGCGGCAAGTACAGAGTACCGTAGGAGACACCCCCGTCGGACGTTCCGTCACCAGAGCCAGTTGCCGGATTGGTATGTGCAAGAATGCGCGAGTGCAAAGGAAACGTCGAGAAGTGGGAGAGGGAGGCATGGAGGAGCTCGAGGAGAGGGGGGATGTGCTTACCCATGCGACAGAGACTGACGCAGCAGATCGGCGGCGCCGTGCGGTTGACCGTCGTGCTTCGAAGTCATGCTTCTGACGAGGGCGCTGCCCGGCGGGCGCGACAGGAGAGGAGGGTTGGGAATCGCGGTCGGCGAGATGGTGGACAGACAGTGTCGGTACGGCGCCCGTGGATTGGGTGGAGAGGTGTCCTGGACGGGCGCGCGATGAGGTTGTCGAGGTCGAGGTAGGGGTCGAGGTCGAGGTCGAGGACGAGGACGAGGTCGAAGGCGCGGGAATACTTTGATCCTCAGACCGGTGTTGCTGCGATGATGATGATGCTGGTGATTATTGGGGGCGGTGGTGACGCTCGGCTTGTACCTGTGCTGAGAGCGCTCCACGATCACTTCCCTCCCGCTGCGCTGCAATTCAACCGCCTCAGATGCGCGCGGCGCCGAAATGCACAGGCACACAGGGAGCGCGGGCCGGTTGTTGCTCGGAGATGTGGATGGAGGTCCCGGTTGGTAATGCCGCCTCCGAAATTAGAGCGTCACGCAGCGCGGCGCGGCGTTACCCGCGTCGGTGTTGCTGTCACGGTTGTGGTGGTGGTGGTGTGGCAGGACGATGGCGATGTTGTTGATGGAGTGTGTAGTAGTGACCGTGGTTTCGTTTCGCTGCGTGGCGTCGCGTGGACGGACGGAGGACACGGTGCGTCAGAGAGCCAGCCACGGGAGATCTGGACTGCGGCGCCTCGCCTGCCACCAGACCGTTGCGAAGTTTAGTCGCGCGGGAGTGACGGGTGCTCAGGGCAGATGTAGTGATTATTCGGTAGTACTTCTTCTGCAGATATGATACCTCACTGAAGAGACGCAGATGAGTGAGCAGCGGCAGCAGCATGACACGATCCTTTCGCCAAGGCTCTCTGGGGCGTTGACCGGGTAGCTGGAATCCCGGAGCACTGCCCAGCAGATGATGATCGCAAGAAGTTGGATTGGTGAAGAGAAGACCAGCTGTTCAGCGAGGGCGAGCTGAAATCAGTCTCGAAAAGTGAGGTCTGCAAGAACGAATGGACGCAACGAGAGAGAGAAGCAAGCAATCACGCTGTCGTCTGCTTCCTCGTCAGCTGTCATAGATACCCGTGGACCTCATCAGGCGGCGAAGGAGAAGAAGAATGGTTGAGAGACTTTGTCACAGGAGCTCAAGTCTAGATCACGTTTCCCGGCTCTGCCACACGACTGACAGCACAAAGCACAAAGGCGACGGCCGAATTGCATATCTGGCCCCCTGCAACAGGAACCCCTGGCCGTACAAGAGACAGCGGTCGGCTCCCGTGCTTGCATGACAGAACAAGGAATGACGATACCTTCTAACGTGTGCTCCAAGGATTGGCCATGCACGTCGACGTCTATTGCTCGATACCGATCCCGTTGCTGGTATGCAGGATTTGTGCCGGCTCCTTGTCCGTTCTGTCTCCAGGCTTTATTAGAGGCAGCTTCAAAGAGGAAGGATGTCCCACTAGGACTTATCAATCGCTTTGTTGCTCGATCGGACGTGCACAATATTGGACCACATCGCTTCAAGGCATATCGCAAGCACGGAGCATACTTCTGGTCAATATGAACGTCTCTCCATAATTTCATTCCCATCTCACCATGCAACAGACTTCTGCATCCCAAGCATGACATCTGCAGAGACACACATATACAAAGAAGCCTATACGCACACTTCATCCATCGTGCTCTTCCCCATATCTACTCTACACTCTGCCTACAACTTACTCCCACTCTTGACCCCAAGCTGGACCTTCATCTTCGCCCGGCCATTGCTCAAACACACCTTTCCTCCCTTAATTTTCACCTGGAATCTCACCTCCTCCCAGCCCTCTCCATCTTTCTTCCCCATCCTCCACATCTCCGTGACAAGCGTATCCCCAGGCTTCACCGGGCTCGCGAACCGCGCCGCATACTCCTTGATACTCGCGGGATCGCCTCCCCCCAGCAGCTTCACCAGCGCATGAGCCGTGTTATTCCACGAATACAAGCCGTGGATAATCACGCCTCCGAACCCCATAGCTTTGCCCGGCTGCGGGTCGATGTGGAGCGGGTTGTAATCCCCATTGAGACGATACAGCGCCGTCGTCTCTGCTGTCGTCGGGTTCTCGTATGTCATGTCCGGTCTCTTGCCCTCGGGAGGCGGGAACGACTCCGTCTTGGGTCCCTTCGGTCCTCCCCAGTTGCCCTGGCCAATGAAGAAGGCACTGCCCGTTATCCTCACGTAGACTTCGCCCGACTGCGCGTCTACCAGGTCCACCTGTGTCTCCAACACACTTCCCGGCTTGCCCTTGTCGTAGAGTCCGACTATTTTCTCCCGGGTCTCGAATTTGCGGCCCACGGAAGTGGTAGGGAGGGGTTTGAAGAATTCCATCTTTCGCTCGCCGTCGAGCACGTTCTTGTTGTCCAGCTTGGGCGCGCCGGGGATCTGAGGACGTGCGGCATCTTGGGCGGCGTAGAAGTCGACGACTTCTTGTGAGGCTTTCTTGAATGGGAGGATCACCGGGTAGGTTGGGAAGACGGCGAAGTTGGGGTGGAGCTCCTGCGGAAGGTGTTAGACCTAATGGCATCTCCAGAATTCGAGGTGATTGCTTGCGTAGAGGTAGTGCAATTCATCCGCCGTGGCTCCGATGCTCGCAGCGAAGAGGAGGACGTCTCGCTTCAACCTGTGACGTTGAAGATTAGCAAGAGCTTTGAACGTGATGGGCATGCGGTTGGTTCTTCTCACCATGATACCTCGACCGGCTTGTTTTGGTGGCCTGCTCCGGGGTTATTCTGTGCCATGATGGAATGTAAAGTCGGTGTACAGCTACACGCGAGCAACCTTCTATGGAGAGGAGGTAGATGTCGTCGATATAATAACTTATAGCATGTAGCTGGCGGGGCCGGCAATTCGAGGGAGCTCCTCCCACCGTCCCACGGCAACCCGAACGCTCAGCCGAGGTCAAGCAGCGGACGAGTCGAACATCAAGCCTCACATGGCAGCCTCATCGCTGCGGGAAGAATCAACATAAGATATCACGATCTCAGACATCAGACTGATCCCAGAAGAAGACAAGATTACTATGCCATTAAGAGACTTTCAGGACGCTTCGTCATGCCATGCTCGCTCGAGATCCGTTCCATTCTGACTAAACTACTGGGTTCTTGTTCAACTGCTTCGACCACAGCGACACGTACTTCCCATTCAGAGCGAACAGCTCTGCGTGCGTGCCCCTCTCCACGATCTGCCCGTCGTTGATCACCAGAATCACATCGGCATGCTGGATCGTAGACAGTCTATGCGCCACGATGAACGTCGTGCGCGATGCGGTGAGTTTCCGGAACGCCTCCTGGATGACAGCCTCGGTCTCGGCGTCTATCATGCTGGTCGCTTCATCCAGGAGGACAATCTTAGGCTTGCGGAGGATGGCACGGGCGATGGAGACGCGTTGGAGTTCTCCACCGGAGAGCTTGACGCCGCGCTCGCCCACCTTGGCCTTGTAGCCGTCGGGGAAGGACATGATCTTGTCGTGGATGGCCGCGGCTTTGCAGGCCTCCAGAACGTCCTGATCGCTGGCGGTGAGGTCGGCGTAGCGGATGTTCTCCATCAGCGTGTCGTTGAAGAGGGATGGATCTTGAGGCACCATCCCGAAGGAGTCGCGGAGGCTGTCCAGGGTCACTTCGCGCACGTCCGAACCGTCTATGCAGATGGATCCGCTCGACACGTCGTAGTACCGATAGAGCAGCTTCAGGACAGTCGACTTGCCGCCACCCGTCTCCCCGACCAGGGCGATAGTCTGGCCGGGCTTGACGGTGAAGTCGACATCCTTGAGCGTTGGGCGTCGCGGATCGTAGGCGAAGGAGACGTGGTTGAAGGCGACCTCACCTGCCGTGATCTCGAGCTCTCTGGCATCAGGAGCGTCAACGACGCTCGGCTTGGTCGTCAGTAGCTGAAGCATGCGTTCGCTATCCGTTAGCATGGAAGAGATTCGCCGGATGGAGAAAGAGACGCTGCTCAGCGGCCCTTCGATTGAGCCCCAGTACTGGATCAGCGTGATGAGGTTGCCTATGGGGGCGCGTCCCTGTGAAACTCGGTATGCCGCAAGCAGGTAGGCAGACAAGCGTCCTGTGGTCATCATGAAGCTTTGGGCAGCTCCACCAAGATACCAAGTAGTGTAGTACACCCACTCGGTCTTGTTGAACTTGTCCACCGTGTTGCTGTATCGCTGCGATTCGTACTGGCCTCTGTTGAAATGAGATACTGTCTGCCACTGCGAAATTGCTTCGTTTTGCACTTTCGATTCTTCTCGCCAAGCAGTGTTGAATCTCCGTCTAGACTTGACACTCATTGCAGTAACCTTCGCACCAACCCAGACGTATGCAATGCCGACGCAGAAGAGGATGAGGGTCATGTAGATGTCGAAGAGCGTCGTGACGTAGAAGAAGGCCAGGATCAAGTCGAAGAACATCGGAAACACGGTGAAGAAGATGAAAGACGCCAGATCTTGCAGGTTTGTGCCCTGTTGGATGGCTCGAATCAGCTCGCCGGAGTTCTTCTCGTTATGGAAGTCCATCGAAAGGCCCATGATATGACGAAACGCGGTTTCCGAGATGGCTTTGTATCCGTACTGCTGCACGGGAAGTTGAACGACTTGCTTGACAAGGGAGATTCCAAAGCCAGACTGCAGCGTGGCAAAGAGGAGCCATAAGCCGAGATCACGCCAGGGCATGTGGCCCGTACCAGCGGTTGCTGTCAAATCGTTCACGATGATACCCATCTGCCGCGGTAACAGGATGTTAAGAGCGCGCTGAGCGATGATGCACACCGCGATGGTAAGGAGGCAGGCCTGAATTTTGCGGTCCTTTTTGGGCAGAAGAAGAGGTATGAAAATCTTGAACTCCTTGAGGTAGTTAATCCAACTCCCTGCCGCCTTGAGGCGCGCACGCTGTTGCTCCTTGAGTTCTTTGTCGCGCTCAGGCTCTTCCGAGTCCGAGTCGATATCGTCGTCACTGTCGTTCTCACCAACATTCTCGGTCTCTACGGCGTCCGCCTCGGAGGTGTCGCTTGGAAAGAGGCTATCGGCGGGCGAGGGATCAGGGCCGGTAGCTTTCTTCTTCTTCCTGCGGTTCGTGTTGCCGTTGCCGTTGGCGTGAGTGGCGAGGAGGGCTTCGCTTTCGGAGTCGAGCTTGATACTGCGGCGGCGGTCTTGAAGGATGAACCAGCTCGTGGAGAGAGAGAGGAGCGTCAGCAAGGCAGCGCGGGTGATGCAGAAAGCCATGCGTGCTTTGGAGAAGCCATTGCTCGGTACGCGGAGACCTTGAAGGGTGACGATGGAGATGTCGAAGCAGAGTGCTAGAAGCCATGATCCTAGATATGGGTGCCACACAGTCTTCTTGGTTTCGAATAGGCCGAGTGCGAAGGAGTTGTGGATAGCAAATAGGAGCACCAGGTAGATGGTGTAGTCCTCGGTGGCATACCAGCCAGGTTGACGGAAGTACTGCAACACACTGACGATGCCTTCGGCGGCAACCGTCAGGGCCGCGAGCACTTGGACAACGATAGCAAAGTAGCGGCGAGTGTTGTTGCTGGAACGTTTGGGCGGTTTCTGAAGCAGACAGGCGGCGGCGGACTTGGCGGCGAGGAAATAGATGGCAGTGGCGATGGGAGCGATGTAGTGGACGATGTTCAAAGCCATTGTTGTCGGCGGAGAATGCGGTGCCATGGTGTTGGTGGTCCCTCGCGTTGTGGGTGGTAAATGTGGTGTTCTTGCCCAGCCAGAGCTGAGAATTCGTGGCCAGCCGAAGAAAATTTATATTCTTGAAAGCCGCCAACACAGGCAACAACGGCTACTTTTTTACGCTTTACTGCGGTCCAATCCGAAAAGCTAAATCGCAAAGCTCGTCGTGGTGGCCATCATGGTGAGTAATAACCTCGTTCGGGCAGTCGTGCTATACGATAGTGAGGTCGGCGGTGCTACTCGAGTCACAGCAAACGGCGAGCATCGTCCAGGAGATACGAACAACCACGAGCAGACGTACAGAGTTCTACTACATCAGTGAGGCCCCAGAGCTACGGGGAACTACTGCACTCAACCCGCGGCCATCAGCCGCAAAGAGAGCTGCGCAGAGAAATGCAGCCTCGACGCCATGCCGCGTGCCTGCATGCAGAGAGGCGTCAGCAACCGGTTTCCGTCTGAGGCCGGCTTCAGGTATCTTCAAGACGTATCGATGGTGCCGCGATGACACTCAGTCCTTCCTTACGAGCGAAGATGGCTGTCAGCCCTCCTCCACGACCTCTCATCTGTCTCTTTGTATTGCACCGTGCCCATCGCCAGCCTGTTTTGCCAATCTGTACGATACACGCCGGCGTGCTGGCAGGCAAGGTCGCTCTGTACTGGTGTGTAGTGCAAAGTAGGCGAAGCGGTGAAGAGAGGGTAAGCGTGGGCGAGGTCGAATTGCGGAGGTCCGGGTGAAGGAGCATATGCACAAGACAGCCTGGAGATGAAGAGCGGAGCTGTTCGAGATATAGTCGTGGTGGTCTTGGTGGTGTAGTCTGGGGTCTCTGGGACGAGAGAAATGGACAAGAGTACATGTCATCGACGCGCGCTCCATTGAGCTCGCGTCTATACCGGGTGTTAGAATGCTTAGACGAGACAGAGAGATTGTGACTATATAAGATGTTGTTGAAGCAACACAAGAAGACTGGGGGCCAGGCCAGCCACGACTTCCGGCTGGTTTTTAGCCCGACAGCTTGGCGGCTGCTTGCTTCACGGCCACACACTTGAGAGCAAACACTGGACTAGCTTCTTCCATTATTCTCATTAAGCTACTCATCATACACTGCCTTGTCTCATTAAGCTACTCATCTTACACGACCGAGTTCCAGACTCTTGTCTCATGCAGTTCATCGTTAATCATACATTCTCGCGAAAGAAACCCACGCAAAAGAAATCGGAAACCCATTGGATGTGTCTCGAAGCATACCCATTCCCAAGCTCTTCATCGTCGCGAAGAACATCCCGAAAATCAGGCCCATAGTAGTACAGTACTCCGATGCTCGCCATTCGCCTTCTGAAGCTTAGTCGTCCTTCTTATCGGCTGTCGTGGATCGAAAGTAGTCGTCACCGCCCATCGGGTTGCCAGGCGTCGGCTCATGGTATCCGTCGGCCTTCTCCATCGTGTCGTGGAGTAGAGGCACGACTCCACCAGGCTCAGCACGAGACTTCTCGAGGGTCTTCAAGTCCTTGCCGCCCCACTGCGTCTGTTGCATGGAGAAGGCGGCGTAGACGTTCATCAGCCCGTGGAAGTAGCTGAAGGCGACCAGGACCGGGATCCACTTCATATCAGCCGGGTGTCGGAGGAAGTATGGAATCATCTTCAGATTCTTGGTGAAGAAGATCCATGCGCAAAGAGCAGCGTAGGCGTGGCTAGCGGCGGTGGACGAGGCATTGCGCAGAGCCATTGAAAGAAGACCGAAGAGGAGACCTTCCCAAAGGAGTGCTGGCGTCTGGAACTGGCCGAGGTAGATGTAGTAGAATCCCCACCAGTGACCGCTTGGGAGCCAGTACGATTCGTTCTCCATGACGGTGAAGTTTCCACGCCAGTGAGCACGAGCCCAGCGCATGCACTGTGAGAGATATCCCTTGTCGTTCTCGACAGTGGTCTCGAGCGTGGCCTCTGGAGCGAACTGGAGAACAATCTTCCAACCGTGCGAGTAGACGTAGCGTGTGAGGCACTTGTCGTCATCGGAGTTCAGGGGCTTGCCGCGCCACATGTCGTTCTTGAAGTAATGCTGGAACCTAGGGTCCTGCAGAATCACGGAGCGATAAGTGGCGGTACGGCCAGAGAGAGTCGACAGAGAGCCATCCATGGCATTGGTTGCGCAGTTGTTCCATACGCGACGCTCGAGGTATGAAATGCCGAGGATGTTCCAGAAGCCAGGATTCTCTTCGCGCTTCACACGCTGTCGTGTTCCGCCGGCGCCGACAGTGCTGTCTTCGAAGATGGCGAGCACATGGTCGAGGTAGTCTGCGCCAGGCCAGAAGACATCATCATCGGCCAGGGTGATCAAGTCCGTCGTGATGTGAGGCAGAGCACGGAGGATCTGGTCGCGCTTGTTGAGCTTAGCGACACCAAGAACTTCAACCTTGGGGCCGACAGAGTGCAATCCAAGGAGCTCCTTCACACGATCGCAATTGGCATCGGCCGTGACAATGAAGATCTTAGCCGGATCGCAGCGCAGGATTCCACGGATGCATGCAAGTAATTCTTCCGGGTGCTTGAAGGTCGTGGGGATTATGACTGAGACGTCACCGGAGGTGTAAGTTGGGTTCTTCAGGATTGCCTTTGGCTTGTACGTGTTCCAGGAGTACATGGAGACGACCGTGCGGAGGTAGCGGAAGGTGAAGACGAGGAAGAACAGGGCGAGGAATATGGCCGACGTGGTGGCCATGGCCGATGGGCTGTCTGCGGCCGGCGCAGCAGAGAGGAAGTTGGTGTTGATGTCGCTCGACGTGGTGGACGTCGAGATCATGCTGGTGGTGATGGTGCTGGATGCGGCCAGCTTCGTGGTTGTCGTCGGGTTGTTGACGAGGGAGTTGGTCGCTGGCAGCTTGGCGGAGCTGGCGGAGGAGGTGGTGGTGTGCGTGCTGGTGGTGAACAGGTCGCCGAGGAGGCGCTCGAAGTCTGCAAGTTGGTGGTGGGTGGTTCGACAGTGGTGTTGTCGGTGGAAAGAGTGGTTGTTGCGGACTCGGCGAAGGCGATGCTGATGTTCTGTTCAGACCACGGTGCGTCTGGGAGCTTATAACTTGCGTGAGGAGTGTTGTTCCCACAAAGCTCTTGTGTGAGCGCGCTTTCAGCGGCGTTCGTGCTTTCAAGGGGCGCGCAGGTGGACAAAGGAGCAGGTGAATGGGTTTGTGGGAAGCTTGGGTTGATCACCTCGATCTGATTGTTCAGGCCCGAGTCGTCAACGGGCGAAACACAAAGCACCCAGTGGTGAAGGGGTTGGTCGAGGTGTCAGGAAGAGTCGTCGGTCCAACGAAACGAAGTCATTTTAAAGTCGTCCCATTCACCGTGGGCGTGAGCGTTAGGCAGTGACCTCCAACGAACGCGTCGTTCTGGCAGGCACGCGCTTCTCCAGCAGCAGAGCCTGATCCACAGCAATCTGCCGCTGTTGCTCTTTCCCTCCGAAGCAAAGCCCGCCAGCAACGAAAGCCGCATCAGGTAGGCACGCTTAGTCCTCCCGCAGACACAACTTCACCTCACCCCAAACGAGCAGCGCGCTGACTACCCTCATAGCACGCTGGCAGCACGAGAATGTGCTGGTACGGCGTTATTCTGTGCGTCAAGTGCAGCCAGACGCTTCATACGTGGTGCAAACGCCAGTGCGCTACCCACCAGCCCGACGGCAGCTCGCAATGCCAGCCCTATTGCACGCAGGAGCAAGGCCAAGGCGAGCGTTGCAATGCTTGCATCGCCGCGTCAGTACCTTCTCCATCTCCATCTGGTCCTCTTACTGCGCCGCCGACAGCAGGAGAGCTTCAGAAGCTCGTCTCCCGTCGAACGTGAGCTTCGAACCAGCTCACGATTCTGTCACTAGTGCTGGCATGCCGCGCAACACATGACGGCGCGCTTTCAGTTGCTGGAGAGCCTTGGTATGATCGGAAAGAGAAGATACCCCCTGAATGCGGCATCGAGACTCGGCGTAGAGTATACAATATGCTGCTCGCGGAATATGCAGGATGAGGGGAATCGATAGGAACAGGAGGGTATAATTAGGCACGAATGGGGTAGCAGAAGGGTTATAAAATTATGGACATGATCCGGCAGTCATCATCGACTCAACCTCAGCATGACTCCTAAGAAGAAACGAAGAACAATGTATATCTTGACAGGTAGCTCCACGTGGCTGTGATAGCCGTGTGTGATTTTTGATTGTCGACTCTTTGTTTGTCTCAGACATGTAAGTGAGCCATGTCTATGAAATGCCTCATTCGACACCTTCTTTCGAGACATTGTGCGCTGCCCACGCAACATCGAATATGATGTCCAGCAATCTTCACATGCTTGGTACTAGCCTGCATCCTAGGTCGACAGACTGGCATTTAGAGATCGCACACTCATACATCAGAGCGTCATGTGGACAGATCATATAGGCCGTGCTGAATTCCTAAATTTCTGCAATGAACCAAATGTTTGTTGTAGTTCGGCGAATCTACATGCGGTGATGTTGCTCAAGCCCTAGTCAGTACAGACCCAATTTGGACTAGCGCAATGCCAAGCCCACGTAAGTGAAAGTTTCTAATGTGCAGGCCGCATTGTCTTTCCAAACTCCATATCACATGAAACCATCCAAGCCCAGTTAGCGCTTACGACGACGCCGAATACTCTCGGGTGTTGCAGAGACAATGGTGCAGCATTTGGTAGGCGAAATGACCGACATGAAATAGAAGCGAAAATTGGCGCAGACGACAGGAACAAAAAGACAGGAATTATACCGACGCACGCCTCATGAACTCATGCAGGGAAAGCTTGCGTCCGAGCCTCCCGGTGTCTGCTATACTATCTGCCGACAGTGAGCTCTTTGATCTCGAAGGAAGCACTTTTTGGCAGAAAATTCCGCAGGGCCGCCGACAAAAGCACAACGCGGCTTTTGGCCATCCAGAATATTTTTGTCGTTAGCATGAACGATGGATGCGCACTGTCTGGTAATTGAGATGCTCCAGGAACATACCGCTGTGATTCGGAATGCAAGCGAGGCATGTGTATGACGTGTATAATTCCAGGCAGATGGTCTTATCAAGTCAAGAAGGACTTCCCCTCCATGGCACCACGCCGCCGACTTCACGTAAGCGGTACATACGTCCATTACCATTGGAATCAGTAAGTCAACGTGTATTGGCGCGGAGCTGACGTGTTGGACGATCTCAACGCTACCAGGCATGCAGTCTATCTACAAAAGGTTGCCAATCCTGCTTAAAATCAGGGAGCAGGACGTGTCAGAGGGCTAATACACAATCCAGATTCAAATCAGAGCTACCGGATGGGACGAAGTCGCTCGCGACCAAACAGGGCCTGCAGCGCTATTGCTAACACCCGAAGCTGTAGTGTTTACGTCCCTACGAGAGATCGTGTGTTCTACTAAGCCCATTCGCGAGGAGTGTACTGTCGGACCTACCGTGCGTGGTATAGGCTCGTCAATCTCACATACACCATACCGTCTCCTCGACATGCTTCGCCTGCGTGGAATACTACGAACGCCCACGCCTTGACAGAGCGACTGGCTAAACAGATGGAGAAGCGTCTTGTCCAGCTATGCAAGCGCCTCATGGACATGGACACGGACAATTCAGAGGGCAGCGTAAGTCTTGTTACGTGGGGACCTGAACTCCAGTGGCTAGTTGCAGAAGGCACAGACAATGCTATCGAATCCGAATAGACACCTGCGCGGCTGGGTCGACACCCGCGTCTCCCGAAGGTCAAGCAGGCCCGCCCTAGCGTCAAGGTGCGATCTGTGCTCTGGTTGAGCGACCGACGAACGAACGACAGACGGGATATGCAAGTGATGTCGGCTTTGTGAGGACTTTGCTTGCTCTGGTTTAAAGTTGGTATAAACGGGAGAGATCAGGTGGAATGGAATGAACAGAAGTTCAATACTTTGTATGCATCACGCTAGAAACGAGCTCCTTAAGGCCCATTTGTGTGCGTAAGAAGCTGCGAAAAGGTGCCTAGCTTCTCAAAACTCTTCTCGGAATGTGGGTATTCTGTTCGTAGCTTGTCGATACCTTTATGCCTTCTGACTTTACGTATCCGAAGGATCAGGCGACAAGGTCGCGAAACAAAAAGGAAGGAGTTCGTAGGAAGCTGATCACCTTCTGACGAACAAGAAAAGACCTCATACACGTAGTATAAAAAAAACATGCCGCGATTTTACGACTATCTTCAAAAAAAATCGACGCGAATGGGACTCGAACCCACAATCTCTACCACCGGAAAGTAGCGCCTTACCATTAGGCCACCGCTATTTCTTGCATTAGTAAGTGACTCGCAAAACCCAGGCCGAATAGTACTCACCGCCTCATTTGAAGATTCAATCAGCCAGACCGGCATAGAGGTCTCGGGATGTCCCGGAGGGACTGCAACGCGTATAAGTATCTCCATGTTGCCGATCGTCGGGAGGACCTGCTGTATCCGCTTACCTTGGAGGGGTCTGGAGTTGAGAAGCTGGAACTTTCCCCGACCTCCGACACAACCAGACAGCTCTGGATACTCATCAGGATTACCTTTTCTCCTTCAATGCCGAGAGGCATGAGCCATGCTTTCTACTCATCGATGCGATGCAGCCGATTGCGGTGGCCTTGATATTATCAACAGACACATCCGACTTCTAAGCACACGATAATTGAGAATACCAACGCGAGGCTCACGATCACGGCGAAAATCACAAGATTGGCAGGATGGTGCCTCACTCGATCTTCGAGGTACGTCAGAGCTTGTGCTCGATGCACTGCAGTCTGTGCGTGAAAGAGACAAAGGCATTTCGCAACCCGGAGCCCCGGACGGAACGAGAGACAGACGTGGGAGAAACTGAAAACCAGGAATGATGTATGAGGCACTCTCGGAAGACTTATATTCCTGTCGATTCTGGACCGTTTCGTAGGCTCGTCGTCAGCCCTCGCAATCACCGTAAAGATGTCCGCACAAGGCAAGCTTATCGACGTTGTCATTGGCGGCATCGCCGGTCTCACGACAGCCGATCAACTTCAGAAATACCCTCATGTCAACGTTCAGATCTATGAATCTGCCCACAAATTCGGAGAAGTCGGGGATGGTGCCGTTCTAGGCCCCAATTCGCAAAGTGTGATGTCTCGGACCGATCATCGCATCAAAGAAGGCTACGATAGACGAGCCGCTTTCGACGAGAACCCGCCCGACGAGAACGGCCTTTACCCATGGATCACTCTGGTGAAGGGCCAAGCACCGCATATCGGGGAGCAGGTCATTCAGTTCAAGCACAAGGAGAAAAGCTCTACGATCCAACGGGCTCACTTCTTGAACGAACTTGTAAAGCTAATCGATATGGACCGGGCTCACTTTGGCAAGCGACTGGATCGTATCTACGAGACTGACGACAAGATAAGCCCAATCATTCTGCACTGCAAGAACAGAACTACCGCCACTGCCGATGTAGTCATTGGCGCAGATGGTATCCATGCAGATATTCGAAAGCACGTACTCGGCCCGCAGGACCCTGGTGCTGATGCATTATTTACCGGGACCGTTCGATATCGCGCAACAGTGCCATTCAAGAAGGCGGAAGAGAAACTCGGCAAGTTCGAACAAAGTCCAGGTCAGCTCTGTGGAACTGGAGGCAGCGTGTTTGGCTTTCCTCTGTCAAACACCACCCTGTACTACATCGGTGTCACCGTCTCCAACAACGGTCCTTGGCAACAGGACAAATGGGCCGTACATGTCAACCTCGACGACACCACAAAGCAGTTTTCAGATTGGGACGACTACACGCGCAAAATTGTCGAACTACTTCCCACAGACGGCTCCACTATGGCCTGGTCGGTCTGGGAGATGCCTCCAGCCTCTACCTACTTTAAGGGTCGAGTTGTCATCACAGGTGATGCTGCTCACGCTTCCTCACTCCTCGACTCCATTTCAAGGCGCTGGGTTTGGCCAAGCCATCGAAGACGCTCTGGTCCTTCAGCAGTTACTGGAAATGTATTTGGATCCAGCCATGAAGTCTCACTACTTGCCTGAGCCACAGGAGACCGCGCCATTCCTCTTATAGGTATTTGACACAATTCGTCGTTTTCGCAGCCAGAAGGTGGTTACTACTAGCCGACAGACTGGCCTTAACTCCACTTGCGTCGAACCTGGCGTTGGGAATACTGCGGCTAAGATCAGACAAGCTTTAGAAGGTCGACAGCATTGGATCTGCGATCAAGACCAAGCACAGCAGGTCAAGGATGCTTTCCAATTGTTCGGCAAGCCGTTCTATCGAGAATGCATCAACGTGTCTCTCGTTTGCTGACACTCTGTCACAGAGGAGATCAAGGACGCCGGCGAGCGCTCCACAGCACTACCAAATTGATCTACGCAGCGGCATGTCTGACGGAAATTCCGCATCTGAGACAAAGGCAAACAGAACGACCATAACCGCGAAGCGTGAGCTGTCGGAATAACTTTGCTTCACGGCACATGCGGTCTACTTTGGCAATAGTGTCTCACGGGTGTTTTAGCGACATCTTGCATCCTCAATGCGCTTAGAAGCACCTTTTACCCCCCTTGGATTAAACACTGAGAGTATGCTTTCATCGTACCTGCTAATACTTCGACAGTCCTTCAGCGCTTTTTTATTGTCTTTTGCTTTGTCCGTCGCTACGCTAACAACGTCTTTGTCCTTCTTGGACCGAGTGCTTTGAGTCGCTAGAGCACATGCACTTGTTGCAACGCCTTCTATATATGGGAAACCATGTACAGACGCGACTGACTTCTGCTATAGTTAACTAAATACGACCACATCTCATCTCAGGATGTATCGTGGCACTCTCACACTATCCTGTGACTGAGTCCGAGAAAATGGGCTTTGCGGCCACTGCTGCTGAAAACGACACGCACATTAATCTCGACGCCGACGCGCTGCTGAATCGTTGTATTTTCAATTTCCGATACCCGGAATGAGGCTTATTAGACAGTCCATGCTAGAAACATACCCGGGACTTCCAACAGGAATGTATCACGAGCCGGCATCAGAAGGACCGCAAAGTGTACTCGATCATGGCCCTCGAGGCTTCTTCACCATCATTCCAGTTGGATCAGAGTCGTTCTCGCGGCTCGGCGCCCAATCAGCACAACGGCATATCATACTACAGCTTCCTGCCTCGAGCTCCAGGTGCCTCCGGGAACGAAGTACAAGACAAGTAGGAGAAGGAGAAGGTGGTAGTGGTGGTGATGGAAACAACTTACGATGTTCGGCTGAAGAACTCCCTGCCAACACGGACGACTTGGAGGCTATTATGGGGAACGCAAAGGTCTGAGCCGTTGGCAGGCTCGAAACACTGTAGAGAAGGTACGCTCTCCTGGTCTGACACTGCAAAATGAATCTTTGCCGCTTAATGCTCAAATGAAGGCCCCAACAAGGCTCTGACCACTCTCCCTTATCACCCCGACCTCTGTTAGCCTAACGAAGCACTGTATCTCCAGTGACTCGTCTAGAGATAGAGAGTGCATTCACGCTGACAAGTAACTAGGAAGCTTCAACAACACATGCGTGACAGCCGATGTGTTGTTGCCTTCAGTATTTGACATCTCTATCCTGCCACTTTCGTATAGTTCAGAGATCTCTAGTACCTTATACTTCCAGGAATTAGTAACCATGGCACTTCCATTCAATATCCTGCACAACATCGCAAGACTCGGCCTCTCAGGCTGTACCACGGAGACCGAAACGATCGAAAATGCCAGCACCCGTCTGCCTCTTCGACATCTTGTCAACTTTCATTATCCTGCCACAGAACTTCTATCGGCAGACGACAATTCAGAAATTCTTCATCTTGATCTCCCAACGAGCACGAGAAGCGACCAACTCCTCTTCCGCGAGAAAGTCAGCCTTCCGACTTCAATACTAGCTTCTTCTGCATCTTGCCCGTCGATGTACACCCAGTTTCACCACCACTGGGCCCTTTCCAGCATACGGCAGTTATGAGTGCCCTCTCACGTCTTCAAAATCACGAGGACGTCACCAGATTCGGCGTGGTACGCTTCTCGACGCCCGAGAATATACTGTGGACCACCACCAGGATTCAACTCGAGTCTACGATCGACAACGGAATCTCCTTTCGGGAGGAATTCGAGTTGAGCGAGTGCGAGTGGCAGAATCTTCTTAAACACGCTCACCGATTCTCTTGGATCAACATCTTGAAATCCCTGGTCTGTAGAGAATCAGATCGGGCATGTTACCATGTTCAAGATGCCTTGGAACGCATCTCCGTACCGCAAAAAATCGTCGACAACCAGCGTTCCCTGGCACTACTTTGGAATAGTCAACCGCCTCGATCCGCCAAAGAGCTTTTCCGCCATCGGTTATACGACATCAACGCCTTCCAGAGACTCGACTTCTCAGATGTCTCGCCGGAAGATAATGTATTTGCAGAAGTCAGTCTACCTTGCGGTTGCTACGACGGCGTATATTCGAATGAAGTTGAAGCCATGAGTGTAGAGGAGTGCAAGAGTGCGGTCTGCTATCAATGTCGGAACGATGTCCTTCAACCAGAAGACCGACTCGAACTGGCGATGGGAGAGCAGAGGGTTCAGCGAGAAGCCTGGTTGAGATCGAATGCCTCTTGGAAAGATCTCAACAACACGGACTTCAGTCTCCGCACTGAGACGATGAAAATGAAAGCCAATACGCTCTTCCACGTCCTCCATGGTGCTTTCGATTCCATGAAGACCTGTGACCTCCTCTGTCCGGCTTCTTTGGCGTTCGAAAATCTGCTGGAGACTCGGGTGGCCCTCGAAGCTTTGGAGGTCTTCCTGTACGGCAGCAACGAGGACCTGATCGGTACACCAACGCAGGTCCTTGCCACTCTCCACCAGAAGGCAACAGATGCCGTGAGTAATGCGAGCAAGAACCGCATTCCGGGCGAATCTGTCACGGTGCCTGGATTTGACAACTCCCTCCGAAACCTGCTTGTGCGTACTATGAACTTCTGGCTACGTCGAAGCTGTCGAAAAGTCAACCGCGCTCACTACAAGTTCCACATGCATCAGGGAGTGCCGTTCTTTAGCCCTCAGAGCTGGGAACTTTCGAAACAAAGCGCGGGTGTCTTTGAGGAACTGAACGACTCGAGAACTGACCTTGGCGATGAAGAGACCAATGTGGGCAGTGTTGACGATTTGATGGCAGGCATGCAAATGCACCAGGATGAATAGACATTAGTACCAGTATGTTAGGGGTTCTTGGATGATGAAGGTTGGTGACAGACCAGCAGTGTTAGACAGAGAAGGAGACCAGATTGAACCATTACAACGATTTGCTGCTCTGTTGCACTACCCATTCTCATGCTCATCGGAAATCTATGTCTGTAGCCCATGGCATACCTTTCCATCTTGTAATACGTCTCGTAATCTACACGCATCATGTCTAAAGACATTGCATATAGCAAACACTCCAATGGTGAGGAGTATAGGTATGTATACGGAATAAGCTACAACTCCAGGGCGTTGAGATGTCCCTCGCCCTATCCGCATGACGAGCCTCGATATGTATACCTCTCTTCAGTTTCCTTGCACTCCAAAGACATATGCTAGCACGGTAGCTTCAGTATGCCCTTGAGGAAGCACGTTGGCTCCTCTTGTGATCTACATCCTCTCTTGCGTCAGGACAAGTTCAAGGACCTTTTTTTTTCGAAAATAACGCTTCGAACGAGTAGCCAAATACTTCAGGTGCTACACGTTCTTTTTTTTCGAAATAAATGTCCGGAGTGGGTTTTCACGAGCTCTTCACGAGCTCATTCATTCGGATGGCAAAGTTTTATGTCCGTCCAAGGACATCAATGGATTCGACTTCTGGATGATTGTTCTATCGTAGAACAGCGCTCACATATCCCATTGCTGCTGAGACCCTCTTCGTCCAAAGCGCGCTCCTAGCTCTGGAAGATAAGAACGATATGCCGAGCATTGGAATTCGCGGAGCGCCAGGGATGCTGTTAACCTCTTCCACGACAGACTGATAATTCCAATGGAGGACAGACGCCTCACGACCCAGGACTTCGATGCAAACCGAGGCAAGCGCGAAGTACAGTTGCCATGCGGCCACAACATCGCGCTCCAGAAGCCAGATGGTGCACGACTAGCGAGTAAAGGCTGCCTTGATATGACCTGCCCAGTCCGCAGCGAGGAGATCCGGCAGAAGTCTGACCGTGACGAAGCGCGGTCTTTCGAGCAAGACGCCGAGCTATTCGATGCAGTACCTATGGCAGACGGCTGGGCTGAGCTCGGCTGGGACGATTTGTCCGATGCTATTGTTACATTCGACATTCTCGCCCTGAAGAGAGCCCTTCGTGGCGCAGCCGAGCACCTGAAAGCCCGAGCACTCGTAGCACCATAGTTCCTGTGCCCTGTGTAGTCAGAAGAGACCATCACGGCCCTCCGTGCAATGGAGACCTGGCTGTCCGCGCAGGGAAGGCAAGTCCGTAGAGCACCCATCGAGCACGTTGAAAATCTAGTGGAATTGTCGAGAATGAACTGAGGTAACCAGCGCCGGCCGCTCAGAATCAATCGTGCCCACGCCTCTGCGCTGAAGAGATTTCTTGCAGCTCCGGCTAACCCGGGGCGGAAACTCCGCCTGTCAGAGGCGTTGCATAGAGGCAGGAGAAGAGCACCGAGGGACGCACGCGCACTCTTCTAATGGGCTGGTGTATTGGCAGGACCCGGGCGCAGCTACCTTCGCTGCTATGTAGGAAGGATTCGGTACGATGGCCTTGAATGAAGTAGCGGGCTGTATGGCGGACTGAGAAGGTGCTGACGCCTATGGTGTTCAGTAAGCTGACCAGTGTAGACGACGGTCGTCGGACTCCAGGACAGACTCGCTGGAAAAATTGACGTTCGAAAGACCCCGAAGACATCCAAACCCTTTTCCATTCCCCAATCCTCCCTAAACCTCCCTTGGCAATCAGTATCAACCCCCCTTTTCCAACCTGCTCTCCCCCTCCGTCCCCTTATTCTTCTCCTTCGCAACCCTTTCCTTCTCCAAGAAAGCCGCCTGCTCCACCCGACTCTTCTTAACATCCACAAAGAACAACAAGAACAGAAAACTAGCCAAACTCAAAGCAAACAAAAAATAAAACGGCGAGGAATTGTTTCCCGTATCGTCGATGATGGCGCTGCTGATGAACGGACCGATGAAAGAGGAAGTCTTGCCGATGATGGAGAAGAGGCTGAAGAAGAGGAATTCTTTCCCTCGTGGGGTCACTTCGGAGATCATCTGTGAAAGGAAGGGTTGGCGTGGAGAGGGTCAGGGAGTGTAGGAGGGATGGCTTACCGTTTGTGAGTAGGAATACCACGGACAAACAAACAATCCGTAGAAAGCTTGATATACCCAGACTTCCCAGGTGTTATGAAATCCAAACTTGTTCGTCCAGATTCCAATCATGCCCCATCCATCCAGCAAGATAATGCCCACTGCCACCGCATTGAACATCGTCTTCGTGGACAGCTGGAACCGTTTCTGCAGATTCCAGTATGCGAGAATCCCCACCGCTTGCGCCGCGATCCCGACAATGAGCAGATACGTCAGCTGCAAGGTGTTGTATGCCACGATTTCATTCTGGAGGGTCGCAATCACCGTGACGGTCGTGTTTAGAGAATCTCCGAGCAGAAAGTACCCAATGAGATAGAAGAGCGATTGTCGAAGTTGCCAGACTTCCTTGAGAGCACGGAATAATTGCCAGGATCCTGCTAGGACAATATTCATCCCCGGGTCCTGGCCAGGACGGCGTTTCTCAAGCCAGAACCATGGCATAGCAACAAGAATCCAGACTCCCGTAGCGAAAGCGACGAGGACCGAAAGACCCCAATTGTTATTCGCCGTACTAGCGTTGACGTTCAGACCGAACAAAATGCCCACGATGACGGCCAATATCCCCACTTCGGCGACACTCTGAACGTAGAAAGCCGTATTGCTCAATTCATTGCGTTTCATACTATCCGCGAAATCGTACTCTTCCCTAGTGAGATCTCCATTCTCGAACTGTGTTGCTCTTTCTCGTAGCTCTTTCGTGTTCCGCGCCAATCCAGGGAAAGCAGCGGTCCAGTATGTCAGACATAATTGGTATGCGATCAGACCTACAATGTAGAGTCCTAGTCCGATATGCCAGTCGTTTTCGGTATGCACACCCAGCCATCCAAAACCTATTCCCCACGCAATGAGCGACAGTACGATTAGGATATTCGGTCTAAAGGTCCCAAAATCCGCGTACGAGCCCAGAATGAGGAAAACGACAATCTGAATCGCGAACGAGATACCGTTGCAAAGCAGAATGATCGAATTGATTGTCCTGTCTGACCCCGCAAAAGATAAGATCTCATTTCCTTCTCCTCCTCTCTGTACGGCTGCTTGACTGAGGAGGTTCTGCGCGGCTGTGGGTGCAAAGTTGAACAGGGTGAGGCCGTTGTTGCCGATGTAGTAGGAATAGTATGACCAGATTTCGTACTTTGAAGTCTCGTACTGTGGATCGAATTGGTCGGGGGCGACTGGGTGGTCTTCTTCGACGAGCTCGCCATTGGGTAGCTTCTCGACGTCGCCGTGGAGAGGGTCTTCGGCGGGGGCGGAGAGGGCGGAGAGGGCGGAGAGACCTGGGTCGGCGGAGGCCATTGTGGATGGCTAGAGGGCGCTGGGCGGTGGAAGGAGCTGTTTCTGTAAAGCATATGGCGTCGCGAAGAGAAGGGAGAAAGACAGAGGTAGGAGAGTATGCGGAATCAAAGTAGGATACCTATCTGCTCTTTTGTCCCCAGTTGCAGACGACCGGCCGCCGTGAGAATGGATTGGAGAGGAGAATGGATCTGCGTTCGGAACATAGAATGTAGACGGCAGTACCCTCTAGATGAGTATGTGGTAGGCCGATGCGATGAGAGTTCGCCGTGCGATAAGAGACCCGTGGACGCTGCAGTGTGGGTTTCCGCTAGTGAATTCTGTTTTGCCGAGAGAAACGGCGGTGGCCTGAGCTTACAAATCCGCAAAATGGTTTTGCCGACTGCCGAAGCGGCACTCGCTGTGAGTCGCGACTCACTCTACCACCACAATAACAACTTACGACGGCGACAATGAGGCTCCACGAGTGTCGCGCACCGCTATTGTCGACGTGAACGGTTAATATGAAGTTAGGCGCAGCTTTTGGCTTCATATTGAACCCGTTAATAGCGGTACGCGGCTTTATATTGATTAAAAGCTATTGTCGCGCTTATACTATTGTAAGTACGAGTCCACAATATCGAACAATAAGGTAGCTACTAATAATAAGTAGGCTATTTTATAAGAAGGCATTCTTATCTAGCGAACCTAGACCTCTTTTCCTACCTAGATCGTACTCGTAGACTCGCAAATCGACAATTCATAGTATTAATCGACTAGGAGACTCTTACATTTATCTATAGACGACTCTACGACCGATACTAGCCTAATTATCAACCTACTCCTTCGCCTCCGCCTTAGTCTACGCCCGAGAGCGCCCTAGTAGCAACTATGTCGGCCCTAAGGTAAGCTATCCGAAGCCTAAAGAATGGGCAAAAGCTAATTAGCGAGTCTAGCGAGTCCTACCGCAAACTAGAGACGTAGGATAAGACTACATTCTAGTATATCTCCGATAAGGATTAGTAGCGCTATTTAAACAATCTTAAATCTAGTAACAAGTAGGTTCGTAAGTCCGCGGCTAATAGCCTACGGCGGTTTGCTTACGCTAGCGAGATAATAGAGACGGATCTAGGTATGCTTTTTCTAATTTATATAGACTCGCTACTAAAATCTAATCGACTCGTAGGTATACTATCTTCTAAGCCTAGCGGCTGTAAGTAGTACGCTACGAGAGGTCTAGATTATATTATCTATAAAGGTAAGGAATATACTTAATACGCGTTCTGTAAGCGCTACGGTCGCCTAGGTTGTAATAGTAAGCTCTAGAAGAAGTATAAGAAGTAGAAGGATAAGTAGGATAACTCGCTAAAGCCTAAGCCGGACTCGTAGGCTACTATAGGTGATTCTAGGGCTACTATAGGTGACTCTAGGGCTGAGATAGGCGACTCGTAGAAGCCTACGAGTCTTTAAACCAAGATTACTAGGCTTAAGAAGGGTTTAGGGTTTGCCTATAAGCGTATTAATAATCTAGAGGCTAAGCTCTACTGTATAATAGACTTTATTACGTAGCTACCGGGTAGCGAGTAGTTCGTAGCTAAATATAAGGGTAAATATACTTAGTAGATAGTATAGATCAATTCTAGCCTACGAGTTATAGCGAGTATAGCTAATTTTAGCCTACGATTCCGTACGAGTCGGGTAGCTTAGGATATATAGAATCTTAGAGCGATTAAATCGCCTACGAATCTAGCAATTTTAGGCCTACGAGTCGGGCAAATTATAATACTACGAATCTTAGAGATCGTAGAATCCCTAAATCGCCCGCGAGTCTACCTAATTTTAGCCTACGAGTCGGGAGAATGTTAATATTAGAGATCTCTAAGCCTTTAATCGTTATTATATTTATACTATTAACCCTATACGCCCTTCTATCCTTTTAAAGCCTCGCTACTAACTCGCTACCGACTCGCTATAGCTTCTTTAACGCCCTTATAACCCTTTGAAACTCCGGAATCCTTATATACTCCTTCCTTAGCTTCTTATTCCTTATTGCCTCCGCTAGTACACTCGTAGTACTCGCTAGTCCGCTCGGGGGCGTACTCGTAGGCTCCGCTAGTACACTCGTAGCCTTAGTATCCTTAGGTAAGCTAGTAACCTACCTATCGCCCTAAATCTCCGTCGCTACCGGCGACTCGCTAGCGACTCGCTCTACTAAATCCGTAGGAGTAATCTCTATTCCTTCTTTAATAGTACTTAAATCTATAGGCTCCTTCTTTATTACTATACGTGCCTCCTACTTTACTACTAGCTTGCTTTTAGGCACTCGTACGTACGTAGGCTCGTCGTCGTCGTTATTATTAGTAAGGTTAATAATATCGATAGGGTTATAGGCGCTTAATCCCTAGGTACCGGATATAGACGAAGGAGTAGATCGATAGGGTAATTCGCGACTCGCTTAACGTTTGTAACTAACTAGCGGACTAGTAGAGGCCTCTTTCTCGGTAGATTAGGCACTCGTAGAGGGACTCGTAGGCTAGCGGAATTTAGCTAGTTTATTAGGGCTAGTAGAAGGCACTACTTTAGATTCGCTAGTACTCGCTACTATACTCGCTACTACACTCGCTACTACCTCCTTAGCTATCTTTCTTTTAGCTTTAGTACTAGGCCTCTAACCTAGACGCCTACTACGATAGCGCCTATTAAGGCTCTTTATTAGATCCGGATCTAAAGAGGAGCTGTCGTCGGTAGACTCGCTAGACTCGCCGTAGTCCTTCGGAAGCCTATTCTACCGCTTATCTTTAGCTACAAGGACAGCGACCCTAATATCTACCTCCTTTCGCGTAGGATTTGCCTAGTACCTACGCTTAAATAGTAGTAATTACTCGTTAAGGTCGTCTTTGTCTCTACTGTTCGAGCTTAGTATAATTAAGAGCTTCTACTCTTTGTCGTACCGGGTATATATAAACGGACGTTTGTAGTACTATAGGCCGGTAACCTTCTTAACCTTAATATAGCTAGCGTATAAAGCCTAGTAGTAAAGCTAGTTACGAGTGCGCGGCGAGTCGAGTAGTAGGGCCTTAAAGTCGCTCTAGTAGCCTACGATAGACTAGTAATCGACTAGCTCTAGATTATCTCTAACCGTCCACCTCTACTAGCCTTCCTTCTTAACTATATTAACTACTACTTTACTTATATATACTATAACGTAAAGCTTAGGGCCCTTTAGTACTTTCTTCGGTCTACTACCCTTGTTCTACGACTACGAGTCGGCCTACGAGTCGTCTCGTAGCTCGGTACTACTACTACTACCCGCCTTAAGTCGATTCGTAGCGATTAGCGTGCTCCTATATAGACTCGCTTTACTAGTACGAGGACCTTATACCTCTCCGGATAACGGATTAATACCTATATTACTAAGCGGGCGGATATGCTACTTCTTATTAGCGGCTAAAACGGCATTAGTACGGCTAAATAAGCTTTTAGCGAGTCTAGTAAAGCTACTATAGCCCTTTATAGACGCGGGCTCCTTCCGCCGTAGAGTAGGGGAATCGATCGGATCCGGTACTAGTATTAAGGAAGGGCCTACAGTCGACTCGCGGCGACTCGCTATATTAGTGTCTACTATAGTAAAGAACGGGTTCCTAAGGCCGCATTTACTATAGCGGGGCTTATCGCTATACTCTTTAGCATAATTAAGAGTATAATCTACCTTATTAGATATATAGAAGTCTTCCTAGAAGTTAGTAGAAGAAGCTATAATAGACGTATATAGAAAGATAAGACGTAGTATTAAGGAATGTAACGTTACGAGTCTACTACGAGTATATACGAAGCTTTATAGAGGCTCCCTAGTAGTAGTAAAGACGGTTCTCGTACGATTAGACGGCTCGAGGCTATTTAAGCGAGTCGGCGCGATATACTTAGCGAGTCGTCTACTAGTATCTAGGTACTACTTAGCTACTCCTCGGAGGTACTAATAAGCGTGTATATAAAGCTTCTTAGGCCTATTACCGAATCCGGGTTCGCTACCTTTAAAGGTTAACGGGTAGCTAGCGAGTACGAGCTGTTCGTTTACCTATTATAGAGTTGTCGGAGGCAGGTATAAGCTAAGGTCTATATATAGCGAGGCGTAGTTAGCGTAGGAGTAAGAGAGGGGTAACTCTATAGGCGGGTAGCTAGAGCTGCGAGTGACTACGAGTACAGCTAAATTGGCTACGAGTACGGTCCAATTTCGAGCTACTTACCTAGTACTAATATAGAAAGCTCTTTAATTACCCGCGGAGCTTACTATAGCCGTCTATCCGGTTTATCTACTACTTAAGAGTAGTACTCGCTAGACTCTTAGGGTTAATTAGATGCCTACGCTAGGTAGTGTCCTCGAGCTCTAGATACTCGTAGAGCAAATCCGGTATACTACTAATATAGCTCTTAAGGTTTTATACTCGTACCGGGTGCCGATTCTACTCTAAGACAAAGTAACTAACTATATAGCGTATAATTAGAGTATAGATTGCGAGGAAGGCGAGTCGATTAGATAGCTTAGCGGCCTCGAAAAGGTGTAGGTTAATATACTAGTTAAATAGGTCTCTCTAGCGATTTATAGCTAATTTAGCTATCTCGCCCTACTAGTACTTAATAGTCTAATTGCCTTTACTCGTAGTATATAAGAAGGCCTTAACAAAGTCGATATTACGGCCCTCGATAAGCTCTCGAAGCCGTAGATAGGCGTCTACTAGTATAGGTGTCTCGACACCTTAATTAGAGCGGACTCGCTAAGGGACTCGCTAGATATAGTTAATTATAGTATAGTACTACGAAAACACTAAGTACTTTGTCTTTACTATTAGGCTAACGTAGAACTAGATAATCCGGCGTAAGTAGACGTTAATATAGGCGTAAATCTAAATGCCGAATTGCTCGATTTTGTAGAAGGCATTAATTAACTAGACGTAGTTAGGCCTATTAGCTTTTAGTCGTACGTACCGTAGCCTATTCGGATAGCGATTACGTAGTTCGCGAAGCTTATATAGTAGAGCGTTAATTTGCCGTGAAATCCGGTAGATACGGTCCCTAGTAGGTATTAGTATAGTAAGAAGAGGGCTACGAGTCGGCTACGAGTCGATTCCCTACCTACCTATAATATACTAGTAGGTTCTTAACTCTCGTACGAGCTTACGATAGCTAAAGTCTTAGGTTTGCCTATTAATTAGTACTACTCGAAGTACCTTATCGACGTAGGTAGTAGCTACTTCTAATTCCTCGTGTTCTAGTCGACGCTTAAGGCCGTAAGTACGGCGGAGCTCTTAATACTACCTTAAAGAGATATTATAGCTATTAAGCCGTAGTATAGTATAGCTCTTCTTGTCGCTAATAGTATATAGCTAGAATAGCTCGGTAATCCGCTTAATTAGTACTACGTTACTACTATAGTTAATTCGAGGGCGAGTAGTCACTCCCTATCGCGATAAGTGTGTCTATAGAGTTCTAATACCGTAGCGAATGCCCTTAGTATTATGTAGGCTCTGTACGACTCGCTAGTAGGTATATCTAGTATGAATCTAAAGCTTAATCTAGAGCCGATAGGGCTGTAAATCGAGGGCCTAAGGCGGCATGACGACAAAGTAGACAATGAAGGACCTAATAGATGGATTGCGAGTCGATAGCGAGTACATCAGTGCCTAACCACTGCGATTACGGTGTGTGAGAGTGTGGTGGTGCGGTAGCAAAACCGGCAAAACCATTTTGCGGATTTGTAAGCTTAGGCCACCGCCAAACGGCTTAGCCACGTGAGGTTTTGTGGAGCTTTTCGAGAAGAACTCTGTTCGTTCCGCCAATTGATATTGAAGCAAGCATCTTGTTGTACGTTTGAAGGGCCGGAAACGCTCGAGGCAACTGTTTGTCGAAACGCGACCTCGAAGCCTCGACTTGGATGCCTCCACCATTGACGAGTACTTTCATTGACGGGCCAGCTATTCGATATGAGGACTAGCTCCACCCAGGCATCGTCACGTCCCCTTCCCTCCACCAGACATCTCCACGACGGCAATGGAGACCAACTTCTTGGGAAAGAAAACGACAAGCAGAGAGACTGACGCATCTGAGTACAGGGAAAAGGGACATTGCTCCGATCTGCCAGAGCATCGAACTTCACTCACAAGCGCCAGTGCTTCTACCTCGACCTGTCCCTCCAAACAACCTCATCGAGCAACAACCTCTTCCTCACAATCGCTTCTCCACGAACACTCCTCATAACAGTCCTCACATCGGGATGAGCGTACTACGCCACCTTCGGACCCGCCGAATCGACCCTCTCATGCATCGCCTTGAGCGGCAATTCCTTCGTCTCCAACCCCTCTAATCCCGCCTCCGGCCTCTGCTCCGGCAACCTCGCGTGCATCGAATCAGGCACAAGTTCCGGCGTGACAGCGCGCGTGAGCTCAGGTCTTTCGGTCGGAGGAGCGAGTGAAGAATCAGGTTCGGCCGTGATTTGGCGTTCGAGGATAGGCCTAGGACCCGGAGCGAGGAAAGAAGGATTTGCGGATGTAGGGGATCTGGGACTGTCGAGTTTCTCGAGGACGGAATCGCGTTTCTTTGCGACTTTTGCTTCTGGTGCGAGGGCTTGGCCGAAGCCTTGGGAGGTTGCGACTTGTTCGATGGATTTGAAGTACTACACGTGAGAGAGGTGAGTGTCGGTGCGAAATGCATCTCGACGGGGGCTACCGGAGAGACATGGTCTTTTGCCGGATGATGGGCAAAACATACCTTGACGGTCTTGACCTGCAGTTCCAGCGTCGCATCCTCATCGACAACGATCATGGCATGAGGATGTAATTGCAGGGAGGACAAGGTCCACATATGATTGACACCGCCTTCGATGCACTTCTGCAGTGCGAGGGACTTGTGTGCTCCCGTGATGATGACGACGACCTCTCGTGCCTGTACATCTGATTGTCAGCATGAAAGTTTCGCTCATCATGCTTGCAGCGACCAACTGACATCCAGAACAGTCTGCACTCCCACAGTCAAGGCCATCTTCGGCACCTTGTTCAGGTCATTCTCAAAGAATCTTGAATTCGCAATAATCGTATCATACGCCAACGTCTTGACGCGAGTGCGACTTTTCAAGCTCGACCCGGGCTCGTTGAAAGCGATATGGCCATCCGGTCCAATGCCTCCGAGGAACAATTCGATCCCTCCGGCCCGTCTGATCTTCTCTTCGTATGCTATGCATTCTTCTTCGAGATCGGGAGCATTGCCATTCAAGATATTGATATTCGCTGGATCGACATCAACATGGCTGAAGAAGTGCTTATACATGAAGGAATGGTAAGATTCCGGGTGTTCTCGGGGGATCGCGACATATTCGTCCTACAATTCATTGAGTCCATGTCCCTCGTCCATTTCAGACCAGAGGTGACACGAACCATGTTGAACGTGATGACGTTCTTGAAGGAAATCTCGCCATGCTTGTGAGCTTGGACGAGGTTCTTGTAGATGCCCTCGGGAGAGGAACCGGTTGGGAGACCCAGGACGAAGGGCTTCTCGGGCGTGGGCTCGAAGGACAGGATGCGTTGGATGATGTAGTCGGAGATGTATTTTGAGGCCGTGGCCTTGTCGTCGCGGACGATGAGTCTCCTACATCCAATCTCCGTCAGCGTGGCCTGGGCTGTGCTCTGCTCCGGATCGAATGGCGGGAACTTACATATCGTGCTGCAAGGGAAAGATATCGTGCTGTGCAGGTGAAGCGCGGTTAGAAGGAGTAAGGCAAGGGAATGTCACTTGAAGCACAATATGGCTTACTACCACCAGCTACCATTATTACAGCTACAGCACATGCAGTCTCTTTTGTTGCCATCACGTCACCCCACAGCAGGGGAAGCTACAATGGGGGAAGCAAGGCACGACCTGGTCGGGCATGGGCAAGCATTGCAACCTCGTGGCAAGCCGTGGCAAGCCGATTGCTCCAGTCGCTCGTGGAGGCAGCACGCAGCCTCACTGACTTTGCAGAGCTGAAGCTGGCGGTTCTACCCTCCCCTCCGTCCTGCTCTCCAGTGCAGCGGGACAGGTCGTTCCGATGTTTCATGGAACGGTGGGAGGTGCAAACGGAAGAGAGGTCCAAACACGGCAAGGGAAATGAGGAAGGCCTTCTCCTCCGTCGCAGTCGCAGTCGCATTCGCATCGTGAGGCACAGTCAGTCCGCGTGGACTGAGGTAACACCTGGAGTAAGGTGAGGAACAGGCCAGAGGGGAGTAGCTCTCGGCTAGAAAGGAGCAGCTCGCGGATACAAAGGAGCAGAGGAGTGCCGTTACATTCTCGAACGAGATGCGGCTAAAGAGTAGGGTGTGGTGGCGATATCAGACCGTTACACGCTGCGACCACACTCTCAGCATCACACAGCATGTCTCGCGGGTGGGAACGTATCGTATCACGTGTCAGCGCCACACGGGCCCCGGCAGCTGTCGTGATGGGGCCTCCAAACTAAGAACTCGCCCCGTAATCTTGATAGTCATATACCCAATGAGATAGCCCGAAGAGACAAACGGCGCATGGGTAGCAGGGATAGGTTGGACCCTTGCAATCCTTCAATACTGCTCCGCTGTTCAGCTGCACCAAGTGAAGTGAAGTGAATAACTCTCTACCTTACCTTACCGATTATTAGGTACTTCACCTACTGCACCTGCCCACCGACACCACCACACGCACCATACGACGGCAGGCCTGCTCTTCACACGGCAGGGCAGCGGTGAATGAGGGATCTGCCCTCTTACCAATCGCCCACTTCCATCAAACACCACTGGACGCCGTGCGACTCTCTGCTCCAACAACACAACCACACCACTCCCACCGCCGTCGACAGACTGTCATAACCACACCACCCGCCCCTCCTCGCCTCCATCTTCCTCCCACAACCCTCCACCTCCAGTCGCTCGCTCGCAACACCTCCCCCATCACTGCCCGCCATGGCGGAGAAGACGGCCGCCGCGCCAGAGGTCGCTTCGCAAGACCACAGCTCCTCCAACGCCGACAACGAGCTCGCTCGCCCCGTCGGCTGGATGTACAAGAGCTACAAGATCGGTCCCGTCACGATCCCATACTATGCCTCGCCCAAGGCCCAGCTCCTGCTGGTGTCCTTCGTCTGTTTCCTCTGCCCAGGTGAGCACGCGAGCTACCAGATTCCACCCCCACTTGTGCCCTTCTGACTTGATCGCCAGGAATGTTCAACGCCCTGAACGGTCTCGGCGGCGGAGGCTTGCTCGACAGCAAGGCCTCCAGTGACGCCAACACCGCTCTCTACTCCACCTTCGCCGTCGTCGGTTTCCTGGCCGGCACCATCACCAATGCCATCGGCATTCGCTGGTCCCTCTCTTTCGGCGGTATCGGTTACTGCGTCTACGTCTCCTCCTACATCTGCTTCCGCTACACTTCCAACTATGGCTACATCAGTTTCGCCGGTGCCCTGCTGGGCGTTTGCGCTGGTGTCTTGTGGTCTGCACAGGGCGCCATCATGATGTCCTACCCCACCGAGGCCGAGAAGGGTCGCTTCATCTCCTGGTTCTGGATGATCTTTAACTTGGGCGGTGTGATAGGCGCCTTGGTAAGTAGACCTTCAAACGACGCGGCAAACCTTTGACTAATGATGGCTGTAGGTGCCCCTCGGTCAAAACATCCACGCCACCTCGAACGGCTCCGTTTCCATTGGTACCTACATTGGATTCCTGGTACTTACCTTCGTCGGTGGTATCCTCGCATGGACCCTGGTGGACGCCAAGGCTGTCGTTCGCTCCGATGGATCCAGAGTCATTCTGATGAAGCACCCTACCTTCAAGTCCGAGCTGCTCGGTCTGTGGGAAACCCTCAAGAGTGACCCGTACGTTATTCTGCTCTTCCCCATGTTCTTCGCCTCGAACTGGTTCTACACCTATCAGTTCAACGGCGTCAACCTGCCAGAGTTCAACACCCGCACTCGCGCTCTGAACAACGTCCTCTACTGGACCATGCAGATCGTTGGCGCCTGGATCTTCGGCAACGCTCTCGACTGGAGCTCTCTGAAGCGCACCACTCGTGCCAAGATGGTCTGGGGTGCCCTCTTCGTCCTCACCTTCGCCATCTGGGGCGGTGGGTACGCCTTCCAGACTGGCTACACCCGTGCAGGTTACGACGCGGCTGTGGAAGCTGCCACTGCTGGTGGCGGTACCTACAACGGCGGAATTGACTGGACCGAAGGCCGCTACATCGGACCCATGTTCCTCTTCATGTTTTACGGCTTCTACGACGCTGCCTGGCAGACCGCCGTCTACTGGTTCATGGGCGCAATCACCAACAATGGCCGCAAGCTCGCCAACTTTGCCGGCTTCTACAAGGGCATTCAGTCCGCCGGTGCGGCCATCATGTGGCGCCTCGACGGTATTGGCGTCAACTACATGCACATGTTCGCCTCCTGCTGGGCTCTGCTGGCCGGGAGCTTGATCATTGCTCTGCCGGTCATGATCATGAAGATCCGCGACACCGTTCCGATCGAGGAGGACCTCAAGTTCAGCGACGAGACCGTTGACGACGTGGTCGCCCACACTTCGGTGGCCGACGAGGCCGATGTCGAGAGTCGGGCCTAGACCGTCGATTGCATGTTGCCGGCCTGTCTCGTCCCGGCTCGTGTTCTTTTACTACTGCAGGGTTAATGTGGATGTAAGCCATCCCAGCGTGGCGTTCAGGATCTGTATTAGCGATGAATTCGTCGAGGAAAGGAGAGTGGCTCGGTCATGATGTGGCGTGACGAAGCCTACTCGCTTCCTTGTATGAGAGATGACGACAGCAGAAGCGAACAGCTTTCGTTTGAACGGACAGCGAAGGGACAACAGTGACAGAATTCAAAGAGCTTCAACTAAATTACCTTTTCCATTTTCCTCTCTGACTCGTACTCTATCCAACATGCCTCCCTTTTCCTGATATTATCAGAGCTCCCTGTCACGATTGTAACACCCTCGCACCTGGCCTCCAAAAAAGGGAAGGAAACATGACGAGGGTGTAGATCTAACCAGTCTGGCCACTCCTCTCCCTCAGCGCAACACCCTTGGTCGCTTCCAAGATATCCTTCAGAGCCTTGGGTGCATCCTCCTTGTCCATGACCACCTCCACCATCCGCAACATACTCTGCTTCAACAAGCTACCCTCCTCCGCCACCGCTTTCAACGCATTGTCCAACTCCCGCCACGTCCTCGCTTTCCTCGTGACAGCCCCGTAAACCCCCTTGCCCTCGGGACCCGTCTGCGCGCCGAAGAAAGCGGGAGCATCCAGATAATTCCACGCCGGAATGTCGTTGTAGTGAGCATCGTGGCCATGCAAGCAGCGCTCGATGGTGTAACCCTGATTATTCAGAACGAAGATGAGGACGTTGAGTTTCTTGGCGATGATGGTGGAGAGTTCTTGGCAGGTCATCTGGAAGGAGCCGTCGCCGATGATGAGGATGGTGCGCGGGAGGGTGGTGGGCCGGGGGGAGGTGGAAGCCGTGGCGTTGTGGAGCTCCCGCTGGGCAAGGGCGGCGCCTTGCGCGGCGGGCAGCATGTAGCCGATCGAGAGCCAGGTGATGGGGTTGAAGCAGAGGACGTTGGGCGGGAGGGACATGTCGCGGACGCCGTAGCCGGGAGTGCCTGTCTCGCCCATGATGATGTCTCCGGGCCGGGGCACGCGGGAGCCGAGCATTTGGTAGAATTTGGATTGCGAGATGGGGAGGTCTGGAGACGGTTTGGTGAAGGGTTCTTTGGGGGGAGGCGTGAAGGCCGAGGCCTTTTCTTGGTAGAGCGAGAGGTCGAGTTTGCCGAGGAGGGAGATCAGGAAGGGTTTCGCAGGCAGGTCTCGAAAGACTTGGTCGCCGGCGTCGACCGAGGTGGCCTTGAAGTAGATGGTGGTTTCCGATTTGGGGATGGTGGTGTAGAGGTAGGTGTTCGTGTTGCTGAAGTGAGGTCCGAAGCAGAGGACAAGGTCTGCGGAGCCGATGTAGTCCTGCTCCTCTGGAGGGGAGTAGGCGCCTTGCCAGACACCATGCACGTTGGGAAGGGTCTCGTCGATGGTCCCCTTCGCGAAGCTGGTGATCCAAGTCGGCCATCCGCTCTGCTTGATGAACTCGTGGACCTCGTTGAGGATGCCATATGGCCCGCTCTCGCCGTCTACCAAGATCATGGGCCGTTGAGAAGCTTGAGCACGCTCTGCAACGAGCGCTATGGCCTTCTCCGCTTCGCCGGCAGAGATGGAGGAAGGGATCGTAATCGGCGACCTCAGCCTTTCGGATGACACTTCGGCAGCTACCATATCCACAGGGATTTGAATGTATACCGGACGACTGTGAATCAGACATTGCTGGATGGCATCGTCGATGAGCTGAGGAGCAGTCCGCGGGTCCAGCAGATTGGCTTGCGCCGTGGTGACATGCTCGGCCATTCTCGCAAAGTGGCCATATTCTCCGTCGAGCATGGTGTGGTGGATGTGTGACCTCGATTCCTGCTGCTGCCGGCGCGGAGTCCCAACGATATGGATGACTTTGGCAAGCTCCGTGTAAGCGCCGGCAATGGCATTGATGGCGGACAGCTCGCCCACGCCGAAGGTGGTGATCAGGGCACCGACGCCTTTGACACGAGCGTAGCCATCGGCGGCATATCCGGCGTTGAGCTCGTTGGCGTTGCCGACCCAATTCAATCCGGATGGTTCGACGTAGTCCAGTAGGGTGAGATTGTAGTCGCCGGGAACGCCGTGGACAGATCCGACGCCCAGCTGGCGAAGTCTGGTGAAGAGGTAGTGAGCGAGCTCGATGGTGTCGGGCATTCTGGATGGATCCGAGGAAGGCAACAGCAGGCAGTAGTTGCAGGATTCGGGAAGGAAAGTTTGGAGGCCTGGTAAGTCGGTCGGAATGGCTGGGAAGCAGGTACGAGGTGAGGTGGGCTAAGGCGGTTACCTAGCAAGCCGAGCCTGGCTAGCACTGTCACTTAATTGTCACTGGAAGCTGGAAGGGGAAGGGCGAGCAACGAGAATATCCGGCTTCTCATCAAGCATTGCTAATATAGACGTTGCGGCACGTGTGTAAGACGCCCTCCGGCTGATGGACATGTTCGTTATTTTATTCGTTACACGGCAAGGACTTCGCTTGACTCTCCTTGCACGGTCCGTTATGTCCAGCAAGCAATCGTCTGCGTCGCACCAAGCGACAAGGGTCGGCTTCGAGATCGAAGCACCCGCGGATCCGGTTACTCGGCTTCTCTTCAGTACATGTAGTCAAGATGAAGACGATGTGGACATGGAGACGGCGGAAGGCGCGCGAGCATGTGAGGAAATCTGCCGTGCGTAATTTCTGCCCCAAATCGTTATTGACCGTAAAGAAGACCCGCAGAGCCAAAGCATGCTGGCATGGTTCTGAGCAGTGACGGGAGCTCGCGAGTCTCGTTACTTCTATTAATGATATCCCGAGAAAGGCAATGCTCTCTCGGAGATCTCGTAAGAGCAAGACTGCCGGCTAGTAGTGAGAGACGGAAAGAATAGGGCAGAGAGGCAAGAGGATAGCTGCTTCTTCGAGGGCTATGAGCCCTGGCCGAGGTTGTTGGCTGATGGCTTGATCGGCACCTGGAGCCGGAATCTGTAACTAGGTTGCTCGCACTGTGCTTGTGCCCTCGCGAAGTTGTGCCCTCGCGAGGGTAGTACAAAGGCAGATTGGAGGATATCGGCGCGCATGAGCGGCAGTTTGAGCATGAGCATCGTCTCAGAGGGCAGTGGGGCGGATGCTCGAGGACGCGCATGTGAAATGAATGAATGAATGCATGAATGCACCATGAATGAATGAATAGGCGATGACATAGCCACACCAGCTCGCCGGTCCACAGCCAAGCGTCCGCTAGAGAGTGACTACTGGGCAGTCGAGTAGTCGGCATGTGGTCATGGGCAGGCTGCTGCAACGTCTCAATGCAACTCCCTCCGCCAGATCTCACTGCCGCACTGTGCTCCACGATTGCGCGGCTGGCTGGCGTGCTGCGTCTGCAGACTCTGCCAGCCAGCCTCCAGTCAGACTCTGCCGTGGGAATCGCCCAGCCATCCATCGATCCGCTGCCCTTTTGCCATCCCATCGACTGACTCTTCGGCACACGAGGGTAGGGGACTAGAAGTACATAGTACTGCTCCAGGTACATGTACACCGCGGTAGGCACAGGCTCAGGCACAGGCACAGCAACGGTGAGGCCAGTCATCATCACAAGTGCCAGGTGAGCTCGACTGCTCGAGCAGGCAGACGCCCAGCAGGCACACAGCAGCAGGCACACGCCAGCTGGCACACGGCACTTGCCTGCCTGCCTGCCTGACAGACGATAAGTCTGATCAACTGATAAAACTCTCCCGGCACCAACACATGCCTCCCCCCCCCCCAATCGGACTCCCACCCGATCGGCCAGGCCACACCACCGCACCGCACAGCACAGTACAGCGAATCCCAATCATGAACCCAGCGCCGAGCTAATACTGTGCAATTGCATCTGATGAAACCTTCCCGCTAGCCCACTGCCACCTCCTCCACTATCCACCTTACTCTGCCAGCTAACTACTACTAACTGCTGAGCCCACCCAGCCGCCGCCTCTAGTAGCACTCGCTCACCAGTGCTCCTCCGCTGCCACCGCTGCTCCCACTTGAGCCTCACCTCAAACGCCCGCCTATGCGCCTGTCTTAGCTGGCCTGCCGCGTCAAATGACTACACCCTGCCGCCGCTACCACCTCCTGCGGTCCTCGTTCCCCATCCTGACTCCCCTTCCGCGCTCGGCGACCCGCAACATGCATGTATCACCACTCTTGACCACCATGCCGGCGACTACCCTACTGCCTTGACGACCCCATACGAATCCTAGCGTCCTCGCCAGTACCACCCATCGCCACGCCCCATTGCCCTCCGCGCATTCCTCTGTGCCCTACAGAAGCAACCCTCCCGCATATATCCTTCCTGCTCATCTACCCTGCCTGCCACATGACACTGCTGCTGTTTGCATGAGCCTTGTCGTCCTGCCCTCTTCACTGCCGCCTCGGGAAACCACTCAGGCCGGTACCTGGTACCTTACACTGCCTGGTCACTGCCTCTTAGCCCCCGCCTACCTACATCACAGCGCCATTCTCACCCGCAACGACGATTGGTCCATGTGCGCGATTGGACTGGCTGCAGGCCGCTCCTCCCTTTCCCTCATACTCGACTTCTGCATCGTCAGCCGCTTGCCTGAGAGCGATGAGCGTAATGATCCAATCGATGGTCCGCGTGGACCAGCCTGCCTATCCTTCGAGCAAACGGCCGTCGTGCCTTCAACACCATGTAGTTGAAAAGGTCACGCAGAAGAGCATGGAAGACTTCAGAGACGAGGTTCGCGGCCTCTTCGAGGCCTCGTTGGAGACGGATCGATTGCTGGCCATCTCTCAACAACTGCAGAACGAGTGCAGAGAGCGCTTGGCCAAATCGGATATCTCCATGTTGCCCTCGTACCAACATACCCTACCCTCTGGCCACGAGCGTGGCGACTTCCTGGCGCTGGACGTCGGAGGTTCGACTTTCCGCATCGCCCTGGTCAGACTTACCGGAAAGGTCAAGCCGGGTAGCGACGGTCTGCAGATTCGACGCATACGGAGCTTTACCATTGATGAGCAGATCAGGCTGCTGAGAGGTCAAGCATTCTTCGATTGGATGGCCGAGAGGATAGGTGATATGCTGGGAGAATACAACAACACCACGAATGGGGCAAATAACGCCGCATTACCCATGGGTCTCGCATGGTCTTTCCCCATTGAACAGACGTCGCCTCGCACCGGGAGATTATTGGCGATGGGCAAGGGATTCTATGCCACACACGGAGTCGAAGGCCAAGATCTGAGCGAGCTGATCATGCATTCATGCCATCGGAAAGGACTGAAGGTGGAGATGCGTGCAATTGTCAACGATGGAACCGCGACACTCATGTCACAGGCCTACCGCGATCCTACCACCAGAATGTCTCTTATCTTGGGCACCGGCACGAACGCCGGAGTCTATCTCCCCGTTGGCGCTCTCGGATCTGGAAAATTTGGGGAGCGACCAAACACCTGGTTCGAAGCCGCCGACCATGTCCTTGTCAACACAGAACTGAGCATGGTCGGCAAACTCTGCCTTCCTGTGACCAAGTGGGACGATTGGTTAAATGCCAAGCACCCTCTGCCCGATTTCCAGCCCCTGGAATATCTCGTGACTGGCCGCTACCTGGGTGAGATAGTCCGCCTCATACTTCTCGAAGCCATCCAGAATGCCGGGCTGTTTGGCGGACAGATTCCCGAGCACATCGAGGAGGCATACGCATTTGACTCGAGGATTCTCGCAGCATTCGAGAGCGATTCTACTGCTGGCCTCGACAAAGCTAGAGCAGCATTCCTCCAGGCGCATCCCATGCGCTCGCCACCGCGCCTCAGCGAGCTGGAGTTCATTCGAGACATCGCACGCATGGTGTCAAAACGAGCTGCTGCCTACCTAGCGAGTGCACTGCATGCTCTCTGGAAGGTCCGCACCGAATCAGAAGGCTTCGCACCTGGCGAGGCGACACATGTCACCATTGCTTGCAACGGCACAATAGTCGAGAAGTACCCGGACTACCGAGAACTATGCCAGAGACATCTCGACGATCTCTGCGTGGCATCTGGAGCCTCGCGAGGTGCCGTCACCCTCAAGATGGCACCCGAGAGCTCCATTTACGGTGCTGCGGTCGCTGTGGCCTGCATGGAAGACGTGTGATGGAACAGATCTTGAACACTGGCAGATTGGCGAACTGGAAATCGCAAGAATCACAACATTTGGAATGATTTAAAAGTCACAATGCATTACCTGTTCAGAAGAGCAGGTGACAGAGAGCGTAGGGCGCACACGGAGTTTGTGACGGGCTCGTGAAGATACCCGCTCCACGAAACGATGAGGTGGAGAACCCGTTGCCGATGATGACTACTTGGAAGATGAAACTCTTTTGAATCCCCACAAAGGAATTGGGGATAGAAGCAGATTTAATTGGTGGACTATTGCTTGAGGAGGGACACGGCAGGGTTTCCGGTCTGAGACTGGCGACAAGAAGGTACACTGAGCCTGGCAGCCCGGTGGCTTCGAGAAGGAGAGGGAGTAAGGTAGCGAAGGAAGAAGCAAAAGTCACGGTAGCATCGCAGCATCGTAACTCCTCGCTAAAAGCACTTTCCCCCTCTCTCGAACTCGCTCGCTCGCTAAGAGCACTTCCCCCCTTCCTTGTCGTCCCACCATACAGTGTACCGATCCACTAAGCCAAAGATACCCTCTCTTTCCCAAGAAGTTGCTCTGTTGTTCCTTGTAATGAATGCTACCTCACTTAACCCAGACAGACAGGGCAACCGAACACAGTAGGGCCGTACAAATCCTACGTATACCTTTCCCGCTCTCGCTTCTCTAACGAAACGAAAAAGGAATGTATCACAGTCAAGTCAAAGTCAAGGCCCTTTTCGGTCTCGGGTACATGTATCGATCGCTTCATTCAGTCAGCATCCATCATTGCAAGTCGCAAAAAGAGCCTGAATGCCACGTGAGAGCAACGTGGTCACTGGTCAGGATTGTGATGGATGGTTTGGTAGGTAGTATCGCACGTAACCTTGCAAGGGTGGGTTCAATTGCGCACGCACACCAGATCCTCCGTTCCATGCATGGGGTGGGTGGTGGAGTTCGCTTACGAGATCTCTTAGCATGTGCTTGGTTACTAGTGTGCGTGGTGGTAGTGGTGGTAGTGGCATGGATGGAGGGTTCAGGTGGGTCGGGGGACTACGCACGCAGAAGATTTCCTCGGGCGTAGCGGTTTGTTTTCTAAGAAATATGGCAGCACACCAGAGCCCGCCGTCTACGTACACAAGTTCCCGAGGAAGTGCTTTGGTACGATGACACGTGAAAGAAAGACGGAAAGGAGAGGTGTTTGCGAGAAATTTTCTGTGCACGTTATACATTCTTTAAGGTTCCTTTTGGTGTCTGAAGTTGTGCCTTGTTCCCTTTGGATCTGAAAGACATGCGCTCGGTGCAGATGTCTTCGTCGTGGCAGATAGTCAGTCATCTCAAGCTATATCCTCTCACCGTCTTTCTGAGCTTGCATGCCCCAAACCCTTCCCTCCACGTCTTATTGCATCCTCCCTCATCGTCACACTTAAGAATGTTGCTCTTCCTTTCCTACTACCCCATTATTACCCCGTCGTCAATCTCGTTCCTGCGCAAAGCGGTGTCGTTTTGTTGGGCGATTGCCTAGCAGTCCGTGTATTTGGTGAGACGTTTGCCGGCTATGAAAGCCGGCACGGCTTTGAGTGAACACCTTCTGAGCGACGCCATCTGAAGCTCTCGGTCATGGTCCAGACGCCGTTCCATCTCGATGGCAGCGAGTGCACTGGCAGAGGCCGTCTCGTTCTGAGACTTCATCACGGCCACTTACGCCTCAGCTGCCAACGTCCGCGCTGTAAAGCCTCTTACTCCTCATCTTTGCACTCTGCACCGGATCTCTCGGATCAGTGGGCAGCTTTGTGTGATGCACAACATGAGGTCGGTACACCGCATCCACGGGCGGCATCCAGTCATCGAGACCCAGCGGGAAGTACTCATACAGCAAGTCTGCGCTCTCCTCGGGGCTATTGATCGTATTGATGGTGAATGAAGGCGGCCTTGGAGGGATTTGCAATCTCTTCGTTGCCCATACTTCCGGTGGAGTGGTGCTCCTGTTGCCCGGCTTGGGTGAATCTTCCTCTACCAATGAGAGATTTATGGGTGCGGCCGATGACGCCGCGGTCTGCTTTTGATTCCGCATGATACCTGGCGACGACATGGGGTATGCAGCTGTCACATTCGGTGGAGTAGTTCGAGGCTGCGCTGCAAGATCGTAGTCTTGCGCACCGGCATTGCTCTGTGTCCAGTCGTAGTTGTCGTGCCTTCCTATGACATCGTTCCCCTCAAAGAACGGCGGAATGGTCATTGGAGGCACCGGCGCTTCAGTCTTCACAGGAGCAGATGTTGGTGCCTCTGTTCTGGTTCGCTCCCCTCCGGCCACTGTGGCCGCTCGACTTTGACCTGGCAGACCGGACGACTTGCGCGTATGACCACTACCGTTCAACGGCATATCCTTCCGCGACTGAAAATTCCTGGGGCTTCGCCCTCGCACGATGATTGCTCCGGACTGGACCTCGCAGATGGGAATCTTTCCGCCTGTCGCCAGTGTCGCAATGACTTTCAGCCTGACGACAAAGTGCTGCTGCAACTCTTTGCGCCTTCCGTTGTTGGCCGTCGCTATCCGAAACTGGAGCCTCTTCCACTGAAATGGGAAGCTCGCGAAATCCGTACTCATCTCCGGCACGTTCATCAAGTCAAGCGGGATAGACGGTGGTTCACGCTCCACTTTGTCCTCCGGCACAGGCATGTTTGAGTTCGCTGGTGTCTTCCAAGGCACTGATATGATCTTCACGGGGTTTCCCTCCGTCGATTCTGTTGCGCTTATCATCAACTCTTGCCCGATGATCGGTATTTGCTCTCCTTGGTCTGTCATGATGTATCGCAGCGTTGGGGGGAGTGTGATTTCGCCAGTTATCTGGAATAGATTCCGCCGATAGCATGTCAGCTCCGACGGCGGTGGATTCTGTTCTCCAGCTGATGCCCACGGTGATTCTGCCAGGAAGAACATGCCATGCAGCTGCGCTTGTAGCGATATCGCTGTCCTCCGATAGGTGTAGTCGAGCAGTGTGTAGTCGAAAGATGGCGGGTAGAAGCTGAGGAGCTTGTTATCGCGGTCAACGGATGGTTCGGCGTCGTTCGTCTCTTGGTGCACGGGGTTCTCGAAGGCGCTCACGACGTCGGAGAATGGGTCTTCGTATGCGCTCGCGGCGAAACGCTTAATCGGCGGACCATGTAAGCCATGCAGATTGAGGTCGTCGCTTCTGTCGCCTCGGTCAGTCTCTGCGTCTTCTACACCTCGCACGCCATGGTCGCGCTTGTGATACGCCATACCCTGCGTAGCCTCCGTAGGCCGAATGCTGGTCGCCGCCGCCGCCGCCGCCGAAATCAGTGGGTAGCAGCATGTCTTGGAAGGGATCCTGGCCGTCCGCTACGTTCGGGTGCTGCATCTGGGTAGCGAGGTAGGTCATTGTCGATGGGTCGAAGCCTGAGAGGTCCATGATGGCAACGTCGCATCCGCGCGACACGCTCTGGGTAGGATCGCGCCGGAGAGCTGTGTCATCCAGAGTGCCCGTATCCTTTCTAGCTAAATGCCAGGCGAATCCCTGGACGATCGCCGTGGCCGTGGCCGTGGCCGTGGCTGTTCGTAACCTGGCGGATATGTGTCGCCGACGGGTGGTGTGCGGTACTCGGAGGGCCTATATAAGACAGAAGAGGGTGTCTCGCTGCTTCGATGCGCTCGTCCTCCTGCGCCCGGTGCACCCGAGCTGTCAGACCCGGACGTCAGTGTGCGGCAAGCTGAGTGAGGGTTGCAGGTGTGTGCGACTTGGATAGCCGGACCTCGACGTTCGGGGACCTGCGTACGCACGGAGATGGCCTGAGACTGGTGTGATGATAGCTGAACGGTAACGTATCTGTACTGGATGCTCTTCACGCATGCGCTGTCCACACTACCGTTCGTATCCTTCCCGCACACACGCCCACGCGCGAATAGCAGCAGGTTTTCGTGCCGTAAGTTTCGTGGATGCTCAAGGCCGGTCTAGAAATCGGCCGTGGACCAGGAGGCCTAAAGTTTGCAGCGCGAAGCGACGATATATGCAGCCTATCTTCCAAGCCAGACCCGAGGATCCTGCTACCTCTTCTGCCGCCGTCGTACGTGATATCCGGCTTTCGTATTAGGACACGAAGCGCCCAAGAAGGAGGCAGCGAACGAAGGGTTAAAGACTCGGCTGAGGGGTTTTCCTACAATTCTCGGTATATCGTCGACCAGTGTATCATCGACGATATCGATCTCGGGTTTCCGTCTCGTCGTGCTTATATTACCTTACGTATCCTTCTGCAAGATCCTCTTGATCCAGGCAGTCTTCCTAACATTTCACTGATGGAAACTTAAGCTTCATGGTCAATCATCCCGCCCAGATGCGGGGTATCATCACTACATGTATCGTACAAGGCACGGATGGGATGGAAGCATTCCGCCTTGGCGAGCATCATCTAATTATCTTCAGAGTCGTCCTGTAGTTACTTATCACGCCAACATTCATACCACACTACCGCTTGTCTCGTTGCTTTCTTCTATACCTTTATAGCCGCTTGTATCCCAAACGTGGAGATCTCCCGAGGCTCACGTGAATATCAATTGCCCGGACACGTTGATCGATCGGGGGTACTTGGGAGACATATAGAAAGGAGAGCATTGGAACTATCTCATATCGTTACACTATCATATGGAGTACACACTATCGAACCTGTATCCGAACATGGAACAAATGGATATCCCAAATCCGCGCCTCCCTAGAAGACACACCATTCTTATCCTACCAACTCCGTAGCCACCCTCGTAGAATCAAACCTCGTCGTTGTCAATGATGACACACCGCATGTCATTATGAAGGAGGAACCATCGTCCAGGTCGCGGCATCGCAGCTGACCTCCTCAAAGTTGTGCAGAACGCTAAAGCCCATCGCACTTAGGCCGTCAAAGTTACCGTCCCCATCTATCTGTTGGAGCGTCAGCAGGAGTAGTGTATTCAGGGGAGACGCCAACTCACATAGTCAAGAAGGCACACACTACATCCCTGCTGCTTGATCTGCCGCATCCCCAAAAGGATGAGGCCTTGAAGCAGCGTCGAGTACTCTCCCACGGCTGGGCTGATGACGGGTGATGATATGCCACCCGCGAGCTCGCCCAGATCCTTCATGCTCGGAACAAACTCCGCAAGTTGAGACTGCATGTTGTACAGCACTACTGTGCCGATGACCGATCCGTCTTCAGGACGCTTCGCGCGGATGATCCCACAAGCAGAGGGATCGGCCAAGGCCATCTTGTAGACTTCGGCGAGACCCTGTCGGTTGTTGGTCTTGATGTGGTCCAGCACAGGTCCAGCGTAGTCCCATCCATAGACGAGGTCGAAGTCATGGCCCGCACTCTGGAGACTTTTGGCCATCCCATCGGGTGGCGTCCACGTGGACAAGTTCCGGGCTACCATGCTGCAGACGGCTCTCGACAGTGCGGTGTTCCAGCCTAGGTCCGCGAACCAAGAACGCAGTCGCTTCCGTTCGCTTCCGTGCCCACTGGGAATCCCGAGATACATACTCGGAAGCCGAGAGCCTAACTGGAAACGCTTGATGCCTTCTTTCTGCAGTAGATTTCGGATGGCGCGGTTGTGTAGCGAATGGCCTATCGACAGCTTTCGACGGCTCGGATCGACGAAAATGGCTCCGATGACACCAGTGCCGGTGGCCTTGAAAAAGTAGGTTGCGCAGAAGCCGTACAACGCCTGAGTGCTGCTATTGCGTACGACGTAATGCGACTCCATCACGTCCGCATTGCGAAGCAGGAAGGAGTTCGATGTCGCGCTAGCCAGCTCAGAGTGCAGGCCTGGCGGAGTTCCATCCGCGACAAATCTAATGAGGACATCGAGACCGTTCGAGTCACGCTCCTCATTGAACGCTTCAACGAGCCAATGCTGCTTGGACTGTGACAACTTCTGGCTCTGGCTAATAGTTCCAGGCAACGACCCGGCGGCGTTGAAGTCCCCGTAGAGCACCTTGACCAGTGACATCAAAGCGGTCTCGGTGAAGTCGTACGTGCAGATGTATGTGCCTATGCTTTGATCCATGGCGAAGTCATAAGGCGAGCTGACAGCCACAACCACCAGAGGCTTCTCGCGCTTCTCGCCTCCAGAACTGTACTGCATATTGCAAATCATCGATACATGCTTCGTGAAGCCGTGTTGATAGAGATTGCGATTGGCATCCGCTGTTACAATGATAATGGCGCTTGCTCGATTGATCAGGTTTTCATGTTGAGGCCGCACGCCGTTGGCAGTGTAGCTGGTATGGAGGACCCGGCCGCTCCTTTGACGCGCTAATGATCGTCCGAGTTCGCGGAAGACCCGCTCTCCGCTCATGACAGATGCGCTTCGTTCCCAGACGGCTGGTTCTGGAGATCCATTTGTCGCCTGCTCTGATAGGCTTTGCGACGCGGCCGATGCTACCAGGGGCTTGACAAGTGGTGTGAGGAGAAGTAGCTCATCTTCAGGCTCCATGATGTTGGTCAAGGGCAGTAAACGGTTCTTATCTCGTACCACTGTGATGGATGAGTTGTATGCCTTGGTGGACAACTGGGTGTGAGACGGCTGTAGTTTGGTGAGCAAGCTGATGCCGGGTGGATTCAGCGCCTTGTCCCATGAAGTGCACCGCGACTTCATTTCCAGAGTACGCTCGAGAGACTGGTGTATTCTTTCTTTAGTGATCATGGCGTTCTCGAGACCCAGCTTGAAGCCGGCAATGGCTTCTAACTGATGCGTGTAGGAGCGGCACAGTAGTACGATATCACACCCAGCATTGACAGCCATCACCGTCCCACCTCCAACGCCGATGTTGTGGCTGAGGGCCTCCATTTCCAGACAGTCCGATATGACAACGCCATCAAAGTGGAGATCGTTGCGCAACAAGTCGTTCACCACCTGATCCGACAAGCAAGCGTGCATGACGTTCAAGCCTGCCGAGTTCATTGCGCAGCCACCGACCATCATTGCATCTATGCCTTCCTTCACAGCGTTGCGGAATGGCACCAGTGCGCTCAAGCTGAGCGACTCCAGGCTCTCGGTGATGGTCGGTACATCTAGCGCAGACCCGAGGAACTCTAGACTTCCATATGATGGAAAGTGCTTTCCCATGGTACTGACGCCAGCGTCCTTGTAGCCCTTCATGAATGCGATGCCATACGCCGAGACTTCTTGTGGATTGTCGCCAGTCGTCCGCACACCGAGCGGCTGATTTCGCGCGTTGGTCAAGACATCCAGGCAAGGTCCCATCATGAGATTTAGGCCGCATGCTGCGATCTCCTCAGCAGTGGCTTTTGCTACTTCGTACGCAATGTCTTTAGATCCGGTCGCTGCCAGTCCCATTGCGGAAGGGTACTGGCGAATATAGATTTCGTCGAACAGGCTGTTGACGCCGCCATTTTCCTGATCCAGGCCAATGAGTAAGGGCACAGTATGTCCAGCTTCGTATGCGGTCCGCTGCAACTCCAAGACGAGCTCAGTACACTGTTCAGCAGCTAAATAACATCAGCATATCAGCATGGTCTTGATCCGAGGCTGTCAGCTCACACTTCAGGTTCTTGGCGGTCAGTAAGATGGAGCCGAGGTGATGCTCCTGGATAAGCTTTTTGATCTGGGGCGTGACAGTGGTTCCCTCAAAGCCCATCTAGCAGAGACATTAGACATCGGGTCGAGCAAACCGAAACCACACTGTGGTGACTTGCCATAAACAGCTGCCCCAACGACCTGCCATAGCTATTAGTGAACACTCCAATATCGACGTGCTGTGAACGCAACGTGGTAGTCGACCTACCGGTCCATGTCATCCCAGACAGGATCGAGGGTGCCATTGCTACCCGCCATACTGCCAACGGTACCAACGGGCTAGCGATGACATGCAGCGCGCACGCTCCCCCTCCAACAATGGTGCCCTCGGCCAAGCGAGTCGAGCACGCGGCCAGAGCACGCGACAGCCACCGTTACGTTCCCGGTGGAGATGGTCCTGCTACGTTGACAGCGCGTTCATGCTCCTAGCTCACCGTCCGTCACGTTCGCATTTCCCACGAGTCCGTCGAGTCCACTCTGATGCCGCCGAGACGGTGGAGGTCGTGGTATCCGCACGCCAGACGGGCCGATGCGGTTCTCTGATTGCCGTGCAGGACAGAATCGACGGCGCCGAGGTGGTATGCGCTATGGTTGTTGGTTCGGGTTCAATGCCAGACAGGCCGCAGGGTACGGTACAGCGGCAGCGTGTTGCTGACTTTCCTGCCATCGGCGAACAATTCCGGCCCAGGGCCCCGACTGAGGTTGTATCGTATCCGGCTCCTCCCGAGCCACAAGATGCACTAGCACGTTTGTGGAGTCAATACATATTTCGTTTCCAAGTTCTTCCTCCTCACCCTCTTCTCCCACTTAGTAACACCTCCATACGACATGGCGACCTCCACGTCTTCAACCCATTCGCTGGCGCGAGCTCGTGGATGTAACCATTGGCTTCGAGTGCTCCACGCATTCCTTCCACCGCTGCTGCTGCGGCGATAGGCGGACAGGCAGCAAGCACGGCTGACCATGGAAAGGTTTGCAACGGAGCTCTGGGAGCTCGCGGCGTGACGTCTATCTACCGCATACCGTCCTTTGCCCGATACCATCGCGGTCGACGCGTCTCATGTGAAGTTTGGACTGAACTGACCTGCGAGGATTTTGCCGAAAAGCTCTGCCTCATACTAGCCATCTTCCTTCTCACCACACTCCTGCTTTACGCTGAGACCTCGCTAGCGAGCGTGCTTGGTACTAGACATCTTCCGCGGAGCTGCGATAGCTACGCACAACATCATCCGGTGAGGAAACAACGCAAGATGCCGATCGCAGTCTCTCCCGAGCGTCCCCCGACAGGCGTTACGCGATTGACTGGTGGCCGCCTAGTCAAGGGCAACAGACTGGTCCAAGAAGACCTGTGGATATCATCCGTAACCGGCAAGATCTTACACAGCCAAGAAGTCTTCTACGAGCACCATGTGGTCCCCGACGAAGTCATTGATTTGGAGGGAAAGATTCTGGCGCCGGGATTCATTGACGTGCAATTCAACGGCGCCTTCGGATACGACTTTTCCACGATCCCAGAAGACATGACTGAGTACGCCAAAGGCCTGAAGCGGCTGAACAGACATTTGGTCAGAACGGGCGTCACGAGCTATCTGCCTACGATACCAAGCCAGAAGCCTGAGGTATATCACAAGGCGCTGCCGTACCTCGCGCCAAGTGGTGCCAGCAGAAATGCGCTGGAAGGCTCCGAGAGCTTGGGCGCGCACTGCGAAGGACCGTTCATCTCACGGACGAAGAACGGCATTCACAACCTGGAAGTGCTGCAAGAAGCACCGAATGGGTTCACTGATTTTGAATCCTGCTATGGTGCGGAAAACCTGACCCAGGACAGCAGATCGCCCATCACAATGATCACAGCGGGCCCTGAAGTTCCGGGCGTCGACTCACTCATCCCAGAAGTCACCAGGCGTGGCATTGTGTTCTCCATTGGACACACCGAAGCAACATACGAGGAAGCAACCGCGGCGATTCAAAATGGTGCCACTATGGTGACACACCTGTTCAACGCAATGCGACCATTGCACCACCGCAATCCTGGTGTTTTTGGTGTCTTGGGCAAAGCGGAAGAGAACCAACGTCCCTACTTTGGAATCATCTCAGATGGAATCCATCTCCATCCAACGACTGTAAACATCGCCTGGAATGCGCACCCAGACGGCTTCATCCTGGTCACTGATGCGATGAAGACGGTCGGACAACCCGACGGCGTGTACGACTGGACAAATGGCGACCGATTTGTGAAGAAAGGTTCTCTACTTACTCTAGAGGGCACTGACAAGATTGCCGGTTCTTCCGCAAGTTTGATCGAGTGTGTCAGCAATTTCTGGACTTGGAGCCATGCCCCCATCCCTGATGTTATCAAGGCAGTCACCTTCACGCCTGCGAAAATGCTAGGGCTTGAAAGGATGAAGGGCACACTTGATGCGGACGCGGACGCGGACCTCTTGGTGCTGGATGCACGAGAAGAAGCCGACGGCAAACGAGTCTTCGATGTGGAACGGGTCTGGAAATTTGGGGTCATGGTGCACGACAAGAATAATGAGGCTCACGGTGTATAAATACCCTGCCTTGAGCTTTGCGGGAGTGATGGCGCTGGTCGGCCGTTTGCGATAATACGTTTCAATGCTTGAGCACATCCATATACCCCATAGAACCGGCCATCGGTGTTGCAGGTCCAAGCTCTCCCGTTATGGCTTTCTTCGTTGAATTCCGCTGAATCCTTTCCAGCATTGTAACGCCACCGGTAGGAGCCTTGTGAGGCGTGAGTCGAGCTGCCACGGATTCAACAACTTCTCGAGCAGTCGGCTTTTTCGCTTCATCCGGAACCACATACGCCTTGACTTCGTGACAACTGGCATCGCTGCGACTCTCTGTTGCAATGACAGCTGCATCTTCGACCCCGGCGTGTCTATTGGCCATCGTGTGTCCGGTAGAGGAGGACATTGGCATGAGAAATGCTTTTTATGGCCGTATTACACAGGCCTGACTTGGGCCCTGTCACAGAGGAAGCTCGGTATCTGTCACCCGAATACTCCGGACCTTCTCTGGCTCACAGTACCATGACTTGCACTTAACAGACCGGGCTCATCAGCAGCAGCGTCGGCTCACGACGAACGTTGTCCAACTGAATCCATCTGTTCTTTCCAGATATGGCTACGCGCCGTTTAGCGTCTCATGCACACTCGGCCCCATTGATCATATCCGAGATACGACACAATAAGAGCAGGCATGGGGGCATCAATGAAAGCCTATGTTGTCGCCAAGCTCGTAACCAGTGCCTCGAAGATCAACGCGACATTGCCCTGCAAACCAACTCATGCACCAGTCAGTGATGTGCGGCAACAAAAGCTTCCGCATACAAGTCTCCAGGATACGAACAGCTCAAAAGAATGGAGCTGCGACTTCTACTCTCAAGGACAATGGCTGAATAGCTACTGAGACCAGTAGACCAGTAGACATTACACGATCTGTAGCAGCCACACTGGATTCGAATTTCCTGAGCAGTTGGAGCAAGAGAATTGGCACGCTGGGTAGCTAAGGTGCGGTGTCACGCATGTGCACCTTACGCATCATGGCGAAGGGTCAAGACAAGCCATACCCCAATCAAGACTCGTACAAAGATCTTCCCAACTGATTATGTGTTGCTAAGACACAATCGCGATCATGAGCGACGTCCACTAACAAATGATCCTCGACTCACTTGCAGCAAGGGAAGCCGGAGTTCTGGTTCTACCGGACAAGCAAGCTTGATGACCTACCACAGAAGCAATGTTGCAGCGACAATGACCACCTCACCTCCTCTCCAGGCCAACGCCCGAGGATGGCCTTCCACTTGTCCTAGCTGGTGGAGTCTTTGCTTCCATCGCCATGTTCTGGTTCGCATGGACAGCGAGGTGCGACTCCATTTTCCGGATTGTGCCTACTCTGGCTGGCGGCTTGTTGGCCATCATTCTTGTCCACGATGATCGCACATCTGGACTACCACGTACACGATGATGATGTACGCTGCGAGCGCCGCAACGGCCTGGCCGGCCATCGTCTATATGTCCGAGGCGCTTGGTGTTGTAGGAAGAGGTGCAAGTCGTCCGCTGGCCGACTTTTGTAGCTGGAGGCCAGGGCTGATGAGATGGGCTGTGGGCTGTATTGTTGCAGTCACAATTGTTGCTGACTGCGCGGTCTTCATCTGAGCTGAGTACGTGAGCTACACCGAGTCTACTTCTGGCTAGCGTAAGGTACACGTCGTTGCAGGGGAAGCCGAAGACGCGCTCACAATAACTTATACAGTCAATCGCTTCCTCGCGGCTCCATGCTCTTCTTCTGCCTCCGGCACAGCAACGACGTGAGCCCTCAGCTGCTCACCGCCTCCACGAGCTCATCGAACCCAATCCGCGCGTTGCATTGGAGTACGGCCAACGGAGACTAATGAGCCTTCCCCGCCAAGATTATTACAGGGTCCGCGCCGCCAACAAGTGTCAAGATGCAAATAATTGGAATCATGCCCCGTCTTGGAGCGTTACAATCACGGCGCCTCACATGGATGACCAAGAAGCCGAGGCGCAACCGTCATATGGATCTTTTGAACTCGAGACTTTATTTCCCGCCCTGTGCAGAGTTTCGTCACATATCAAGCTCCCCGGGGGAAAGAGGATCTTCCCCTTCCACAGTGCTCGCATGCTTCATGCATGCACTTCCCCTCCCACCCCAATGGCTGTCTCAACGAGCTCGCGCTGCCAACCGAGGACTTTGCAGTGCGGCTTGCGATCCCTGCTCGAGATGGCTTGCCAACAGAGCCGTACGCCATGTGGATCCGCGGCCTTCATCCACTGGTGTGTTTCCTAGCACGTCGCTGCCCTTTCACATGCGATCGACCGGCCCTCTCCGCTTCGGGAATCTGCAAGGTACCGCGAGATGCGGGAGTGGCCAATGAGAAGGACAGAATGCGTTGAGTGAAGCTCATATGATCGGCAGGTACCGCCGCCTTGGACACGGTGTGATGATGAAGAAGCAGATCTGCTGCAGTGCTGCCTCCCCGAGATCGATATATATGGCAGTGGCATGTGGGGTTCCTCTACATCTACTGCAAGTCATCAATGCGGTGCCAAAGTTCCTGCTGGTCCGGCGTGCTTGGCCTGGAAAAAGGCCGATACTTGGGTCGCATGCTGAGGCTCATCTTTATGAGTTGAAGTAGAAGAGGCGCGAACAAGATTTGCCGAGAAGCAGAGGAAGTGGTTCTCCAAGGACGCGAATGTCGAGTCATACGACTCGGCGGGACCCGAATCAAACTGGATGGCGACCCTATCATTGTTTACGACGGTTGTGCTATTACTCGTACTCGGATCATGGACCCAGGCCACAACGACAGATATACACGTAGCAAAACGACAGACCGAGTGGGACTTATCAGAGTGTGCTGTGAGTCGGCCGGGTCTGATCTCTGCAACCCGCATTGACTTTTTCATCACAGACACGATGCCTGACAGCGTTGATACCTTCCTCTGGCTGCGAAGCAACAGGTCTAGAATGTCTTTGCGCGGCCCAAGACATCCAGGCCGACGTAACGGACTGCGTTCAGGCGAATTGCACGGTCATTGAAGCACTTGAGACGAAGAGGGTACAAGATACTACTCTATGCCCTCAACCCATACGCAATCAGGCGGGCATTACACAAGATATCAATGGGGCCCTCTTCGGCATCGCGGCGGCAGCAGTCGTTGCAAGGCTGCTCTCGCGCCTCCCATTCGTAGGGGGAAGTGGCTTTGGCTGGGTACGGATGACCACTTTAGCATACCAAAAACCCTACTGACAACGTCTTCCAGGACGATTACACGATCCTTCTTTCTCTAGCTCTACTAGTCCCCCTCGACGTGCTTCTGCACCTCATGACCCTGCACGGCCTGGGCCAGGACATCTGGATGGTTCCGCCTTCCAACATCACAACAGTCCTCTATTACTTCTGGATCGACGAATTCCTCTACACCTTCATCCTCGCCACCACCAAAATCTCCATCCTCCTGCTCTACATCCGAATGTGGCCCGACACAGACTCCCAAAAGTTCCGGAACGCATGCCTCACCCTGATCGTCATCCTTGCTACATACAGCATCACGATGAACGTCGTCCTAGCCGCCGGCTGCGCACCGATCAGCTACTCCTGGACCCGCTGGGACGGCCAGCACAAAGGCCACTGCATTTCCTCCCGAGCCCAGATCTTCGCCACCGCGAGCCTCAACATCATCTTCGGACTTCTGGTCTTCCTCTTCCCTCTACCAAAACTGGTGAAGCTTTCCTTCTCTTCTACCAGGAAGAAATACACCCTCTGTCTAACCTTCCTCGTCGGCCTCGTCGTCACAATCTGCATTGTCGTCCGACTACAATACCTTACCGTCTGGGGAGACTCTGCCAATCTCACCAGGTCTTACAATCCCATCGCCATCTGGTCCAATCTCGAATGCAATCTGAGCGTTATATGCGCTTGTGTCCCGGCCCTTGCTGGCTTGGCCCAACGATTGTGGGCTTATCTTTTCGGCGGCAGCAGGTCCTCCTCCTATGGCTCAGGATCGCATTCTGATCGAAAGTATGGACTCCGCGTGAGATCGCAATCTTCCTCGTCGTGGGATCGTCAGCTAGGCGGAGGAGCCCATACACCTACGGCAAAGAAGGGGTAGAACTATGACTCCGACGAGGATGTGGCGGATGCGAAACAATTCCCAGCGCAATGGGGAGCAACGAAACCCTCGCCGAAGCTGGAGACGATGTACGAGAGGAGAAAATGACGCTGTGCAAGACGACATGATGACTTATGATCGAACAATAGAAAAAGGGAAAAGCGAGGGGAAAAGCAACAGCGACACTGTCCTTACCGATGTATCTCATTGTATGTATGATGTTCATCTTTTCTTGCTTGCATGAAGACCGGCTGTACGGAATCTCTCTCTCTCTCTCTCTCTCTCTCTCTCTCTCTCTCTCTCTCTCTCTCTCTCTCTCTCTCTCTCTCTCTCTCTCTTTCTCGTCCCTCTATTAAACGCCTCGCTATGCAACAGAAGCCAAAAGCTTGTCTGGGTTCATCAGATGTTCGGAGACAACTGGTCATATTTGACACACATCTCCACGCTCTCAATACTCGCCTGCAAAAATTTCCTCGCTTCCAATCCAGCCCAGACCTTCACCATGGAAAGATCGCCGGACTGTAGCAACGACTTACTGTTCTGTGCACCCAACTGTCGCAAAATGGGCAACGCACTGCGCGAAATCGTCATCATCAGAGCTTTGGGGATAGGGAAAGGGGAGGAGGGAACGTACCCAGAAAACAAATCCAAATCCGGATCCAGACTTCGACCAATGCCTTCCAATAAGAGGATGGAAAGGACGACGTTGACGAAATCTCCCTCGAGGCGGACGTGGTGTGATCGGACCATATCGAGTACTTCGTTCAGGATGTCGCCAATCTTGATGTTGCCCAGAGCGAAAGTCTTGCTCTTCACGCCGAGGACCAGATGTTGCATTCTTAACGCGAAGATTTCATTGTCAATGACTGCGTCGGGTTGTCGACATCGTTCGACCATGAGGTGGCCCGCTTTGTACCCGTCAAACTCGGCGATGGCTTTGAAAAGATCAAGAAAATTCTTGCGGTTAGTCTCGTTCAGCTCGGTGACGAGGCCGGTGTCGATGAAAATGAGCTGAGGGCTGAAATTTTCGCGATCGATCTGAGCCAGTGTCTCTGTCCAGGCTGATTTATCGTGTCGATGGGGACGGAGGCGCTTGAGCACTTCTTCCGTCACGTCGATGGAGCCTTCCACGTCCGCTTTCGGGTTGCCGACAACCTTGCCTCGAAGTTCGCGCAAATGCGTACGCGATTCGATTGTTGCTGGCTTGTAAAAGCGTACCATGATGTTACCAGGATGTAAATCGGCGTGGATGAAGTTGTCAATCAGCAGCATGTGCAGGAACGCGTCAAGACCTTCATCTGCGATCTCTTTCTGGAAGACTCCGCCTCCGTTCTCAAGGAAATGCTCAAGTGGAGTGCCGGTAGCGAACTCCTCCACGAGCACTTGGCGAGATGTGTATTGGGTATAAGGGTATGGGAACCATGCAGTTGGCCGATTCCGGAAGTTCTTTCTGAAGATTGTCAGGTTGGCAGCCTCAATGCGGAGGTCGAGCTGCAAGCGCATCATCTCGCCAAATTGCTTGACTTCATCCGGGAAGGACAGCCATTCCATTGTCGGTATTGCATTGATGATATTGGCGAAGAATCCCATGATCTTCAAGTCGCGCCTAACAATCCTCTCGATCTTGGGATGCAGCACCTTGATTGCCACGTAGGTCGAGGGTATCCGCTGAGGAGTACTCTTCAGGAAGGGATCCACCGTCTTCAATGCCTTCTCTCTCAGCGTCTGGGGCTCATCTGACCTGTCCTGCTCGCTTGCGGCCAAGTCGGGCTTCAGCTTTGCCTTGTACACCTGCGCAATGGCGCCCACACCCAATGGCTTCTCGTGGAACTCCTCGAAGATCTCTTCAAACGGCCTGTCAAATGCCCTCTCGATGGTGTGCTTCGTGACCTCCAATGAATGTGCCGGGGCATTGGAGTGTAGCGCGGACATGATCATGCACATCTCTTTAGGGAAGATGTCCGTTCTGCTCGCCGCCCACTGACCCAACTTGATGAAGGCCGCTCCAGCTCGCTCCATCGATCCCACCAGGAAGCCATACCACCACAATGTCCCGCTTCGCTCACCGTCTCTGTCCGGATTCTGTGCGCCAAACCATATGACGGGTACTGTTACAATCACCGGCACGAATATGATGACCAAATGCAAAAACCGCAATCCTGTCGCTATCGGTTCAACAATCCAAGTGTCCATGAATCTCCATATGCTCCGTCTGATTTTCTTCGAGCCTCTCAATCGCTCGGGTACGTATTCTGCCAGCTCTTTCCTCGAGATCTCGAGCATGTGCTCTTCATGAGTGAGGCCGTTGCCGTTGCCATCCTCATCGTCTTCGGCGATCTGAACGAATGCAGCTGGGCTCAGTGCTGCCAGGAGGACAGTTCCCCCCTTGACGGGCGTAGGCGGTGCGCGGAAGAGTCGCCGGACGTTGTGGATGGTTGAGAAGCTCTTGTGTCCTCGCCCGCTGCGCGCGCTGTATTGGATATGCCGCAGCACCTGAGGTCGAAGCGGTTGACTACCGAGTCCCCAGCATGTTGACGCCCACGTCCGGCCGAGGGCAGTGGCCGCTCGCATCGTGTCGTGGGTGAGCTGTCACCGTCGGGCGCGCTATCGTATCATCGTTCTTCGAATACGACGGGAATATGGCGGGAGGTGTTTGCGATTTGAAAGGGCGAAAGGGTGGAGGTGGAAGTGAGGTTGTTGGATTGTGAATGTGTTTTTGTTGATGAACTGCTCGTCGGCTTGACGTCAGACGCCTGATCCCAGGGCTTTGGCCCGTCACATGAAAAAAGACCCGACACCTCCTCGTCGACCGTATTTCCATCTACCTACTTTCTTTCCTAAGGTATCGATATGCAGGACCAAATGCCTCTTATTGGCGCGTTATGATATTCCAAAGCTATCTGACATAGGCATAGCTTGCTGTCCCGTCGCCTTCTGCCAACGAGTATAAGTGTCCCCAAGTCATGGACCTCTAATCGATAACAGTATGCTTCACATTTACGCTTACTAGAATACTGAACAATTTCAACCTCGCGGACTGCCTGATGCGTCTCTGAAAGACTCAGAAGACTTATACTCCAAGTTCCCTTGGGATATAATGGACCAAAAACTCGGGCTCCAGGCCTCCTGGCGACTCTAGGCCTGTTCGGAATCCGACAGACCGCAAATTCGGCGTCCGCCTTGGGAAGCGCATTGATGCCTTAGTGTGTCTCTTCGCCCGCGTCGAGGACAGAGTCTCTGCTTGCATGTCCGTCTCTTCGGACCTTCGCGGGTCGGTACATTGCCAGCATTCAATCCGGATGTAGACGAAGCACCTCCGTGTGGCTGAGCAAAGAGAGATGGCTGCCGTCCGCAAACGCAGCTCGTCTCGTATGCTGTCCTTGGGCGTGATAATCTGCAGGACTAGTGACTTTCGCACACGCTCCCAGTACTATGAGAGAGACTTATTGATTTACCCGAAGCATTGCAGGTTCCGGGCCGTTAAGGATGGCAGTGGTTGGCCCGTGGACCTTCTTTCCACCCAGAGCTACGCTTTCAACGACGGGATGGTTTATATCATTCAACTCTGCACAGATGGCATCTCATCCTTCTCACCGACTCCTAAGGCCGCATCAAACAGCCGTAGGCTTGACTTCAAATTGGCAGGCCTCACTCACACTTCACGAGCCACCTCTTTAGGGTTGGCTAGCACGTCATCAGCATGAAACTGCTATAACCCTTCCACATCCTGGTTCATGGCTGGCAGATCGAGTATGAACGACAGCAACAGCAAGACCAGAAAAGATCCTGTAGCCTGATCTCACAGCTCCAGCAAGCTCTCCCCCATCAAATCCCAAAGTCTGATTCGCTTTAAGTTTCACGTCTCATATTCCCTTGCCGCGTCGGCTACGTGCCACTGACGTGCCATCTCACAATAATCTCAACGCTCCAACAATATCCGCTCTTCTTCCTTAACAACTTCACCATACTCCTGTCTTTAACCTCCTCTCTTTCGCCCTGCGTTCCACGAGACATGGCCTCTTTCCTCTCAGCCCCATCAACCCGCCGGCTCTCCCATACCTCTACAATCCCCTACTCGCCAAACGTAACCTTCGCCGCCCTCACAGACATATCATCTTACCACCAGGCAACCTCTCTCATCCATTCCAGCAGCACCACTGCCCGGGACGCCCAGAACAACAATCTTCCCAAGACAGCGAAACTCCACATCGGATATCCACCACTGGGTCTCACGGAGACTTGGAACTGCAGTGTCAAATGCAACAAGCGAGAGGGCACGATCGAAATAAAACGGGAAGGGGAAAGTTCAGTCCTGGAGAAGAGTGAAATGAGATGGGCAGTCGTGCCCGCCGAGGGAGGAAGAGCAAGCCAGCTCCGAGTAGAATTGCAAGTGAAATTCAAGAGTGCGATGGTGGATTCCATGTTCTATATGATGGAAGGATATGTAGCTCAAACGACCTTGGAGCGCTTCACGGGCTTGGTGAAAGCCAGAGATGAGAAGGAGAAGAAAGAAGCAGCCGCTGCGGCACTGAAGAAGAAGGCTGCGCCACCACCAGTGGCTATCAAACGTGTACCAAAGAAGCTCGAAGTCCGATCTCCTCCCGGTGCTGCTAGCGGAAAGCAAAAGAGTCCAGCAGTCTGATGACACATCTATTTCTCCTTCTTCAATCCGTCGTCCACCACCTTGGGCGCGCTAGGGATCTCCACAGTCTGCGGAGGTTTCCATTCCATGCCGATGTAACTATCGCTAACGACGACCACGTCGACCCTCCTCTCCGAATCTTCCTGTGGTAGCTTGATCGTTGCCTTGGTGGAAGGCTTACTCGACCCCGGACCGCGATTCTTTTGCGGACTAGGCCAGTTCACCCTCTTCAATGCCAGAATCTCTCCCTTCTGAGCGTCTGAAACAATGACAAAGTACCCTTCGGTCTGTGGTTTTGGATATCGAGGGGCATAGATTCGATGGTCGCGATCTTGTAGCGGGTTCACGCGGGACAGATTAACGGTCAGCCCTAGCGCATTGACATCGGAGACGCCGACGCGGAGCTGAGGCAACTGGGACAATTCCTTGAACACTCGTGCATGTGAAGGGACTGGGATACCGAGGAACTTCAGAGCTTCCTCCACTGTCTGCTTCGGAGCCGTGGTAGCTTCGATGAGAGACTGGGGTGCACCGGTGCGCTTCTTCTCGCGCTGGGGCGAAACACCGGAAAAGATGGACAGAGGACCATCGTCCGGCCATCGGGCGGATTTGACGCACTGCAAGAGCGTCATCATCATCTTGCAGCTTTGCAAGTACCCCAGCTCGGTGAGGACATCGATGCTGGCTTGCAGGATACGGATAGCCTGGTCAAGCACAGAGTTTTTGTCTCCAACATAATCACTGATCGGAAGATCGATGCGAGAGAAGTGCGCCTGTAGCAGTAGATGCGCCTTGACATGCGGGTCCCACATTGGCAGACCTAGCCTGTCCGCCTTGAGCGGAAGGTTATTAGAGAGCTCAGCATTGATGAGGTCTTCGTTGTGTCGGACTGGGAGCTCATCATACTCAGTCGCGCGGCACATCCAGGAAAGCACATCCTCTAAGGTCCCGCTTGGCGATGCATGCGCTACCAGCTCCCGAATGGTCTTGTGAGCCAGGTAGTAATAACTCATAATCTTGCCCAGTGGCGTTGGATCGACATTGCCATTAGGTTCGACGCTTATACACTTTGACTCCGCCAGTTCGGAAAGAGACTTGTCGACCATCTCGACCATGTAATCATTTGCTGCTTGCTGAGCAGCAATCGTGTTGTTTTCCTCCGCCGATATCTCGAGGCCGTAGTACGATGGATTCTTGTGTAGTCTTCTGAAGAAAAAAGTCCATGTCAAGTAATCCAGGGCATCCTGCTTTGTCGCGATTGTCTCGGCGGATACTTCGGCACCCAGATGGTTGTCGAGGACATTGTGCAGCGAGGACTCCACGGGAAATCCAGTATGTAGGAAGTGCTTGTAAAAGGCTTTCTTCGAATCTTGCGTGAAGATCCGAGCAATCCCTGAGTTGTCGAACTGCGGTCGACCTGCTCGGCCCAGCATTTGCAGTACATCTGTAAGGTCCATGTCCTTGTAGCCCTCGATCTTGGCATCGAAAAACTGTGTGCCTTTGACAACGACGAGATGGGCTGGCAAGTTGACACCCCATGCAAGAGTACTTGTGGCGACCAGAATCTGGATCTTGTTGTTGGCGAACAGTTCTTCGGCCAGCTGCCGGTCCGACTCAACAAGACCTGCGTGATGTAGACCGATGCCGAAGCTCACGGCCTCCTTCAGTGCTTCATCCTTGACACGGGCCAAATTGGTCTCTAGCTCGTCTTCTGACATTTTCACGAAGCGTCTTGGGTTGTCTTCCATGCCACAGAAGTTGATCAGGTCACGAGCCGTCAGTCTTGTCTGTCGACGAGAAGCCACGAAGACGATGACAGGCTTGTCCGGCGAGTGAGCCTTGATCGCAAGGAAAGTTGGCCGGTTCATGCTCTGCATAAGAGGACAGAAGCCGCGTTGCTCTGGAAATCCATCGATATAAATTTCAAGTGGCACTGGCCGTACGGAGTGGCGGAAGTTGAAGAGCCCCTCTTTAACTCCAAGCCAGTTGGCGAGGTCCATAGCGTTGGCGCAAGCAGTGGACATACCGACAAGTCGCACTGAGCCCTTCTTCTGTGATGCAATGTAGTTCATACGACTGACAATAATCTCCAGGATGGGACCACGATCGCCACCAAGTAGGTGTATCTCATCGATGATGACGAGACTGACCTGCTGCACATAGCTTCTCGTTTGCCAGCTACGACTGATACCGTCCCACTTTTCCGGCGTGGTGACAATGATGTCGGCATCTCGAATCGTCCTGGTATCGGGAGTGTTGTCACCCGTCAGCTCGACGAGCTTCAGACCCATTTGTCTTGTGAGCCGCTTGCTCCAGTCTTGAACTCGCTCGCGGACAAGTGCCTTCATTGGCGCAATATAGACGACCTTGCTACCCGGCTTTTCCCTGAAAGCCCACCACATCGCAAGCTCGGCAGCAATAGTCTTCCCAGATCCTGTCGGCGATCCCAGTAGGACGTTGGCTGGAGTGTAGTACATGCAATGGAACAACTGAGTCTGCATTGGATTGAAGTACTGGAAACGTTGGCCGTAAATCTCCTCCAGCAATGGATTCTTGAGTGCCGTGGTTGGAAGCGGCTGCAAGTTGAGAAGATCTGTGTACACACTCTCGGTGTCTGGTCGGATGAGATGTTGGAAAGATACTGGTGTCACGGTCTCTGCTCCCAGCCATCTGTCGCTGACTGCTCGCACGTAGATTTGGCTGGGTAGAGGATCCGACAGAGGAATTGTGAAGTTCAGCTCGTGGTCGTCGTACAGCTTCTTCCTGCTGAGAATGAAGTACTCATGATGATAGATCTCGCTGGTCTCGGAGTTTTCGACCCAGATCCAGTAGCTCTCGCTTTTGCCATGATGGCGATCGTTCCACCTGAACTCTGGAGCGATGTACAGCTTGACGCGAAGAACATCCCTGTTCAAAGGTGCGATTTCAGCTTCAACCGAGACAGTCGGAAAGTTGTCAAGTAGCTTGCCAATCGTGCTTCCTATCCTCTGATTGTGTACTAGGCTGCCAATTTCGGCTTGATCCATTTCCCTTAACGATTCAATGGCACCAGTGCTCCCTTTCTCATCCAGGTTGCGAAGAACGGCTTGAGGCAGATCGAATTGGTGGAACGGATGCTCGTATGGCCAGACTCGCTTTTCGATACTCTTGCACATGCTAAGCAAGACCAGGCACTGGTAGCCCCATCGTCTGTTTAAAGCAATCATGAAGAGGGCGCGACATATACGTGCCGCGTTCTGTGCGACGTATGCACTGTCAGAGACCAATGTGAAGTCTTCCAGGTTGGCTTTGCTGATGTAAGACTGAAGCAGGACGTTGGTCTTGCCTTGCTGTGTGCCAATACCGCCTTCGATGTCACATGGAGCAGCCTCCTCCTTGAGACGCATGAGCTCCTTCTCCTCAGTCTCTCGGCTGGTGATGTTGTCGAATTCCCCGCTCATACTGATCATCTTCAACACGTCTGCTTCCGTGGCCCTGGGTCTCATCATAGTATTGAAAATTTCAACGCTGGTCTGCAGGACGTAGAATTGACTGGCGATCCGGCCGACATCTTTGGCTCGAAGCTCCTCTGTTGTCTCATTGAAGATGATCATCTGGCTGGTCTGGAGGATCCTAGCTGCTTTGACAACCAGATCGCGCCTCCGCTGGACCAGATTGGGATCATTGTGCATTTCTGCCCATTCGATGCCATAGGCGATCGGATTTCGCTTCATTCGCACGAACAAATAGGAGTATCCGAGCCAGGTGATGGCTTCAGGAACGCTAGTGACGGTGCCTAACGAGATTTCGGCATTCAAATTGTCGACCAGCTTTTTGCTGAACTGCGACTCAATTGGCTGTTGCTGGGTGACTGCAGTGAGGTAATGCTGCAACTTGTCCTGGGTTGTGATGATCATGCCAATACCAGTATCTTGAAATTGTGGACGGCCAGCTCGACCAAAGATCTGGAGAACGTCGAGAATACCAAGGTCGACAAACTTACCAGCCTCTGCGCTGTATAGCTGAGTGCCTTTGATGATAACTGCGGCAGCCGGTAGATTGACACCCCAGGCCAGGGTCGCAGTACAGCAGAGGACTTTTAGCACTCCTTCGGCAAAGAGCCGCTCAATCAGATTCCGATCAGATCGCGGCATGCCCGCATGATGCGTGCCCATTCCCTTTGCCACAAGCTCTCGAATCTCGCGTCCTTTGGATTGCTTGACATCTTTGAGCGCTTGCGTGTAACCCTCGTGGGTACTTGAGTCGAAGAGGTCCGCCATTCCCTGCTCGGTAGCCATCTCGTACAGCTGTCGAGCAGTCTTAACCGTATCTTTGCGGCTGTGCACGAAGACCATGACCTGGTGGCCTTGCTCGAGCATGTCCTTGACTTTCTCAAAAGCAGTGTTGTCGATATTCTCTCGGCTACCCTTTGTGCCAGGCTTGCCCCTAACGCCAAGGAAATGTTGCTCGAGAGGTACTGGACGAAAAGACTGATCGAAATAGAAGAGACCTGCCATTCGGTTGACTTTCAGAAAGTCTGCTACATCGATGTAATTTGGCAGTGTTGCACTCAGCCCAACGATCCGGATCAAGGATTGTGTGCTTTCGACCTGTCGTTCTGTCCTTGCGACAAGAGATTCCAGTACGGCGCCTCGCTCGTCGTGAAGCATGTGTACTTCGTCGATGATCAATAAGCGCACTTTCTGCACAAGCTCAGTATCACCAGTAGACTTTCGAGTCACAACGTCCCACTTCTCGGGCGTCGTGACGATAACCTGAGTCTGCACGATCTCGGCCTTGGTGAGTTGCATATCTCCAGTGAGTTCGCGGACTTGAATTCCTAGCCAGGCCAATCGCTTGCCAAGCTTATCTGTGATTTCGGCCGCCAATGCCTTCATGGGCGCGACGTAGACGATCTTGAAATCCTCGACACGTACAGCAAATTCTGTCGCATCAGGCTCTTCTGTCGGGTTAGGATGTATGTTTTTGGCCACGGTATTCAGGATGGTAAGCACCGCTGCATCTGTCTTACCAGCTCCAGTGGGAGCACAGATGAGCATGTTCTCGCTGGTATTATAGGCTACCTGGTACACCAGGCTCTGCATGCGGTTCAAAGTCTTGTATCCCTTAAAGGTACGTTTGCACAGACCATCCATATCTTTGATCTCGACCAGCTTTTGATTTCTGCCGAGAGTGCCGACACCAGCAGCAGGAATGGAGTACTCTTCGTACTTCTCGCGCTCCAGGCGCTGGCTTCCGACAGGTAGAGCATATCGCTTGCCGTGAGTGGATAAGGTATTTCCAGCTTCGTGGGAGCGGTAGACATGCGGATACTCGGCCGTTGACCGATCCTGGGCTGGCAAAAGAGAAGCACTTTTATGCGCAAGATCTGCTTGACGAAGACGAGCATCTCGCTCTGCTTTGGTGAGGAGTCCATGTGTAGCTGAAGGCTGTGTACTGGGTTCCTTGAGGACAGACCTGCGGTGCTTGATAACATCGCCCACCAGATCAAGTTCCTCGAAGCCCAGGATATCCGCGAGTGTCATCTGAAGTTCCACATCGCTGCTGTCACTGGCGAGGACGGCAATGATCTGGTCCTCCAAAGAAGACGCATCGAGCCCGTTGCCTTTGCTCGCCACCTGTTGACATTGCTCTCTCAACCACGCTCTTGAGCCTTCTTGAGTCGTCTCTTTCCACGGGATTGCGGCAGGCACCTCGGCGCTATCCTCACTGTAGTCTTCATCTTGATCGCTGATTAAGTCCCAGATATCCTCGCAGGGTGAGAAGTCGTCGTCCTCGTCGAGATCGAGGTCATTGTCAAACGCAGGCGCATTCGTCTCGCCGTTGGTCTTGGGAAAGTTCAGTTCTGCGATGGCCGCTCGCATGGCCGCCATCTGCTCCAGCCATTGTGCGGCTGCAGCATCTGTAGATTTCGACGACATGATCGCGAATGTCGCCTCCGTGAACGGGTTGTTGATTGCAGAACGGTGTTGACCGCAGTGATGAGGGTGATCTATGACGCTCAATCAAGTTTTGATGGAGCCCATCAAGCCCATGTGCCAGGTTTGCCAGGGAAGTCGGCAGCACCCGGCGCTAAATAGACTTGCTGTGAGAGCCGACTTCAACTGTTTCTCGTCAACAACAAACAACAAGAATAAGTGCCGTCCAATCAAGTCAGAATGGTGTGCTATGCCCTCAATCACGCATAACTCTCACAGACTGTTGACTGCGATCACAGGAGAGCCCACACGAGCACCAGCAGAGCCTTCTGCTATCGCGCATCATCACCAACGTCGTACGCGTCACATGCGAGCGACCACGCATCGAGAACACGCTAATGGGTTGTAGGAGAAACTGAATGAGGCGATCATGGTACTGAACAAGAGCCTCCAAGAAATTAACATTCAAAACATGAACGTGGAGTTGGTGGCCCAGATGTTCAAGAACTACCAGTCCAACGTTTTGTTCCATCTAGAAGGTAATCCTGCTTTGCATGCCATTTCACGTACAGCGAGCTGACCTGTCTCGCAGCCACGGACAGTCTCAAAGAGCCATCGTGAACCACTACGCGCTCCTAGATATCTCCGAACCACCGAAAGTATGCCTCTACGGATTCAATGCACACGTGTGTGGACCATCATCTCGGCTTGCTACGGGCCTCAGGACCCCTGCAAAAACTCACATGCCGGAGAATGTAGACTCTGATCAAGCAGAATGACACTGCCAACAACATGGGCTGTATACGCCACTATATGATGGCGAATGATGAGCAACACGACTAAACACATAGCTCTACAGCTTGACGGTTCCAGACAGAACGATGTCATCGACATTTTTGCCCACCCAGACGTCTCTTTCTCCTGTTGCTAACTCAAATAGTCCACTTTCTACGCTGTAGAAACTTAGCTGCCTGACCGATATGCTAACGTTCGATACCAGTCTCTGCCCGGGCTCGATCCTCAGGTTATCGAATCCTGCAAGTAATATCGAGGGGAACTGGACGCCAGGATATGTGTGGCTTGCGTCCAAAGGCGGCCCAATATAGATCTGCGGAACTTCGACACCAACTTTGTCTCCAGTGTTGGCCACAGTGAAAGACACGGTAAAGATGTACTGGTAAGGATTCTCTGTCTTTGGTGACTGCCACTTACCGGGCTTGGACGGCACCTTTGCTGTGTGGACTGCAAGATCACTGTATTCGAAGGTCGTGAGCGTCAGACCATATCCAAAGGGGAAAAGCACAGGGCAGTCAATGTGCTTGTACCACCTATAGCCCGAATTGACACCCTCGCTGAAGGTGGCATTTCCGTCCTCGGTATCAACACGGCCGGGGTAGTAAGGGTTCCGTGTCACTGTTTGGTTCACGCTTTTTGGATACGTGACAGGAAGCCGGCCCTGAGGATAGTGATTTCCAAAAAGCAGATCTGCCGTGGCCCAGCCGCCTTCTTGGCCGGCGTACATCATTTCGAGGACTGAAGAGACGGACTCAAGCCACGGCATAGTCACAGGCTCCGCATTGTTCAATACGACAACCGTTTTGGGATTGACGGCTGCTACCCTGGTGACGAGCTCATCTTGCCCATCGTCGAGTGTCATTCCTATTTGTGCGGGGCTGTTGGCAAAGGCGAAAACGATGGGCGTCTCGAAGGACTTGGCTGCAGCTACAGCATCCTGGATATTTCTCTCTCGTTGCTCAGGCGTTACCCAAGCTAGACGAAGCGAAATTGGCTGCTGCAGCAAACCGACAATACCAGCAGAAAACCTATGTCGGCCAGCGGAAAGGTACACATAGCCCTTGATGATATCCCAGCCAGCTCTAGTGGTAATGGAATTGCTGATAGGTCGAACACCTCCATCCAGCAGGGTTCGATATCCGGAGGCGATCGAGGAGCCATTGATTGAAAGACTGCCAATCGAAAACACGTCGCCATAGTCGGCGCTGCTGTAGCCTACAATCTCTGGCATCTTCCGTTGGAGCGAGATGGTATAATGTCCCGATGTTGGAGCATTCAGATGTCCTTGCCACTCGTACGACGCGTTTCTCGGGAGCGCTGATTCGCCATCGAAGTCAATCTGAGCGTCCACTGCGTAGCGACCCAACGTGTCGTTGCGAGAGAGTCCTGTGTTGCCGTTCAGAGTGGTCAAAGCGCTAGATGGAATAATTGTCCCTTCTTGGTCGATGCCAACTGCTGTGGGAATGTCCGTCCTCCCGGTCCGTGCTCGAATGGCATCGATAGGAGACACCTGCCTGTCTGGAATTCCATATGCTCGCTCGGCGAAGTTTGTGCCGTGCGAATACTGCAGACCATTAGGACCAATCACGGCGAATGAGCTCTCCTTTGACACAGGAAGTACTCCACCGTCGTTTTTCAAAAGCACACCGGACTTGACGGCAATGTCATACGCAATCCTCGCATCTTCTTCGACGACCGTCGCCGCCAAAGGGTCCGTTTGAAGAGAAATAGTGCCCCGATCCAGCATCTCGAAACGATCGTACTTCTCCAGAATTCTGCCCAAGGATCGATCCAAGTACGTTTCTGAGAGGTTCTTGGCCACATAAACCGCGTCATAAAATGAGTCGTACCAGGTCCCCGTCGGCATCTCCCAATCCATGCCCGCAACAATGGTTTCCGTGAGGCTGTGGGTCGCTTCCCAATCGGAAATCATAATTGCGGAGCTGTTGTACACCCTCCTCACGGCGTCATATAACGGCTCATACTGGCAAGCCGGGATGCCATTTATTTGCGCGTATGAGCACATGACGGTTGCTGCGCCTGCTTTCAGCAAGGCTCCAGGGGCGGACCAGTAGACTTCGTGCAATGTTTGCAAGTCCACGATGGAATTGGTGTCTCCTGCGCTTGCGCCAGTTGAAGAAGGGCCTATTTGCTTGGGATCTGCCATTGTCCCCTGCGACTGGATGGCATTGACGGCCGCTACGCCTAGCTGTGCATTCAAGAATGGATCTTCGGAGTATGATTGCCAGAAATTTCCAGTCACAGGGTCCCGAAGGATGTTGACTCTTGGTGAGAGTGCTATGTCTTGCTTGAGCAGACGGGCTTCACGGCCTATTATGTATCCAGCTGCGTATGCCGCGGACTTGTCCCAGGTGGCAGCTACGTTGATCTGCACTGGTATTGCGGTTGCATTTTCCACGACATTTATGCCGGCTTCGCCGTCGCAAAGACGCGCGCGAGGTATTCCCAGTCGTGGTACTGGAGGGACATAGCCTGCTTGATTCTGGTCCGCTGGATCGGGATGACCATGGAGTAGGGAGACTTTCTCTGAGGGCGTAAGTCGTTGGACCAGAGTGTCTACTCGATGGTTTCCTGTTCGCCAGGGAATGGCATCGAGGAGAGATGAAGTGTTTGTGAGAAAGGCGAATGCGGACGAGCAGACAAGGAGAACGCAAGTCAAGGCTTGACAAGGCCGGAGACCGAACATTTTGGCTTGACATACCTGGCCTCTGAGGCGATCTTCCAGCCTTTAAATATCATGGTGCGGGACCCCACAATGTCGATTGTGGACTGTGACGTACTGGCATTTTCTCTCATGGATAGAGTGGGAGTAGGCATATCACATCGGTCATGCTTCTTGCTTGAGATGCCGGTCTTGCGCAATATGCTGGTAGTTGACATGGCAGGAGATGACCCGAGACAGCGAGACTGCATACAATGCTAGCGCCGCACGGCTCAGCATGTCGGGCAAGATGCAGCAAGCTAAGGACGCCACGGGAAGAGCTGATGCTCACCCTTGGAATTCCTCACCCGCTCAGGTACACGTCGAATACCATCGGGATTGAATCATTGGCTTCTGGGATGCTCGCCTGAAGTTGCCGCCTCTGCCTTCAGTATGTGGCTGCTGGACGCGAAACTACTTCCACTCAGGTACATCACTGATGAGCAAAGACTATGCGCATGCCCATGCCATCTTTACATAAATGGGAAAGTGAAAAATGCACGTTTGAAGAAGGGTAGGCTCGTACTGGCAGAGAAGAAAAAGGATGGCTGGAAGTTGTGAAGGCTTGTGAGCAAGCTTTGAAGGACGGATGGCAATATATGTCGATTGTCACGGTTTGCACCAATAAAGAAAGCAGCGCAGAGCTGTCGGATGCAATCAACTCAATGTGGCTGGGTACTGCGATGCTCCGGTCTGCTATGCGGATCTCAATACATGGAGAGCGGCTGATTTGTGCTTGCGGAAACCGAGTCCCCGAACACGATAGACGCTTCTCAGGAGATGGCTGGGCAGCTTGGTCTAGCATGCCGAAGATCACGCTGACCGAACCTTCATCCAGGCCTGTGTCCCCAGACTTCGACGATGAATCTCAGTTCGTGTCTGTTGTCGTGCATCGACACTGGCAGGGCACTTTTGCCAGCAGTCACTGGTTGACCCGTGGCAGGAATTCGCAAGAACTGATAGCACCAAAGGACGTTGTGTGCTTTGACTGCAGCTGTCATGCATTTGCACGGAAGATTGGGATAGCGCGGGTTCTGTGGAAGATCACGGGTCTTGATCCCGTGGCTCTCGAAACCAGCGAATCAAAACCGAACTTTGTGGTTGTAAGGAAAATGTCGTGGGCGAAGGAAAGGCAAACCACTCGCATTAAAGATCGTGCCTACTCTCTGCTCGCTAGAATGGGCGTCAATATGCCATTGCCATATGGGAAGGAGAGAGAGCGTTCACGAGACTACGACAGGGGACCACAAATACATCCCTCGACAGACCACTCAATCTTTGCGCTGGATACCTGTCTCGTAAGATTATCTATGGCAGGAGAGGCATTGGACGTACTGTTTGCCATCAGCCCAGATCAGCTCGGGGAACAAGATTGTGAGATGGCTCAGCGATGCTGTTGATCTTCTGTTTCGAGGGACAAATCGAGATGTCTTCTTCGATGGGCTACTTATCACGGGGAAAGGCCAAGAAGACTTTGCTGCATTGAACTGCCGCTATGAGGATAATCTTCGCAATGTTTTAAAGCTTCGACTCTCGTAGCAGGACGATATTACATGGCGGTACAAAAGACGCGAGGTTCTCCCACGAGACGATTTCTGGGTTGCGGACAGCGAGCACTTGGCGGTCTGTACTGGGTCTGACGGCTCCGCTCCGAGGCAATCCATAAGACAATTGACGCTCCTAGAAGTCAACGAGGTACTCAATGATCTCGTGTGTATCTTGACTGTATCTGACACAACATCGCGAGCCCATTATAAGTCGAGAGAACTATACATCGAGCCAATCCTATTAGCCGCAAGGAAACCGATGACAGATTTCCAGGCTAAGAGAGCGGAACTCAGATCCTCAGGACTCGCGAGTTGGTACCATACCAATTCTCAACATTAACAAAAGGCTCTTCTAGGTCATGAAGATGTAAGGGGATTTCTAGACGGGAACCCTTCAGAACGTTGTGTGAGCAAGAAGATAGGGGCGAGCTTTCCAAATCTCCTCTCCATTGACAAGAGCTTCGAACACATGCCTCAGTATGCTCTCATGAAGCCGCAATTCAGCAACTACACTAAGATTGCCAATGCTCGCAGTGCATCAAACACGAAGCCGCGTCGATGCTCGAAGCGCATCCAACACAAAAGCCGCTCCTCCAATTCCTCCGGCGCCATGGAAAGCTCGCCCTACAAAAAACATTGCTTCAACTTCTACTTGCAAGATTTCCTCCCAACTAAAAGGAACGACAGGTTACATCGGCAGTACACTGCTCCATAGCCTCCTCAACTCTCCAGACCAAAAGAAAAAACCTGCATAACCTGCCTGCCTCGTCCGTTGGGCTCGGAGTAGACATCTAAATTCACGCGCACTCACGGCTCTCGAGTCCGACTAGTCAGTCCTCTACAGAGATCTCGATAAAAACCAGTAAAAAAGGTTCGACGACGCCTAGGAGGAAGCGCCTCGAGGAAGATTAGAAACCCATTTCGGAGAAGAACTCAAGTCCTTCTAACAATGTCACGATCATTTAGCCTGCATCAATGCACGCCCGTCGTTCCCTCCCTACCTTAGCGTCTCCGGCATGTGAACGCGCCGGACCGCCCGGTGGTCCGTGCTCCTCCTTCCTCTTCCTGTCTTCCGATGAGAACACGCATCCATATCAGGACCATTCATTCATTCGTTCATTCATTCACTGCTACAAATCAATTGGTGGGAACTCTCTAATTAGACGACATAGAACGTTCATCATAGCCGGAATTTTCGGACGATCGATGTAGGAAAATATATTTGGAGCAAGTAGAGTAGCCCACCCAACACGAGTTTTGAGCTGAGCTGAGTTGAGCAGTGAGGATACGATGGAAACTTCTAGAGATCCGAAACCTTCACTCCAAAAAACAAGAACAATAATCGGCGACCATGAGATCTTTGCTTCAATAGTTATCATAGTTAGATAGTCCAGTAGAATGGAATTTTTTCCAGCGGCAGAAGTGCGGCCGGTATCTGCGGGAATTTTAATCACTCACGGTCTGAGCACGTTTTCTTTCTTTCTTCTCTCCAAGATCGACATTATGGTCAGATGGCGCGAGAGATAAAAAAGCGACCTCAGCTGTTCTATTCTCCTCTCCATCTCCGTTTCGTGAGGCGAGACAGTGCCACCAGAACGACTTCAAGAGGCAGACAAGGGTGCGGAGCTCTGGAGAGGACCGGATTCGGATATCGAGAGCTTTTGCAGAGACCGGACCTCCCCCTACCTCTCACACTGGATAGTCTGGATTGCCAGGATATGCCTCTTCCGAGGGGTCGCGGGGATGAGGAAAGTGACTGCCCGAAAAGTCTCGACTGCAACATATGGAATTCGTGGTATCTCGTACAAACAAACATCTCCGCAGCGCTAGTAACTCATATGGCTATAACAAGCCATGCCCTTGAACCGCTTTTCCCATGTGAGAACGCCCCAAACGCCCGAGGTGAGCCTCGATCTTACGAGGACTTGGGGCAGCTGGCGCAGGCACACTTGCCGGGCTCGCATGGGCACTTGCTCTCGTCGGCTGCACAATTGCACTTGGTCTTCTCCTTGCCGTCGACCTGCACCTTCTCCATCTCAGCTTGTTCCGGCGTGACCGAGGTAGTCTTCGCTTCTGGGTTCTTGCCGCAGCTGTTGCACGCGCATTTGCCAGGCTCGCATGGGCAGATACCTATGCATGAAGGTGGCGGTTAGCATGTGAAATGGTAGGAGCGAGTGAGGCTTGGTGAGATGGAATGACTTACCAGTAGCAGCTCCGCAGTTGCACTTGGTGCGGCCTTGTCCGGCATCCTCAGGGGGGCCGACCGGAGAGCCCTTCTTGAGGGTGGCAAGGTGCTTTGCCTCGTTGTGAACATCCAATACCTGCTTCTGGCCTTGCTCGTAGAAAGCGCGGATCTTCTGACCAGTTGGGGTGCCGAGGGCCTTCTCAAAGTAGGAGTTCAAGCCACGCCAGCCAGCGTCAGCGCGAGCAGAGACACCGTAGCTCTTGTCAGCCTGCTGCGCACGCTCGGTGACCTTGTACTTGGTATCGAAGTCCTGGAGGGCCTTGTTGAAGCGGGTGCTGATGCCGTGTTGCTGGTCGAGGGCAAGAGCTCGCTGGATGGCCTGGTCGCTCAAAACGTATCCGTGAGCAAGCATCTCGGCGGCGACGCGAGCACGTGGCTTGTCCTCTTGCGCAAGATCGTCATTGTCGTTGGAGGCAGGCTTGCCGCCGGAGAGGTCGTCGAGAGAGGAGGCGGCGGTGACGTTGACCTGGGAAGGTCCGAGCTGGGTGTTGTCGAGCAGGAGGGCGGTCTTAGCAGCAGTCTCTTTCTCGAAGGTGACGCTGGCGCTCTGGGAGGAGGCGGAGTCGCTGGTCTCGGGCTTGACGGAGAGGGACTGGATTTTGCCGCAGAAGGAGAAGAAGTCGCGGACCTCCTTCTCGCTGGTCTGGGCGGAGATGCCCTTGACGTGGACGGTGGCAGACATGTTGTTCGTCTGTCTCTTGTCGAACTGGTGTGCTGGGTTCGTGCTGCTGGTATCCGATACCGTGTGATGGGAGAGAATTGGTTGGTTGTTGTTCTGGGGGAGGTGTCGGGTGAGTTGAGGAAGAAAGTTGGCAAGGTTTATAAGGAAGGAGGACGGCGACTGATGCGTGGTTTGTGCGGCGCATGCACGCGCTGTTTTCGCGGTGGAGGCAGCCGCTGTGGTGACGTAGTTGGTAGGTAGCCAGACCCTTGGGCGCCACATCTGCGGGGCGGCTCAGCCACACGCCAATCGTCCCCAGCCACATATACCTCCTCGTCCACTTCCAATGCGATAACGAGCAATATCATCATCAGCCAGCGACAACGCACAGTTCCGTGACGCTACTCATACTCATACTCATACTCATACTCATACTCATCCGCGCGTGATCATTCACCACCAGCCTTTTCCCTTCGTATTTTTGTCTGTCAGAGCTGCGGCGACCTATTGCCCGGCCGGCATATCGCTCCCACCAATGCGCTGTCGCCGCTGGCGATGAGCAGTCGTGGACAGCATCGAGGTCCTAGGCTGTTGATGTCCTGAAAAGCAGACGACACGTACAGCTTCTAGCTGCTACAGACGATCTAGTCTGGGGTAGAAGAGGCATCCGCTGGGCTGATCCATAGGGTGATCGTTGTCTAGCAGCGATCGTACTTCCTCTGACGGAATGGGTAAAAGAAGCTGGAGGTCTCGAGCCTGCTAGACTTACTGAGGTAGTTGTCAAGTGTCGGGACGTCCTGGAAGGGAGCCGCAAATGCTTGGTAACGGCGTGATGCCCGCTGGTCTTGAGCTTTTAGATGTTGGGCGGATGCATAGGATTGGAAAGGAGACCGAGGGATAGAGATTGAAAATCAAGCATTTGCGACAATGTTCCCACTGCACGAGGTCGCAAGCAATTCCTGCCTAGACATCGAGCATCCATTCACTTCATCCTCATAAGCCCAACCTTCTCCGCCTCACTGCCCATCCCCCGCTTCTCCCTCAACTCCTCCTCCCTCCTCCCATACCCCTCAAACACCCTCCTCACCCCGTCCACCTTCTTCTCTCTCAACTCCTCCCTCCCCACCTGATGCCGATGCGCCGCATCCGGCCCATCCGCTATCCTCACAAACCGCGCATACGTCCACGCCTCCGGCAAAAACGTATGCTGCGTCAGCCCCTGTCCTCCATACAACTGCATGCACTCGTCTATGATCTTCGCGGCCGTGGCTGGAACCATAACTTTGCACTGCGCAATCGCGAATCTTCCCGCTACGTTTCCGGAGACGTCCATGGTATGGGCTGCATTGTAGACGATTTGCTGGAGGGAATCGAGAGACATGCGCATCCAGGCGATTTTTTCTATATTGCTATCGAAAGCTCCGATGATTTTCCCGCGGGGAGTTTTGGTAGGGTTCGTACAGCGTAGTAAGGCGAGATCATAGGCGCGGGAGGTCTGGCCGAGGAGACGCATACAGTGGTGTATACGACCTGGTCCCAGACGTCCCTGGGCGATTTCGAACGCACGGCCTTCGCCTAGGATGATGTTTTCTCGTGGGATGCGGGCGTTGGTGTAGATGTATTCTCCATGGCCTTCGGGGGCGTGGTCATAGCCCATGATGGTGAGATTGCGGGTCATTGTGAGGCCCGGGGTGGATTTGGGGACTAGGACCATTGTGTGGCGACGGTGAGGGTTGGGGTTGGAGGGGTCGGAGAGGGTCATGAGGATGTAGAAGCCTAATTCTTCGTTTGCTTTGCTGTTGCCGTAGAGTTTGCGGCCGTTGATCAGGAGATAGCTAGGATCTTGGGGATCCGATGTGAGGCGACAGGAGATGTTCGTTGCGTCTGAAGAGGCGACGTCTGGTTCTGTCATGCTATAGCCGCTGAAAGTTTCGCCATTCAGGAGAGGGAGAAGGTATTTTTGTTTCTGGTCTTCGTTGCAGTATTTCGCGAGGAGTTCCATGTTGCCTGTATCAGGAGCGTGACAGTTCATGGTCTAGGACATCACCTTAGTACTTCATCTGCTAGAGAATCCAGTATGTCACACCTGAGCAGCCCAATAACACCTGCCCATGATCTCTGCACAACAGCTATACTCCAAATTGGTCAAGCCGGGGCTCAGATCTCCGAAGCTCTTGGGCAGGAAAAGATTCCATAGTCCTTCCTTCCTGGCTCTTGTCCGCAGTTCTGCGATCAATGCTGGCGTCTTCCACTTTCCGTCTTGCTTGTCTCGCTCGATTTGCTGCTTCACGATCGCTTCGGCTGGGATGCATTCGGTCTCGACCCAGTCGTGGACTCTCTTGATCGTTTCGATGGCTTGAGGGGAGAGCTTTTCGCGTGCCCAGACCGGGATGCGAGTGAGAGCTGGATGGTCAGTGGCGGTGGTGATGTCTGCTGTCATGATGTCGAGAATTGAGTGGTAATGAAAACATGACCATACTACCGAAAGAATAACACGTCGATCTCAAGTTGAAAAGGAACGTTGACCAGCTCACGCCTTGTCACACCTTACAGGCCTCGGATAAGCCGTTGTGGTGCATTAAGAGGAGAGGGTTGACAGGATGTAGCATGAGGGACGAGGAGTTGCTGCGGGAAGAATGTAGCCGGGAAGCTTGGGCCAGCTTGAGTACCTAACCTACCTTACTATGTACACCTGACACGTCCCGACTCCTCCTTCTCGGTAACACCAACATGCAGATACCGACAGATATGCGGTTATCTGCGCAGCGCTGCACTCATGACCTCTCCAGGCAGCTACCCACACACCGGTCTGCGACACCACATGGATCGCTTGAGGGTCTTGCTGGCCGCGCAAGCACAAGAGCATAGGTAAGACCATAGGTGGAGGTAGGTATAACTCTCCTCGACTCCGGGAGTGTTGACGTCTTTCAATCCGATCTCATTCCCTGCTCTATTGACAATGGCGGGCAGCGAAGTGTTTCGATCTGAGTGGCTGGCGGTAAGCATACCTTACTGCAATCCTCGGGTATCAACTCATCTGACCTCTCTACAGTTCGAAGAAGAACTCGGCTTCCGTCCTCTCCTCCATGGCCCTACGTACGAAGGTCTCGTCAAGCAGAACACTGAGATCGGTCTCAAGCTCGTGGAGCGATACGACTTCCCGACAGCGGACCCCTCAGTCTCTACGGCTGAAGAGAAGACATCGAACGGCACGCGAGTCAAGATATACACACCTCCTGAACTGAAGCCAGACCAACCAATAGTCTGCTATTTTCATGGTGGTGGAGGGGTGTTTGGAGGAATTGATGATGACGATTATATCGTCACTCGTCACTGCAAGGACACTGGGCTCGTTTTCGTGAGCGTCGAGTACCGCCTGGCACCGTTGCATCCGCACCCTGCGGGCTTTGACGACTGCGTGGATGCCGCAAAGTGGTGCATTGAGAATGCGAAGAGTCTTGGAAATCAGAGAAGTAAAGTGCTGTTGATGGGCGTCTCTGCTGGAGCCACTTTGGCTCTGGCAACTGCTCTGAAGCTGCTGCATGACCACAGAACGGGAGAGGTGGAGGGCGTCGTGGCTTGCCAGCCTCTCACGCTCCACCCTGACGGCGTGCCCGAGGAATTCCAGAGCATGTACACGAGCTATGACGAGCATGCCACACATACGATCAACACGAAAGCAGCGATGAAGACGTTCTTGGGTGAGTATCAAGATAGACGTGTTTGGCATCTGAAGCTAAGCTGGGTCCAGACCTCATTGGCGCTTCCAAGTCGGATCGATACCTCTTCTCGGCTCTCAACTCCCATATCAAAGACCTCCCTTGCGTATATCTCAACTGCTGTGAAGCCGATACGCTGAGAGACGATGCGAGGGTCTTGAAGAAGCTCTTGGATCGCTACGGGTAAGCTGGCCATCGGCAGGACTTGGAATATGCTCACGAACCCTTCTGCAGCGTCCCCAACGAGTATGACGAGTATCCTGGTCTACCCCACTTCTTCTTCGCCTACCCAACTCCAGAACTCAAGGAACTCTCCGCCAACTACTTCGCCAAAACGGCCGCGGGCATCTCATTCATCGTCACTTCTTCAATCCAATCCCCCCTTCCTCTCAGCTAGGGGTTATGGAATGATCTTCGCATTTCTGTACCTCTGAAATGCAGTCCACCAGACTTCTTTCGAACCCACTTCCTCCTTTTTATCTCCCCACGCCGCATGCATCTTTGCCATGTCCAAATGCCGATCGAAATCGAACATGGTCATGATGAAATACTGGAATCCTCCAAGAGACCTGTCATTTCCCACCCTTCCTGTGGCCAATCCGTATCTCTCTTCTATTTCCGTCCACTGTTCGAGATGAGAAGCAAGATACTCTCCCGGCTGCGGCCCACTACCTCCCTCGGGCGGCCCAACGCCTTTCAATCCAACGAACTCACATATCACAGGCCACTTCTCCTCCCAACAACTCGGTTTCGAATTCGATGCCACATTATACGCCGTCCCATCTCCACAACTCCCAGGATTGAGAGCGGCATGGATAGCGAACTTGGCGATAATATCCTGATCCGCATCGTTCGACAAGATTGTCCAAGATTTTTCCGTTCCAGGGAACTGGCATTCCGCTCCTTCACCTTCGATCTCCCGGTAGCAAGAAAGATAGCATGCCAACGCCTGAGCCAAGGAATAGACGTTATTATTCGGAACGAATCCCACGACCGCATCCGGACGGAGCTCCGCGAAGGTCCAATTCTTGCCTTTGCTTTGGGAAGCGAGGAAGTCCACTTGATTATAATAGAAATTCTGCGAAGCGTAGGGTTCTGGAATCCGAGGTAAGTCTTCTCGAAGAGGGAGGTTTTGGGAAAAGGGGAAATCGGAAATGAGATGGACGCCGTAGGCTTTTGTTCCCGTTGATAAGATCACTGATACCAGATTCGGAGCGAGAGTCTCGAGGGAGACGATGGCGTTTTTGAGGAGAGTGAGGTTTGTTTCGACTTCTGAGGCCGGGTCGGATTTGTAGATGTAGGCGCAGTAGAAGACGTGGGTTACAGTTTCGATGGAGGGGACTCTGGCCTGGAGACCGAGTTTGAGAGTTGGTGAGAGGAGGTCTAGGCCGCTTATTGGTTGGAGTCTTGGAGATGACGGCCAGAGGGTTGTGGTGGAGTCGATGGGACGGTTTGTGAGGGCTGTGATTTTGGCGAAGGAGTTGGGCGTTGGGTAGTTGTTGAGGAGTTGGTTGGTCACGGCCCAGCCTTGGATTCCGGTTGCACCGAAGATCAGGGCGTGGTTTGACTGAGCCATAGTTGCGGAATTGTTGGAGAGGAAAGTAGTATGGCAATGGGAAGGAATTCAATAGGAAAGACACGATACCCTCTATCGTTCGTCTATGGTATGAATTCTGTGGCTTAGCCAAGGTACTTACATGGAATGCTGTGACGGGCGTTCGTGATATCCGAATACAATCTCGCATCCAGGTACAGTGTTGACGGATGGAACGAGCCCGCGAAACGATCTCCGAAGCCCAAGACGCTGTTCAATATATGTCGACTTATGACTAAGGTGTATATACGGTCCACCGTTGGAAAGTCATCTGACTCTCGGACTCGGGCTTGGAGCTGTCTGTTTGACCTCGGAAGTCCTGAGCACCCATCCAGTATTGATCGATGCCGACCGCTCTTGGATGTATAGGAGAAGCAGATGTAGGTTACCTTTCTAACTCTACTACGACAGAGACATCTCATTATATTCGTATCTTGTCTCCCATTGTTTCGGACACTCACATAGCAGCATGGCGGGCCCCGTACGACAACCCATCGATCAGGCCGCATTGGAGCGATACCTCGATCAGAACGTACCCGAAATCCAGACACCGACCCAGCTGGGCCAGGTAAGCCATTGGGCATTGCTTCCGGGACTGCTCCGGCATACATGCTAAGAACGTCTCTGCCAGTTCGGCTTCGGCCAGAGCAACCCGACCTACCTCATAACCGACTCCAACAAAGCCAAATTCGTCCTCCGCAAGAAACCTCCCGGCAAACTGCTCTCCAAAACCGCCCATCGCGTGGATCGCGAATACACCGTCATCCACGCGCTCGAGAAGACCGACGTCCCCGTCCCGAAAGCCTACGTTCTCTGTGAAGATGAGAGTGTTCTCGGCACGGCGTTCTACATCATGGAATGCCTCGAGGGTCGGTTCATTGACAACTCCGCGATCCCGGGCGTCAGTGAGTATCAGAGACGGGAGATGTGGAGGGATGCAGTCCGGACTCTGGCGAAGCTGCACCGTGTGAAGCCGAAGGATATCGGACTGGAGAATTTCGGGAGGCCGAATGGGTTTTACAAGAGACAGATCAAGACTTTTTCTTCCTTGGGGAAGTCGCAGGGTGAAGCGAAGGACAAGGAGAGTGGTGAAGAGGTGGGACAGTTACCGCATTCTGATGACTTTATGGAGTTCTTTGGAAGGGAACAGGACCAGCCGTTTGATCGAGGAGTTCTGTTTCACGGCGATTACAAGATCGATAATCTCGTCTTCCATAAGACGGAGCCGAGGGTTGTTGGCATCTTGGACTGGGAGATGGTGACGATCGGCCATCCCCTGGCCGACTTGACAAACCTGACACAGGGTTGGACGATCTCGAACGCTACCAAGTCCTGGCCGAGAAAGCATGCGGATCTCGCATTCCTGGATCCGTCGGATTCAAAATCGACGAGGAAGCAGCATCCTGGACTCCCGACGCGAGAGGAGTGTATTAAATGGTATCAAGAAGATGTCGGCTTTGCGGTCAGTGAGAAGGATCTTGCCTGGGCGACGGCTTTTGCGCTCTTTAGGGATTCCATCATCTTCCAGGGAATCGCTGCGAGATATGCCACGCGGCAGGCGAGTTCTGCCTCCGCGAAGGAGTATGCCGAGGAGAGGGTGCCTTTTGCTGAGATGGCGTGGGAGAAGGTGCAAGAAGCGAAGAGCAAGTCTGGCGGCCAGTCCAAATTGTAGACGAAAGAAAACGGTGTGTCTGATGGGTAGCACGGCAAGCAATAATGCGTCTGCACGTGGTGTGGCCCCTTGCAATCAAGCTTGGCCACTGCGTTGCCGGCACCCTTTTCCGGGCGTCTGAGACTTTCATATCTCCATCGCGTGATTCCTCGTCCCATTGCATGCAAGCGAGAATCTGGATGTGTCTATGCAGGAAGATCTCTGATCATCTCGTGCACCATGGAGAGACTGTCGCGAGCTATGTGTTTCCCAACGAAAATATAGAAAATATATATATATATATATATGCCTCTCATGTCGGAGGCTTGAGAAATCATCACTACCAACACCACTGAGTACACAACAGTCTCATCACTACTACCACCTTTCCAATCTACATTTCGGCCAAGATGTTCTGCGCACCTCTGGACTACGACAGTCTGCCTCGACGACGATCAACATGGGAAGCGAGCAAGACGCATCAAGAGTTGGCTGCGGAGGAATTCGCTCGACGGGAAAGTGTCACCTCTGCTGCTTCTCGCTCTTCGTCCGCTGCGAGCAAGACGGTCGGCAAGGACAGTAGGCGCAACAGCAACTTCTTCCGTTGGTTCCATCACGGCGATAAGAAGCGTGCAGCCAGCCCGGCTAGCAGATCATCGGTAAGGATTCCATGTCCCACGGCCACGTTCTGCATTTCTGTTTCTGACTTGGACCGAAGGAGGCCGCTGCCGACAGGCTGGCGACAGATCAGCGATCCTGAACGACGAGCGGAGAAGGACCAGGTACTTCGCACTACACGGCGTGTAGGGCATCACGCTTGCGGATCATGCGAGTCGTCATCCGAGCCGGTTGTTGTTATCATGAAGAGGGACCGACGACTCGAGCGAAGTACTTGGGACAGACGTTGATTCAGGTATCGGACGGTGAGTTTCCGTTACACAAATGACGCTGTTTCAAAGCTGAGAACGCTTCCAGAACTAAAAGACGGCTTCCGAATAATGACGACAGCACACAGCGAGTGACAGGCAGGAATGCGAACTGGAACGCAACAGTACAGACATGTTTTATGCTGGGGATCCTCGACTGGGCATGTAGCAGAGCCGTGCCGCTGACGTGGTGGAGGGCAACGACAAACCCGAACCCCGGCTATTGTTGTTGTTGCTGTTGTTGTTGTTGTTGTTGTTGATGTTGTCACGCAGCACATCATCATCGACTGTCACGCTTGATCTAGACCCGTAATGAGTAATGTGTATATATATATCCTCGGTATTCGCACGTCTTACTTAGGTTCCTTCGCGCATTTGCAGACGTCGACGAATCTTCGATCTACAACATCGGACCCCACGCTGGAGGTATCGCAGGACCGCGTCGTCACAGATAAGAAAACACGCGCTGCCTTGCACTTCATCCCTCGTCAAACGCGATTGGCGGGACGAGTGTCCTTGTGACTGAGTGCCATATTCGTATTCGTCGAAGGAAAAAGAGAAGACAACAGCGCCTCCCTACTTTGCAGTCAACTTCGTCACCAAAGACCCGGATGTCTTCCACGACGACCATGATCCCCACCAGCGCCCTGAACCCTCTAGGGCAGGTCTTCGAACGCCAGTTCATTCGCGCCTGGGAGCTCTTTCAAGAAGAACGATTCGAAGAAGCCAACGCCATCAGCGTGCGACTCGTCAAAGAGCCGCTCATTGGTGATCTGCATAAGGCTGGTTGCCATTTGATCTTAGCCCATTCGCCCGATAACTATGTGTGAGTAGCTGGTCCATCTAACGTCGTTGTGGCGGTGGGTGCTAATGACCTTTGTCGCAGCTGGCACGCAGAACAGGCCGTCGTTCTGTTTCGAAGATTGTATCCGGATCCGAAGAACCCACCCGATGCAGAGCAGAGACATAGTCAGGAGGAACTTGTGAGGATGGCCGAGGGTGTTTTGGAGCAGGCGAGGGCGGATGCGAAGGCGTATGTCTCCCATCGTGCTAGAGAGAGAGAGAGAGCTTGCGATGCTGATTGAATACGTTCAAGGTACTCCCCAACTTCGAAGGCCATCTCACCACACAACGATGTGCCCTTAGAGGCAAAGAGAATGACTACGCAGAAATTGCGGTCCATCCTGAGTTCAAGGAAGACTGGATGAAGACACAGATCTGCTACAGCATCGACCGTCCAACTTATTTGTTGCCCGTCCTCCTCATGGATGAAAGCCCGCGCTTGATCGCTCCTGAAGGTCGACTTCGATTCACACTCGGACCGGCAATGAAATCTTGCAAATTCTCTGCAAAGTCATCGACGGCCTCAAGAACGTACTCCGCAGGACGACACGCTAGTGGCATATATTCTGACCGTCGGTTCCACTCCGCTCGTCCGTCGATGGCGATGTCGAGAATGTATAGCTTCCGAGGGGTATCGACTTTGACCAGGGCATCGATGGTCACTTTGTGAGAACCGGCTTCCATGGTAGTCCCTGGGGGCTGGAGGCGCATTCGACCTTCGATCTCGGCGATGTTGGTGTTGATCGAGTTTCCTCCGAGCATCACATCGAAGCCCACTTCAAGGTCGCCAATGCTTCCCAAGAGGATCGATATCTCGGAGGCGTCTGACTTTCGTCGAAAGAATAGTACCGCTGAAAGACTTTTCGCGCGCTTAATGATCTGGAAATAACTTGCCTGTGCGGCTGCTAGCCAAAGGGAATTCTGGATCACAGGCCTTGGAGCGCAGCTTTGTACTTCGTCCGGGTGAAGTGGGAAATATGAAACGTTCATGAGCTCGTAGTCATCCCCTGGCATCGATAGGTTCCTGGGTTGGAAGAGGTGCCAAGGCAACACGGTCTCGTGGTCTAGGACCGAGGCTTTTTGGCGCACGTAGACTGTGCTTGCGAACTGGGCTCGGGTGTCCAGCCCAGCTAATTCGTGGCAGTGGACTCTGGCGAATTGGTTGATTCCAACTGGGAGCTTCACAAGTAAAAGCCCATAGAACCCGTGGTAACCTGTCTTCGGCGAATATATGGGGCAGTTCAATGCTGCGAAGAAGATGCCGGTACCGTCGTGCGCAGGTGTCAGACGAAGATCGATTCGAAGACCTTTGTTGCTCGGTTGAAATGGAGTATCGTCTTCCCAGTCGTTGTAGCCGACTATAGAAGACGTATTCGCGAATGCCTCGGGAGAGTCGGCCAGCAAACCGTGCTGCTCGAAGCCTTTCGCATCTCGGTCTACCGTCCACGCGAATATGGAATGGTCATTCGAATCTTTCATGATCTGCTCTTGGAGGCGATGGAAGGCATTTGTTCGGCCTTCGCCGTACAACATCGGCATGGTCACATTGAAGATACCCATCAGACAATACGCCAGATCTTCTGGTCTTGTGGTCTTCCGTCCTGCAGCCCACGACATCCGTTTGGCTACGCTGGTCGATTGAAGATGGCCCGCTCCGGTCAGAATGTTGGCGTCGATCCTCGTGCGATCAGATACCATGTCACGGATGGCAGGAAACTTCTTACTCCCGATTCTGGTCCAGTCTCGGTCGAAGAAGATCACCTCATCTGGCGCGATGAGTTCCTGCAAAGTCCAGCCTCGAGTAAACCATTGCGACTCGGCGAGCTCAGCAACCGTTTTGAAGCTTTTGTCTTCGATGTACGCATAGCATACGGCAGCGGCTTCGTACCAGGTATACATGCTGTTGATGCTTTCACTAAGCTCCGCGCTCGAGGTCTTGTCGATGCAGCATGTATCGCACCAGATCCAATCGTAGCTACCTTTGGCTTGGTCCATTGCCGCTGCAAGCTTGGCGTATGCCGGTTTTCCTTCCGCTGCACCGTTGCGGATGTCGTCGTATAGGACCTCATCGTTGGCGTTCGAGGACCAGCAGTGGGAGAGAATGGCGTATGGGGGTGTGTTTCCGTTGCGATCTGGGAAGGACTTCAGCTCCAGTCTGTCGGTTCGTAGGAGGCGCATCTTGCTGGTGTTGAAACGTTGAATTGTCCATAGGATAATAATGTCTGGCTCTCAAGAAAAAAGGCCTACGACCGTTACTACACCGTCGAGAGCACACTTGTATTCAGATCCCAGAGTTGGGTCGTTGATTGTCTCTGGCCCCCAACTTGCTCACGGAACGTCGAGCGTGGTAACGATCGCCTCGCTTGTGTTCCAATCCTGTCGCGGCTGGTCTAAAATTGCCCGTAGGATTCAGCCGCTCAGCTTTAGTGCGTTGCTGCGGGCGAGGGCTGAAGTGTGGTGGCACATGAAGTCCTCCGTCCGAGAAAATGGCGAATCAGACGCTGTCCGAAGGAGCTGAAACCACCTTCTACCAAGAGAGATCTGCATTGCATTCCTGATCCTCGGGGGCAGTGCGCGAGCCGTCGCGCGCATGGGCGCCGCGGAAGATAAATGTTGATGCATATGGTAGGACAAGATGGTGTACAAGTACTGTGCTTCCTCGACGGATTCTTGGTGCCAACGTACTCATGCCACTCCAGAAGACTTCTGCATCCTCCAGATACAGTTCGCCATTGCCAGAGGTCACCATGCAGCAAGAGAAGGGTCAGTCTCCAGCACCTCCATATGCTCCAGTCGGACAGCAGCCAGTTGGCCACAATGGCGATGATCACATGGATAGCATTCAGAGACCTGTCCCTGCGCAGAGCCAAGGCCCGCAGATGGTGATGGTACCGAATGTCGCTCCACCACAACAGCCGCAAACAACGCCCTTGAATCTGCTACGAGAGCAACCGGAGCATGTCTGGTGTCCCGTCAAAGGCCAGGTGTGCCAATCCAGAGCGGACAGCAAAGATTCGGACAAGACTTGGCAAGATCGCCCATTGCAATCATCATGGACATCATTCTGATTTAGTCAAAAATAGGTTCGCCGTCATAGGACTCTGCCTGATCTGCCCGTGTGTTGCTTGTTTCCCACTCAAGGGATGCTGCGGAGCCGGCATGCTTCAGGACTGGGACCAGTACTGCACGGGCTGCGGCCAGCAGATCACACATCGACCATACAACCATGAGGCACAAATCCTGCGATCGGATCATAATGCTCCAAAGGGCGGCACTGGCCAATACGGAGTTCCGCAACATCCCCAGTACATGCAGCAACAACAGCAGCCTCAGTATATGCCACCACAGCAGCAGCAGCAGCAGCAGCATCAGTACGCTGCGCATTAACAACCCAATGAGCAACGGATTCTGATCTGGGCCGTCCGGATTCTGTCGAGTTGAAGGCTTGGCCGAAGTCAATGAGGCCAACTGTACCTCCTTCAGTAAAGGCAATGAAGCACGAAACGAGGAAGTGAAGTCGGAGACCATCAAGGTCGTGCTCTGTTTCGACCCTTGATCTCTTGAACACTGCAATGCAGTATGTTCTGGAAGTAACTTTCTGAAAAATAACGAGGTCATTGAAACTCGTTCTTTTGGGCAATCATATCGTTCTCCAAGAACACATCGGTCTGGTCGTTCATCTGCGCAGAATTTGAGCTGGGAGTTCGTGGGACGAGAGTGTACAGTACTTACTTTAGCGTCGATATCTTCCAATAGCAGACACATTACAAGACCCAGTCCGCCGAATAACAGAGAATATGAAGCCGTCAAATTCAGTCCATGCGCGTGAATCCATTGGTCTGCAGTACTGGTAGCGGCCCCGAAGGCAGCATTTGCCCCTCGGACCGATGCCACAGCTGCTGAGCCCTGCGGTAGAGCTGCTAAGAGAGCTTTGGATGTCTGTGCGTTTACACCAGCCGCGATGGCTGCCGCTGGAACCGTAACGGCCGCTCGAGAAGTCTGAGTGTGAGTCAAAATAGAGGTATGAATTGCTTGAGCCAACGAGTTACCGGCGAATCGAGCAACTGCTGAAAGGCCTCCACTCGCGCCAATATCATTTTGATGGGCCCCGAGCCGAGTGGATGCAATACTCTCGTATTGTGCCCAGCCGAAAGAGGCTTGCTTCAGGAAGGCAAAAGCGCTCATTAAACCTCTGCTGTACCGTGTTAACTGGGTCATCATCTCGCCCCAGAAAACCACAGAGCACTAGACATTGACCGAGAAGATTGCCAAAGCTGGTCAGGAGGATTGAGAAGTACTCCTCCAATACATCAGGTAGTTTGTTGGAATAGAAGCGGAGTTCGATGCAAGGTTGATAGTCTGGCTCCGCGATGTAGGAGAGTCTGTCGTTCTTGAAACCGTGATCGATTTGCTTGAGAGTCATCTTCAACGAATCTATGCCGTCGAAGATCGTTCGCGCCGCAAATTCTGTTCTCGACTTGTCGGCTTCTTTGTTTTCCCACCGAGTCTGGTGTCTTGATGTTTGGTTGAGGGGTAGGTCAGCTGTGACCGGCAGTGTAAGACATCCAGAGTTTCTGTGTCCCTTCATCACCGCGAGAATGCCCAAAACTGCACAGCGAAAGTTAGAGGTGGCGAGATGAAGGCGTTTCTACGTTTATGCTAAAACGCAACCAACATGCGCTTAGTTGCTTTCCCACTCTTCATCTCATTCACCATGTCATTCAGGTCTTCCAAATTGCGATTCTGCACCTCTGGCATGATGTTATGCTGGCCTAGAAAGTCGACGGCCTTCTTCATGCGTTGCGGGATGCCGACGCTTTCACTTTTGATCCTATACTTGCCAAGAGCTAGATCCATAGACGAGATCGGGATAGGATCATGAGGTACACCGACGCACATCATAACACCTCCCAGTCGCAGTATCGAGGGTACACCGGCGAAGGCCTATCTTGTCAGCTTGTGCGTTCACGAGTTCGAGACAATCCAAAGACGCACCGCTTGTGCATCGCTGAAAACGCAGGCTGCACGGACTCCCCCACCAGTGAGCTGCGTCAGTTCTGTGGCATAGTCCTTGTTCGTCGTCGAGTTGAAGACGGCATCGGCGCCTTGCTTCTTGCAGACTTCAAGTGTCTCATCGTTGATATCGATTGCTACCACATGCAAGCCCATCGCTTTGCCAATCTGCGTGGCAAGTTGTCCGAGCCCGCCGGCTCCGACAACTGCTAGCCAGTCACCTTCTTTCAGCTCGCAGCTATCGACTGCGTGAAAGGCGGTCTAGCAAATATCAGCAAGCACCGTTTTCTCAGACCACGAGACTTACGATTCCAGCGCAGAAGATTGGAGATGCTTTCTTTACATCCATGGACGCGGGCAGATGGATGCAATTCGGTTCGTCGACCACCGCATACTCGGCGAAGAAGCCATCGGTCGTGAATCCTTGCAAAGATTGCTTGCCGGTGAAGCAGAGCCTGGTCCGTCAGAGTAGCCCTGAATCCATCTCTTCAACGATTCTACTCACGTGTTGTGGATCATGCATCCTTCGCATCTGAAATCAGATCAGCAATAGCTCTCTGGGTCACGAGCGCAGCACATACTCGAAGCAACACCCGATAGTATACAAGAACCCAATCTCGTCGCCGACCTTGAAGCCCTTGTCAGCGACAGAGGGGTGCATCTTCTCGATGTAGCCTGCTCCCTCGTGTCCCAATGTCGAGGTGAGGTTTGACTTGCAGATCATAATGTCAACATCTGCGTCTATTCGTCGTGAACAATTACACCTACGTCTATTGCCATCATGTCTGAATGGCAAAGCGAAGCCGACGAGATTTTCACCAGGAATTGGTTCGGACCAGGCTCAGGTCGAGGGACATGATGAATCACGACTTTCTGCTGTTCCTAATAAATCTGTTAGCAGTCTCCTACCTCCGTATAAAGGCACAGCACATACCGGGCTCCAGCGAGCAGCCTTCATCAAGGAGCCTGTGGTCTCCGCTGGAACTGCCGTGCCGGCGGCATCCTCTGCTGATGGTTCGACTGCGTTGTCAGCTGCTAACTGGGAGAAAAAAGCCGACATGTTGAAAAATGAGTCGTTCGGGAAAGAGAGTGCCAGCAAGGAATTGGACGGTAGGAAACAACATGTGGGGAGGGTTTCAATCTCTCTCGATTTTGAAGGATTCTCTTCCCGATCTTGAATGCATCGTGGAATGGAGGTGCAGCATAGGCGAACACAGCCCGGGAAATGAGCTCCAGCGTTGTCTGTCCACCCCCCAGTCAGATCCGGCAAGCGAGCATGTTGTATCGGCGGAGGCGAATCCTCGCTGGCTTCGCACAAGCAGGACCTAATATCCACTAAGCCTAATCCGGAAAAGGGTGTAGAAGCGCGAGCCTCGCCGACCCCACCAAAACTTAGTGAGCAGCCATCAATATTTGATTTGACGCGAGTCTCCCCCTGTGAATCTCCACCCGCAAGCTCCGCCTGCCAAGGAAAAAGGTGGCAGCTTATCAGATCGAGGTGAGAGCTGAGATGTGCGGTGAGAGATAAGAGGTAGATAAGAGGTGAGACGACAGATCGTGAATATGTTGTTCGTAAGAAAGATGAGGATGAGGATGAGGACGAGGATTTGGAGGAAGTGAAGTGAGGCGCGGTGGTCAAAGCGTCCCCCGAAGACCTTGATGGACGCGTCTACGGAAATCTCCTTTCTTTCGTTACTTATATCAACATCTACTACTTCGTATGATGCGACAATTTCCTGAACACGGTCACTCTAGCCTGCTTCATGCTAGCCATGATGCGCTTCGTCCACTCGACTTCCCCCAACGCGAGCAGCTCGTCGTACGGCACAGAATCCCCATCGAAATAATGCTTCATGATGCATCAGTCTCTTTGGCTGAATGAAGATGAGATCAAATGGTAACCTACTAGCGTCAAGAACTTGGGCGCGTCTGGGACCGTCTTCTCCTCCGGCGGCTTGCGGTACTCTCTCGCGGAGAGAAGCTCATATCTCTCGGTCTTCCGCCAGCCCGAGACTCGAGCAACCTCTGCGAGATGCTGCTGGCGGTAGTAGTTGTCGTAGTCTTCGTCGTCGACGGGCGTGAATTCTGCCGACATCACGAAATCGGGCTGTTCTGGACGAGGCGGTCAGCCATAGTCTGATTCATGAACCGCAGAACAGCTTGCCGGGAGTCGCGCTCTCTGGTTCGTATAGCTGGACGAATTTATAGGCCCTGAAGCGCGGTCAATTTAAAAGCTGTTCGTCATACGGAGACTAGGCCACACACCTTGTGTCGAAGTTGGCGAGATCAAAAATCTCTCCAGAGGCTGGAAGGCTAGCGTCCTTGACAGGAATCGCTGACCTGTGTCAACGGCTAGACTGCGCTATTCGACGACAGTTGACATACACTTGAATTCTGCTGACTGTAGATATTCCAGATCCTACTATCCCTTAGCTGAGAGCGCCAGAGAGAGAGGCAGAGATAGCGCACCTGCAGTGGATACGTCGCGAGATATGGCCTCTCCGGATTCGGATTCAACGGGCTCGACACGGCTTCCCAGCGGTACGCCTCATGGATTCCACTTGTTTGGAAGATGTCTGGAATATGGACTTTCTCGTACCATTTGGTGTACTGCTCTGGTGAAATATCATCCGGCTTCACGATCTTGGAATTGACGTAGAACAACCCCGGGTTGGACCCTGAGAGAGGTTTGTCCATGTCTGCTATGTGTCCGTATGTCCCAGGCAAACTATCCTCGAAATGCCGCTACGAATGAAGAAAACCCGTTTCTTATCAGGCTTTGAATGGGACCATTTGTGGAATGTCATATATAGATGACAGGAGAACGTCTCCCTTCCTCGTCATCAAGCTCGTTATCAGTAGCTGTGGCATCCCCTGTGCTCTCGGCGTAAATACGGGGGTTGTGTGGACAACTCGTAAGAGTGGGTAAAGAGCACAGGGGTGGGAAAGCTCTTCCAATCGACCATTTACTGTTTATGGAAGGCATCCACATATGAGCTGTAACTTAAAAGACAGTGCAATAACCTGTTCAGGATGCCATGGTCTTGCTGTGTCTCTAGTTCGGCCTCAGGCTTTGTCTCAATCAGCACTCGTGAAGCTGTACGCCGAGCTTTGCCGATGCTCGACGCTTACATGTAACGATCCACTGCAGATTGGTGCGAGTTTCACGATACATGCTTGGAGCGTCTCCCAGAACTTCGACTTCTAGCAGCAGGTTATCCAGCACACTTACGACAGAGCAAGATCAAATTATCGGACCATGGGCAAAAAGGCACTCATATGGGGCGCTAGCGGTGTCACCGGCTGGTCATTCGTCAACGAAATCCTCAACGATTACCCGGAGAAGGGAACCTGGGATAGCGTCACGGCTTTGACAAACAGGCCGCTCAAACAAGAAGACTCGCTGTGGCCCAGAGACTCCCGTCTCCAGATCGTATCTGGGGTCAACCTGCTAGCCGGCCAGGAGGATATCGAAGCTGCTCTGAAGGAGCATGTTAAAGATATTGATAAAATTACCCATGTCTATTACCTAGGCAAGTCGCTCTCTCGCCTTCACGAACGTGCGCTGATTGGAATAAAGCATACAAGGCTTCCACCGATCTCCAGCAAGAATTCAAAGACGCAGTGACCATGTTCAAGCAGTCAACAATCGCACTTGATCGTCTGAGCCCTGCCTTGGAGTTTGTGGTGCTGCAGACCGGGGCCAAAATCTACGGCTGCCATCTTCTGGAAAATCATCCTACGGATTACATTCACGTCCCGCTCGCGGAGAGCATGCCGCGTCTGAAGCAGCCATATCACGACCTGCTCTTCTACCATCCACAGCTTGACTGGATCCGGGAGTACGCCAAGGAGAAGAAGTGGAATTGGTGCGACACCAGACCCGATATCATCATTGGATTTGTCCCAAATCAAAATGCCTATTCCTTGGCGCAATCCATCGCACTCTTCTTGACGTTGTATGCTGTTGTTGAGGGCACAGGTGCTGAATGTCCCTTTCCAGGAACGCAGAAGTCTTGGGTGGTATGATTAGTGCGAGAGTATGCGATGGGCCCTGCTGATGGCTGGTTCTAGGCAAAATCAATCGACAGCTCTTCGGACATGATTGCCAGGCAGACGATACACCTGTCGCTCAATCTTACAGCGGAGCCCAAAGGCGAGGCCTTCAATGTTGCAGATGCGAGGACATGGTCCACGTGGAGCGAGAGGTGGCCTCAGATCACCAAATACTTTGGTCTGGTGGGTACTGGGCCAACAAGCACCGACAAGGCACCTCTTGAGGTCAGAAAGTATATCAATGACCACATCGATACCTGGAGGGATCTGGAAAAGAAGTACAATCTCAAGCAGGGCGTTGCGGATTCTGATCTTACGTTTCCCGGGTTCGAGCGCTTCCTATTGACAGATTTCGACTTTGACCGTCAATACGATATGACGAAGATGTATAGTACGCCGCCTGAGAATCCTTTCGTAGAGGAGAGGAGCACAGCGGAGACCTGGGGCGGTGTATTTGACCGAATGAGGGAGGGCAGACTCATTCCCAAGGACGTGAAGGTGGAATAATCTCAAGCAATGGGAAACCTTTTACAATCTCGTCGAGCGTTTCGCGCCAAGTCTCGCCCCTCCGTCTACGGAGATATACTCTCCATTCACATAATTGCTCGCTTTGGAGCACAGAAACAACATCACGCCAGCAATGTCATTCGGTTCTCCAAGCCTCTTCCTCGGATTCTCTTGGGACAGCTCCTCCTCACCACCAAGTTTTTCAATCAACCCGCTGGCCAGCTTCGACGGGAAGAAACCCGGTGCGACGGTATTTACAGTGATATTCCGGGGTCCGAGTTCTACGGCTAGATTTCGACCGAGGTGATGCGCTGCTGCTTTGGACGCACTATACATTATGGTTCCATTATCGCCAACGTGCGAGACGTTTGTCCCCGCTACAGAAGACATGATGACAATGCGGGAAGGATCCTCGGGCGACCCGGAGGCTTCGAGCATGGGACAAAACAATCTTGCTAGATTAAAGACCCCTCGAACGTTTAGGTCGAGGATTTTCTGGCTGCTCCAGTCTGGCGTTGGTTCGAAGGGGCCTCCCCACGTTGCTCCGGCGTTGGCGATGAGAATGTCGAGTTGCGATTCGTGCTTTTTCACTTCGGTTACTAGACGCTTGATGTCTTCTTCTTGGGCGACATTGGCTGGTATGCCAATTGCTCGACCTTTGAGGCCTTTCTTCGCGGCAAGCTCGTTGAGGCGCTTGACGGCTTGGTCGATGCCCTGTTCGCCTCCAGCTTTGCGTGCGCTGATGAAGAGCGTTTTGGCGCCGGCTAAGAGCAGCGCTGTTGCTGTATGGAGACCTAGGCCTCTTGAACCTAGTGAAGGTCCCCGTGTCAGCTGTCCAGACGTCTGCAAATATGTTGCTGACTTGCCTCCTGTGATCACGGCTACTTTGCCTTCCAATGAGAAGAACCCATCAATGTTAATATCCGACATCGCCGCTTCTACCGATCTTGCCCGTTCACTGCAAAGGAAGGAATATCCCGTCGGTATAAAATCTATTGGAATGATGGACTCGGTCGACGCGATGTCAGAATAGAGTCCCGAATCCAACTCGAGCCTGTTGGTCGGTGATCGGGATTGGCTGGCTCTCATTTGCCGACTGTGAAGCTCTCCCGGGGATTTTGCCGTCATTAGCGTCCCCCCACAGTCCGCCTCTCAATGCTTGGCATGGCCCGGCTCACACCGGATCCGACTTAGCCTCGGGTTCTTCTGTGCTTGCCAGCACGCGTGCCAGCGAGGCATATGCCCGAGGTAACCGGTCATACTGCTCATGGATGGGCCGTCAAGGTGAGCTATGCTGTAGCATTCTGGCCCGTATCTTCATGCATCGAGGCAGGTAAGGACATCTACTTCGTTCAGAGAGCTACAATCGGGAAGACTTGGAGGACGGCATTGATTCGAGCAGCTACTTATCCTCAAGATGATCTACTCATCTCCATTACCAGATCTGGACATCCCAAAGGTGAGGGGCACTCACAACGTTCATGGCAATGTTGCAGGACTAATGGAGATCCAGTGCAATATCCTCTCCTATCTCTACCCCAAGAACCAACCGATCTCTGAAGACCCGGCGTGGTACGATTCGAGCGACTTCAGCATCAATGTGAATCCGAAACAGATGCTCCAATGGAGCAAGAGAGTGATGATAGGACTGGACAGGCTTGGTCTACAGAAGGGAGATGTCTGCATGGTCCACAGCCCCAATCACGTCCTCTTCCCAGCAGCCTACTTGGGCATTGTGGGTGGTGCCCGTTGCTTCAGCGCTGTCAACCCAATCTACACCGTCGACGAGATCGTACATCAAATGACTCTCACAAACGCCAAATGCCTCCTTACACACCCTAGCCTGGTCGAGCGAGGTCTAGAAGCGGCCAAGAAGGCTGGGACAATCACGCCAGATCGGATATTCCAGTTCACGGATGACGCACAGCCTTGTAAAGAGAAGCACGGAGTGAAGGACTGGCGATATTTATTGGGTAGCGAGGAAGAGGCGGAGACATATCAGTGGAGAGAATTGAGCCCGGAAGAGTCTGTGAACACGGTCGCGACCATCAACTTTAGCTCAGGGACAACTGGCATGCCGAAAGGCGTGAAGATCTCGCATCATAGCCTCATCGCCAACGTTGCGCAGACCGCCAAAATTCGATGGCCTAAGAAGGACTTTGCGAAAGGAGACATCGTGACCGACGAGCGATGGATCGGATTCTTGCCGCTATATCATGCGTACGGACAGATGTATGCGAATCTCATGGCTGCCAAGTTCAGCATACCGATCTACATCATGCGACAATTTGTATACGAAGACTTTCTCCGCTGTGTGCAGGATGCGAAGGTCACAGACCTGCAGGTCGCACCGCCCGTTCTGGTCATGCTCTCGAAGCGGCCCGAGACGGAAAAGTATGACCTTTCCAGCATCAGGTCAATACTTTGTGGAGGCGCGCCCTTGGGCAAGGAATTGCAGAATGAGATCGCTCGGCGATTCAATTGTCGGGTCACGCAGGGTTATGGCATGACAGAAGTGGTGTGTGCATCCGCTCTTCAAAGTGAACAAAGAGATGATGGCACTGTTGGCCGTCTCGTTCCAAATACTCAGCTCAGATTGGTAGATGACGACGGGAAAGACGTAGGACCGAATACCCCCGGTGAGATGCTTATCAAAGCGCCCAATGTCATGCTCGGATATTGGAAAAATGAAGAAGCAACTAAAGATGCGCTCACATCCGACGGATGGCTGAAGACTGGTGATGTAGCTGTCATCAACCAAGAGGGCTACGTCTGGATCGTAGACCGAAAGAAAGAGGCAAGTCTCCGGAAAGCACTCTTTGAAACGAACACTGACATCTTGTAGCTAATCAAAGTCAACGCGCTACAAGTCGCGCCGGCAGAGCTCGAAGATCGATTACTGGAAAACAAGAGTATTGCCGATGCTGCAGCTGCTGGGGTCAAAGTCGACCACGAGGAATTTCCTCGTGCGTACGTGGTTTTGACAGAAGAGGCTAAGGAGGCCGGCGTCACAGAAAAGCAGATCCAAGACTGGTTCAAGACGAGAGTGGCAAAGCACAAGGCTCTCGTCGGAGGCGTGAAGTTTGTCGATGAGATCGTGAGTGTTGTCATCTACTAAATATCCGAAGTCGTGCTAACTGAAGCACAGCCCAAACTTGCAAGTGGGAAAATACAACGGAAGGTGCTCAGAGAATGGACGAAGCGAGACGCAGATGAAGTCTCGAAATCTTTGAATAGAGCGAAGCTATAGTTTTCGTCAGTTTGAGGCCAGTCTCTGAAGCAATTTACTTCTCCAGCGCTCTGTATTGATGACAAAGTTCTTGCAGACCAGGAGCGCCTCGTGCCTGATCACGCAACCAAGGCGAGGATAAAGTTCTCCGGCTTTCCCATGTGCTCCCTTGTATCCACCTCTGTTCCGGCATCCGGCTCTTCCTGCAGATACTACCCACAATTGACATACATGTGCTGCCATCTGCTTACCGTGGGCAATGGTGGCGTATACACAGTCACCGCTGAGACCGAATGGCCGACATCCGAATGTGAGCCAAGGTTGGAAGCATGGTGACGATTTGGACGGGGTCATAAAGAGGGCTTTGTTTGTGGGAATATGGTCAACTACACCTTCTAATACTGACTCGGATAACTCTAAAGTTGACGCTTCGACGACTGATCAACAGTCTCGCCCAAATATGGCATTCTTGTTGGCCGGCAATGCACCAATTGTGCTAGCACTCTCGGTAGGTCGACCTCAGTGTACATCCGCTCGAACCTTTGATGACGATTTGCTTAGCTCATTGGATATATGGTCTCGAGAATCATCTACGACCTATTCTTCCATCCCTTGTCAAAATTCCCTGGGCCAAAACTTAATGCTATTAGCGAATTGCCTGGAATCATTGCTCTATTGAAGGGACGCCTAGCTCTAGAGAATAAGAAGTTACACGACAGGTATGGTAGTGTTGTTCGGGTGTCTCCTAATGAGCTAGCCTTCAACTCTGTTCAAGCGTGGGAAGACATCTATGGCCATCGCCCAGGGCACGCGAATTTCCACAAAGATCCAATCCACGTCGGGTCAGTCGAGGCGGTGCCTGGAGTGACGACTTTGACCATGGCGGACGACGAGAATCACGCCCGGCAGCGCAGAGCTTTGTCACACGCTTTCTCTCAGAAGGCTCTGCTTGAACAAGAATACATCGTCAAGAGCTATGTGGACCAGCTCATTGACCATATGAAGAGGATGGTTGAGAACGATGAGGCGTTCAACTTGGTCAATTGGCTCAACTTCACTACTTTTGATATGTGTGTCGATCCATCCCAACAACCATTTCACTGTTGTGCCTGACATTACATTAACAGCATCGGCGACCTTGCATTCGGAGAGCCTTTCGGTTGCCTCACCGATGGCCACTTCAACGATTGGGTCTCCCTCATCTTCGAAACAGTCAAAGCAGGCGCAATCGAGCAAGCGACTCGTCGCTTTGCTGAAGCAGGCTCATTGACCCAAGACACCCTCCTGAAGCTCATTCCCGCCCGAGTCCGTGGCTATCGTACCCAGCATCTCCGCCGGTCTCGCGAGAAATGCCTAAAGCGCCTTGAGGCGAGTAATAACAAACATCGAGATTTCATTTATCACATCCTCAAACAACAGGAGAAACACGACCTCAAGCAGGACGAGGTTATTGTGAACAGTGCACTTTTCATAGTCGCAGGTGAGCACGTTTTCCCATCACAAAAGCGATCCTCTACGATCTTGCATGCTAAACTGTCCTCTTCTTGGAGGGTCCGAGACGACGGCAAACGCACTGTCCGGCCTCCTTGCTCGTCTAATCTACAACCCGGACAAATACGAGAAGCTCACCGACGAGATCCGCGCCGCGTTTACTTTGGAATCTGACATCAGCTACGCGGCTCTATCAGAACTCTCGTATCTAAATGCTTGCATTGAAGAAGGCCTTCGGATCCATCCTCCGGTGCCACAAGGCTTGCTTCGCACCGTGCCTAAGGACGGAGACACCATCGATGGCCATTGGGTTGCAGGAGGGACTTCGGTTGCAGTAGGTGGGTGGGCAGCGAGTCATAATCCCGAAAACTTCAAAGATTGTGATTCTTTCATTCCGGAGCGGTGGCTGGACAAAGAATATGATTCCGACAAGAAGAAAGCCATGCAACCATTTAGTCTAGGGCCGAGAGGATGTATCGGACGACATCTCAGCTATATGGAAATGCGGTAAGTTCCAAGAGCTTCAGGTGATCTTGTTTGTTGAGAGTCTTAAGCTGATATTCCATCACAGGTTGATTCTTGGGAGACTTTTGTGGAATTTTGACGTTGTTAGTGTTGATGGGGCATGGCAGTGGAATCCAGAAGGGGAGATGAGGAATATGAGGGCCTTTACAACATGGGAGAAGGTGAGTGTCATTCCGAATGGATCAAGTCATCGTTTGCTGACGGCTTTAAGCCTGATCTCAACGTCAAAGTGAAAATTGTACGTCGTTAAGCTGAGAATTGGCTCTTGTAGTGCTTTCAATTCCAGAGAAGACACACCGTTGATATCGGAACCAAATTGAAGTCTTTCATGGCAACCTTACTATCGACGCTGTTCCGTCCCGCTGTCATAAAGCTAGCTAATACGTCAAATTGACCATGATGGTCTTTGGATCCGTAAAGGCCCTCAAGGCATGAAATCCACTCTCCCTCCCGATACCGCTCTGCTTCGATCCTCCAAAGGGTGCTTGTGTCATCATCAGGCTTATACAGTTGATCCCCACCATTCCGCTATCAAAAGCACTTGCAATCCTCATCGCCTTGTTGATGTCCTGCGTGAAGACACCGGCCATCAAACCATACTCCGAGTCGTTGCTCATTTTGAGGACATCCTCCTCGGTCTTGAAAGTTCGAACAACTGAGACAGGACCAAAGATTTCATCGGTGTGGATTTCAGAATCTGGATGGACGTCTGTGAAGACCGTTGGCTCGACGAAGTATCCCTTCTCGCCGACTCGAGCACCACCAGTCAAGAGAGTTCCTTGCTTCTGGTCTTTGGCACGCTCAATGAATCCCGTGACACTTTTGAACTGCAGTTCATCAACCAAGGGTCCTAGGAGTGTTGAATCCAAGTCTGGATCGCCTAGTGTTTTCGTCCGCTCGATGAATTGGGCCTTGTACTTTTCGATGAACTTATCGTAAATGCCCTCTTGAACGTAAACCCTGGACGCGGCGAAACAGACTTGCCCGGAGTGACTGGTGATGGCGTTGACCGTCCAAGTTACGGCGTTTTCAAGGTTGCAGTCGTCGAAGACTACCGCTGGAGACTTTCCTCCTAGCTCGAGAGTCTCGTCCACGTTAGATTCACCGAAATTGTCTGAGAGTGGCAATGCTTACCACACGTTTAAGATTGGACTTGGCAGCCATCTCCTGGATCTTTTTTCCAGTCGGAATGGAACCAGTGAATGATACCTTTCTCACGCGCATGTGGCTCGCCAGCAATGCTCCCGTCGTACCGTCTCCAGACAAGACTTGGAAGACACCAGGGGGAAAGCCGGCCTCTTTGATGAGAGGTAGTAGAGCCAATGCTGCAAATGGAGTCTTTTCGGACGGCTGCCAACCAAATCGCGTCAGCACATGCCTCGCGCTTTGTTTCGAACACCTACCTTCAGTATGAAGCAGTTGCCAGTCGCTAAAGCAGGTCCAGCCTTAAGGCCAACATTCGCGATAGGTCCATTCCACGGAATGATGCCCGCCACAACGCCCAGTGGTTCATTCCTCACAATCTTCATAAATCCATCCTCTTGCGGGAACGACTCGCCCGCGAACTTGTCCGTCCAGCCGGCATTGAACCTCAACGTCTCTGAACACATGTCAACCTCGAGCTTCCCAAAGCCAGCCCAAGGAGCGCCAAGAGTGATTCGCGTTAGTTCACCAAGCTCTTTGGCATGCTCAGAGAGGAGATCTGCGAGCTTGTTGAGCATGTCTCGACGCACGCTTGGCAGAGTGGCTTTCCAGGCAGGGAAGACTGCTTCTGCGGCAGCAACGGCGGCGTCGACATCTTGTTCACCCGCGAGCGGAACGTCATCGGCTACCAAGGAACCGTCTTTCGGGTTCTGTACTGTCAGCTTATTGGGGTTCTTGGAGTCGACGTATTCATTGTTGATAATGATTTGCTTTGGAAGGTTGTCTTTGCTAAAGGGAGAAAGAGACATCTCGCAGGTATTGATCGATTTGGTGCAGCGGGAGAGCAGCGCAAAGTACAGCTATAACAGAACAGGTCATCATGAGAAATGAGCTTTCTCAGAATTTATCGCCATCCGGGAGGCGTTTCGTTACTGCCAAGCGAAGCCGCGATAGTGCAGTGTGATAGTGCAAGTTGGCTTGCAGAGCTGCTCGGGTAAGATGCATGGAGGTGGGAGTTGTTTTCCAGGGGCGTTGTGACAAGTCCTTGGATGGTACGACGAAGTCTACGGTGTACTAAAAGCTTAGCTTGGTGCGTGAGAAGCAAAACTTCCGCATTAGGAAGGATCATACGCCACGTGACCTATCGGTCTCACGAGCTCAGACCATACGCACCAAGCCGTCTTCGGACGGCTCCTGCGGACTGAAGAGCTCGTGAGTATGGGGTGATCCGTCAGCCAACTCAGCTCGCAATCACATGCAAGTTGTGTATCAAGTACGCACTTGTTGGCTGACTTTCCAGTACAGCTGAGAGCCCAGTTCATGCAAGATCGGAAGCTCTACCGCTGTTTCTCGACAGTATCGCCGACTTGACAGGCTCCATTCTCTCACATTCAGAACAATGCCGCCAAAGGCGTCGAGGACCACCGATTACGTGAGAACATCGGTCCGCCTCCACAGCCGCCCCCGCGATCTGCATTTCCCCGCGTTTTGCTGGGGGCCCCTGCCCTAGTCAACGTCGCAGCCAATGAAGAGCTCTCTCCTGCATGTGGAGCAACACAGTCCGACAGCTCTGGCGACTGCTCAGGCAACCAGCCAACGGTGGATGGGCGGGGTACGCTCTCCTGACCTGGTCCTCCGTGAGCTTTAAAGAGAAGGACAGGTACCTTGGATGTCACACTCTTTCTTTCTCTCTGAACTGCTTCCAACCATTCTCCACTGCCTCAACTCTCCACTCTGCTGTTTCTGCTTGCTGCATCCCGCGACCTAACGATACCCAAGGCTGCTTCGACCTCTTCTTTACAGTCTCACATTTACTGCTTCTACACCATCACAAAATGATTCCGTCTACATCTTTGTACAAGGGAGCCGCCGTGTTCGCTTCCGTGACTGGTATTGGGGCAGCTCTCGTCGCTGTAAAACTCCCAATCCAGCACAACAAGACTGGTCCTTTCAACTACCACCGCGCCCTTAAGCCGGTCCGTCGTGTGAGCGAGAGCAGGATATGGCGTCGTCTGCCAAAGGCGCTATAATTACTGGTGGTGGTATGTCTCATTTTCTGCTGTCGATTGGACTATCTGGCTAACCTTCTTCAGCCAGTGGCATGGGCCTCGAAGTCGCGACAGCCCTTGCACGTCGAGGAGGCTGGCACGTCCACCTCTTCGACCTGAACGTTGCGGGCGGTCAACAAGCCGCTTCTCGACTTGAGAACGCGACATTTCACGAAGTAAACGTACAAGATTACGACTCTGGCGAATAAGTTCCAACATGTGTACAACACCGAAGGCAGACTGGATTTTGTCTTCGCAAATGCTGGTATAGTTGAACGATTCAATTTCTACGCAAAACATTCCAACGGCCGACCGCCACCACCACCGGATCAAAAGGTCATAGATACCAATCTCAAAAGTGTTGTCGATACTCTCTGGCTTTCTCAGCACTACCTCCGACACAGCACCATCGGCGACGATAGGAACATAATCGTGACCGCCAGCGTAGGCTCACTCTACCCGGCTTTGGCCATTCCCTCTTACTGTGCTGCCAAACATGGTGTTCTGGGTTTGATGAGGAGTGTCGCTCCTTACTTCTACAGAGAAAGTGGCATCCGCGTCAACGCCATTTGCCCAGGTTCTGTCCGAACCAACCTTCTGGACGAGGCCACATGGGACACAATAGCCTCGGATATATTCGTTCCATTGGAGAAGATATCGCAGACTGTGCTCATGTTGATTGACGGATATGATGTCGGCGGTAAGGCTGTGGGCTCCGGAGCACCTGTTGACAGTGGCGTGACAGGTGGTGAGAAACTTTATGGCAAGGCAGTGGAGATCTCGGGCACCGAACACTACTACCGTGAACCACCAATGTTCTGCGATGAACGGACGAAACGCAACATAAAGCAAGGCACAGATAGAGAATCATTATCTTGAATGCAAAATTTCTCGCTTCACGTGCCTCGATCCTTAGCATGCCTTGACTTTTGTATGTCCTGCGAAGTCCAACTTCCGGTATACTGCACTCTGTTGCCAGCCTACAGGGTACAGATGATGCGTTTAATACACACATTTACCTTTGACAGAAAAGCCTACGTGGACATCCACTAGCTTTATTCGGAAGACTGGCCAGCCCGTGTCGTGTTGAGGCCACCGACGATGTATTTGGTGGGTTGTGGCGTGACACGACTTCGCTTCTCCGTAAGCTGGTACGGCCCAGCACATCGATGCAAGTTGATATCACGGTCTCCATAAAAGCAATCTATGTGAAGAGCTCTCTCGCGGACAGCGATACATCTTCAGACTGTCGCCGAGTACCATGAACAAAAAGTCAAGCAATTGGGGCTTGTGCACAGGTTGGCCTACCTCACCACGACCAGTCATGCCGGATATACTTATCCGCTCATCCTTCACCACCTTTGCTGAAAGCGTGCCAGTTCTGCATTAGGAAATCGAGACTATGGCAACGACAACCGTAGACTCTGGAAATGCCCTCGCGTCTTGGACCGTAATGTTCCGCTCTCTTGATACCGAGGAAGGCTCCCGTTTTAGTGGCAGCTAAGTCGGCCTGGCAGACATGTCGCACAAGCCTTCGCTCGGCGTCTCACTCTCTCAAAACCAATGCTTCCAGCTCATCTTTATTCAGCATATTCTTCCTCTTGGTATCGTGCAATATGCCATCCAACGACCCTGGTCCCGCCAACGGCATGTCGAGCAATGCCACTACCGGTCCTCAATCTACGATGCCATCACTCATGAATGGGGTCAATGGAATCTCGCAGTCCTATTGCTATCCGGAACCTATTGCTCCAGGCCCTTACAAAGTCCTCGACCAATATCACAGCAAGCCGAATCGTCTCCGCGTGGCATGTGTTGGAGCCGGGGCCTCAGGTCTCTGCTTGGCCTACAAGATGGAGAAGATGCTCGAGCCGGGTTCCTTCGAATTGACACTCTTCGAAAAGAATCCGCATTATGGAGGCACTTGGTACGAGAATATTTATCCTGGCGTAGCGTGTGATATACCCAGTCACAATTACACGTTTACTTGGGATCCGAAGCCAGACTGGAGCTATTTCTTTGCTTATGGACCAGAGATACAGGGGTACTTTGAAAGCTTTGCGAAGAGGCATGGAAGTGAGAGGTACATGAAGCTGAATAGCAAAGTGATAGAAGGCAAGTGGGATGTGAATGCCGGGATATGGATGCTGTGAGTTACGAATGCACGGCATGATGATAGATTTCATGAACGATCTGACAAATGAGCGAAGCACTGTTGAAGATCAGCGCACCAAGAAGACCTGGAACGATTGGGCTCACTGCCTGGTCAACGGAACAGGCATCTTGAATAACTGGAAGTGGCCCGACATCGAAGGGCTCCACGAATTTGGCGGACCCAAAATGCATAGTGCTGCCTGGGATCACGATGTCGAGCTAAAGGATAAGAAGATCGGAGTTATTGGGACTGGAAGTACGAGTGTGCAGATCGTTCCACAACTTCAAAAAATCGCGAAAGAACTCCAGGTATACATGCGGAGCTCTACGTGGATCAGCCCTCCCTTCGGAGCAGGCGCTCTCACTAGCGTACACAGAGGAAGAAACGTGGATCCTGGACAGCGGCAATATGAATTTACTGAAGAGGATAAGAGGCGGTTTCGGGAGAATCCCGACTTCCACTTGGAATTCAGAAAGAGTATCGAAGCCGAGATCAATGGTAAGCTTACCGGTCGTCGACTCAGTGACCTTGAGCTAATCGATGTCACAGGCCTCTTTGGCATGTACAAGCAAAACTCAGAACTGTCGAACACGTTTCGCAAAGTCATCACAGAAGAGATGAACCGCCGCATGGGACCCGGCCACGAACATCTCAAATCTTTCATCATCCCCAAGTGGTCTCCTGGTTGCCGACGCATCTCTCCGGGCGACGGCTATCTCGAAGCACTTGTCCAGTCAAACGTCTCCCCGATCACAACGCCCATATCGAAGATCACGTCAACAGGTATTCTCACTTCCGACGGACAGCAACACGACTTTGACGTTTTGGTTTGCGCCACAGGCTTTAAAGTTGCTTTCCAACCAGCTTTCAACCTCGTCAACGGATCTGGTACTTCACTTGTAGACGATTGGTCCGCGTATGGTGGTCCAAACCTATACATGGGCGTTTCTGCTCCTCGGTTCCCAAATTATTTCACCATCGTCGGCCCTGGCGCGACCTGGTCCAGCGGAACTCTTCTCCCAAGCATCGAGACAACAATCGAGTACTCCGTCAAGCTGATGCGGAAAATCCAAAAGGAACATATCAAGTCCCTGCAAGTATCACAAGCTGCATTGGATGATCTATATGCCCATTTCGATGAGTTCCACAAGGACACGGTGTGGCAAGAAGAATGCCGAAGCTGGTTCAAGGACGGGAAAAAAGAGGGCAGGATCTACCTTTGGCCAGGCAGTACCATTCATTTTCTGAAAACGATAAAGGAACCTAGATTGGAGGATTATGAGGTTGAATGGAGGCATAGGAATCGTAAGTGCAACTTTGACCTTGCAAAGCGAATGTGTGTACTGACCTTGCTCTTAGGCTTTGCATTCTTGGGCAATGGAGAGGTCAAAGCAACAGCCAGTAGAGACGTTCAAGGATTGAGCACTTACATGCGTAGTAGCGATCATGAATGGAATGTTGAATAGGGAGGACTATAAATTGCATCATTGTAGCCAAAACGGGATGCATAGCAGCCGAGTAACTCCGCGCAGCCGTATCTCATCCATTCATAATCCCGCCCATAGGAGGTGTGGCAAAATTGTTTGGCTGGAGCCTCTCTCTGGGTGGAAAGCCATCCAGATCAGTTCCAGCCTCAGCTCCAGGGAGGGAATGCCACCGCGCCCAGTCATCCTCCGAAGGCAACGACAAGAACTCTAGTGAGCTCACATCTCCATCTGGTATGCCAGGTACGCCAGTCATGGGTGATACTTGTGGGAAGCCATGTCCTAACTGACTAATCCATTCTTGTCTCCGTTCAGGAGAGCTCATGCCCGCGGTGTCGGGAGTCGGGAGCATGTGCTGCGAAGCGTGAGGCCATTGTTCTGTGCGAGGTGTTACCATGACATAGTCCCCAGCACTCGATTGCAGCTGCTGTGATTGGACACTTGCATCACTTGCACGATGTTGTCGAGAAGAAGTCGGAGCTGGAGGTTGCATTTGTCTAGAATGAGTCGATGCTCGATCGGTCTGTCGCCGTTTGGTAGTGGTTCTCTCAGGATCATGGACGCCGTTTCCTCGTCGCGCTGGAATGGTGGTATTGTTACCCGGACTAATTGGACCCCCTCGAAGTTCAATCATACAGGCGTTTAGGACGGCGGCCATCCTCTCTGCCGGCTCATATGCGTGTGCCATATCTTGTAGCGCTGCGTGTAGGACCTCGAGATACTGCATATTGTTATTTCGATCCGTAGCATCTGTAATATGCGCAAGAGCTGCGATGAGCGCCGTTGCTGCCGCGCCTGCATGCTGCATTCCAATACAGAACATTTGCTTGCCGTCGAACTTTTGTCGATGCTGCCAGAAGATCCGAGCCATAGATACAGCAGACTTCGTACATATGGCGCGACTGGCTTGAGAAAAGTGGCTGTCCAGGGCACTGACCTCGTCGCTTTCAGTGCTTGAATCACCGTATCTTGCAAATGGGCGATGCAATAGGATCAGAACAGCATGGTATTGCTGATGTAAGAGGAAGAAAGACAGTGGAGCGCTTTCTTTGTTGCGTTCCGTGTACCGCAGGTCGAGTGGTAGTCGAGAGATCCAAGTGTGAAGCTCACGATCAAGAGCCGCCATTTTGAAATACGCCTGCTGATCTGGACCGTTTGCAATATCGTGCTGTTTGCGAAACTCGGCATGCTCCACGATCTTGCCAGCAATCTCCATTAGCTCCAGTAACGCTTCGTATATTCTCGTATTGAGACTCGCTGCCGCCCCAGCTGGCATACACGTCCCCAATCGTTCAAATTGGTCAGACAATGAATATATCTCCAGGTCGACACTCTTCATCGTGAGTGGGCGACCCAGAAACAGGCTCCAATAGCGATCATATATGACACAAGCCCAGAGGGTCATCTTGCGGATGTCGAGCTCTCGTTGTGAAAGTCCTGCCTGTCTGCTGTCCAGCTGGAGTCCAAGGTCATAGCAGAGTCGAATTGCCATACCGGAGTACATCCAGCCAACATTGTCTCGTCCAACGCCGACTTCAGAGTCTCCGAGAATGAGTAGAGCAGCTATCGATGGAATTCCGCCTGGTCTTTCTAACTCCAAGTCTAACATGTATCTTGCCTCTCGATGAATCGTGCTTTCTCGATCTGGCAGACCAATGCGTTGCATGTCGGGTCGACTCTTGTCAGCGAATCGATACCCCATAGCTAAGATACAGACATGCAAGAAGCCCGAGTAAGACTGTGCCCTACCATTCTCACGGTCTTCATTGAACGCTTCTTCGTGGACAACGTGCAACACGCTGTTGTAGTGTTGCCAGAAGCGATCCATGAGATAGTCGTGGGTCTCCAATGGCAGAGTTCTGACGCATTTCTCCGCTCGTCTGGCTTGTTCATGACTTTCGCGTCTGCTCTTGCCGTCGTCAACTTCCAACTCAGAATAGACGTGGCAGTTCACCGTTCCTCCGTAGAATCGAAGCCTTCCCGAGAGCTGATCGAAAGACAAGTGTCCCCGAGTTGAGAGTAAGCGACTGACCAAGCCATCTTTCTTATCGTCGATTGGAGTCCCAATATTGTTGTTCTGCTCGCTTTGGTCTCTCTGGCTTGTGACGCTGGCTGAGGAGCCAAATTCGGATTGCTCGACACTTTCGTCACGAGCACTTGGAGGAGTGAGACCTTCTGTGATTGCTGATTGATTTCTTGGAGATCGCTTTGCCTGCTCCGGTTGTTGAAATTGAGACTGCTGCTGTTGCGCTGCTTGTCCCGCAGGCCAATCGTCTCCGTCTGCGTATAGGCTACCTCTCGTGGTCTTGGGAGGGTATACTACCGGCGGTAGTTCAGCGCCTTTCTCCTTGAGCATAGATTCTAACAGGGCAACACGGTCGGTCAGAGTGCTCATGTAAGCCCTAGAGATTGGCCGCCTTCGCTCGTCGTCGTTCTTGATAATGCATTCGGTCCCAGCTCTTTGGCACTGGCTACATGAGCTCGAGCGAGGCGGTACCACACACTAATTAAATCAGTACAAAGCTCTATGTTTCTGAGCTAAGCTTACACGAATCCTTCTCTCTCGGCATGAAGCACAAGCTACTGACGCTCTGTGTCTTGACTTCTGTCGTTTTGGATTGCTTCCAGATTCCAAATCCTGCTGGTGAGCTTCATTCACAACAGCCTGTCGGCTAGTTGGTACTGCTTCTGGCATGCTTGATACGCAAGCAGAGGGTGAAGTGGAGAGAGAAGTCGGGAGAGGTTGGCTGACGCTCGAGGTCGGTGGAGAGCTGGCCGTACTTGTTCTCTGGGATGGTGGTCATGAACGCGATCGCCGAGATGCAGGTGAGTCTCCGGCAGCCCGACCCCTGTAGTAGCCATTTTTGCTTGAGCGTCTGCGGAGCATTGCTAGCGGGCACGAGTCAGATTGCTCGTGGTAGCCCCGCTAAGGCGTGCATGAATGGACGCCTTTCTGCATCCTGGTGCCCTCTGACCCACAATCGTTTGACTTTCGTTGCTCGCACTGTAATTGACCAAAATGGATAACTTTCCGGAGCCCTTCCTTGATCATGCTTTGGGAATCACTGTGGAATGATACCGAGCTTAAGATAGGAATGGAAAGAAAACGTGTACTCGTTCACATTCAAATGTTGGGAATCCTTGGAACTCCGCAAATCGTACTGGGGCCCCCGTAATCGAGGTGGGCCTGAGGTGGACCTGTGGGGGACTTTGCTGCGTGTCTTCCAAGGTTGTGAGAGTCCTTCTTGTGGCTCATAGACGAGGCTTTGCAGGGCCGCGGAAAGATTTCCATTGCCCACCGAGACGGCATTTATCAGCTCTCTGTCTGCCGCAAAAACACGGGGATGCAGTTGGTTCCACAAAACTCCTAAATATCTTACAAGATTCAGGTCCAGAGAGACAGTCGTTTTTGACACATATGAGAGTATCTCTAGCCCATCTTGCTGTGAGATGGAGGCAAGACTCGGATATTTAGTTTGTGCACGGACCGGAAGATCAGATGCGCGCGTCAAGTCCTCCTTGCCTGGAATACAGCTGCAATAGCTTCCAGCCATTGAAACCGTTGACATTATACGAAGAGATTTCGTGTAATGACTGATATCTCTTGCACTGCACTGGAGTATGACCTTCCAACTTCCAAGTCCCTCCGAGGAGGATCGCCACTCTCTTAACCAGTCTTCGAAGTGGCGCATTTGCAGTGGGAGCTGGAAGCCGACGATATTTCCGAAGGCTCGTCGCCGTTGTTCTTGCACTTTTACGCCTTGCAAGTTTCGTCCACATCAGTGACACAGGTAGCTGTGTCGATGGTCGCAGTGTCGCCGTATTTTGAATTAATTCCAGCAATAACCCCGCTGTTCGAAGCCTGGACATTAGTGACGACGGCTTTGCTTGCCTTTCCGTTGCCGCTGCAATTACGACAGGATCAAGCAAATCGCATGAGTATTAGTGTGTCAGCGCGACGTGTTGGAGGCCTTTATACCGGTCGAACTTGCCAGAGTTCTGGATGCAGAAACCGTCGGGAATAGGTCGAAATTCCTTTGTCGAAACACCAGAGTAGGTTCACATCTATTGAGGACCCATCTCGATTGGAGGATCTTTGGAGAAAACTGACGATGTTTCTTGGCTACGCTTGAGCCTTAAGTGAGCAGACTATAAGGCCGTGGGGGCGTAAATTTCTGCATTAAGGACCAATGATCCGAGCTTGCTCTGGTTTGCGTATGTCTTTTGTACATTTCTTGCATCGGTACGTTCCGCAAACTATGGCTAAGCGAATTCTTCATGTCTACCGGGGTAGGCAATCTTCATGCCAAGAGCAATTTTGATGTCTCAGGAAAGCCGCTATTGTAAGTGGAGGGCATGTTTCTTGCTCGGCGTTTCTTGTTCTTGTTCAGAGACTCTAGAAAACTTGCCAAAAAGTTCACAAATCATGAGCTCCGGTTAGCTATGCCTTCTGCTTTTCAACAGCTTCAACATGTTCGACAGACGCGGAGATGGTCTTTCCGTGGAGCCGGCGTTCCACGGTGTCGTTGAGGTATTCGCCGTAGTTGATCGTCAAGCATGCAGCAATCACGGAACAGGCTGCGAATGCAACGACCGCATACCACACGTACTTGAAAGATACTGCTGCTGCTTGCGCACTTGCAGTGGTCACCGCGGCGACGACGGCTTGCGAGATGCCAGGGACATTGCTCAGATCGCCAGCTTTGATCGCGGTGAACAGCGCGGGAAGAGATGATTGCGGAAGACCAGCATCGGTTGCAGCAGGCGATACATACAGAGGGAGGTATGTGGCGAGCTTGTTGTTCAAGATGGTGGTCTGTAAGGGGCATCAGTGAGCTAGCGACGCGACATCACACAGGATCTGTTTGACTTACGTAGATTGCAGTCGCAACAGATGCACCGCCCGATCTGATGGAGCCCAACGCACCAAGGGCGGCGCCGATGTCTTCGGAAGGCAAGGCAAGAGGGGCTGAAGTCATCAGTAAGAGTTCCCAACACCTGCAATATGTTTCGACTGACCAAGAGATAAGGAACAAGCTTCGATGATCCCTACACTGAGACATGCCATGAACATCAAGCCAACGCCCTTTGATTCCTGTCCTGGGCCAATACTAATCATCGCGCCGGAGAAAGCCAAGAGCGATAAGGTCCCATATATCAAGATCCACCTTGATTGTTTGATGTACTGGCACAATGCCGCTCCAGAGACTTGTCCACAAAGAGTTGCTGCTCCAACGACGCATGCCAGCCAGCCGCGATGAGCCGCAGACCCGCCAAAGAGGTATGCAATCTGCTGCGGCCAAATGACGTTCATGGAGTAGTACACGCAAGAGCCAACCATAGCCGTGATCACCATAGCAAGATATCCACGGGTCTTGAACAAGTGCAGTGGTAGTAGTGGGTCGCCAGAATGTCCATATGCGTCCCAGAGTACGAAAGCGACCAAGGCGAGGAAGCCGACGATGATGGTTGCGATCACATGTGCTGACGCCCACGGATAGACCACACCACCCCAGCTAAGACCCATGATGAAAAGGATCAAGCCGCCGATGAAGAGTATGAAGCCGACGAGGTCCTGCCGTTTCAGCTGCTCTATTCTTGAGCGGTCTGAATGAAGCAAATGAAACGTTGGCGGATGATCTGAATTCTGTCAGCGCTTTCGGAGGCAACAAGTCGGCTCAAAGAGGACTGACAGAAGAAGAAGAATAGAGTTACTGCGAGTCCAGATACGATGATGTTGACGTAGTAATTCCATCTGCTCGTTGTCAACACATATGCGAGGCTTAGCATTATTCGTCTGACGCACCTCCATCCCGCGGCCGTGTTGGTGACAAGAAGCTGGGCAATTTCAGGACCGAAGGCGGCAAACTCAACGCTGGACAAGAAGATTGCTGCGACCCATAACGGACGATGTTTGTTCGGAACAAGCTCCGCTATGGCCACGGTAAATGAGATCTGGACAGCGCCCGCGAGGCCGCCCAACACGTTGCCGCCGATTAGAGTATTAACATTCTGCGCTGTTGCTCCCAGAATGCCACACAGCAATGCTAAGAAGTTGCCGCCAATGAAGAACCTGAAAGGAAGGTCAGCCAAGCTCGAGGACTTGAAGAATAGCCTTGCCATCGTCTCCCGAAAATATCGGACAGTCTACCAACAATCAGGAATCCTGGAATGGAGTTAGCGGCTACTGCTTTGCGTGTGTTCGAGATCAGGAACCTGCCAACAGCCAAGCCTAGAGTATAAGCCAGCGATACCCATGTGATGTTGTCCGAGGGGCCTATTGAAGCGTTTATGACGGTCAATGAGTTTGATGGCTGCACCCAGCTAGCATAGTTGCTAATGTTACCAAAGCATAGTGCGACAACGGTCCCTACGAACCCCGGAGACAACCAGTATTTGGCAGGCAGATCGTGGCCCAAAGCTTCCTGTTTGATGGCGAATGTCTCGGTACGAATAGCGACCTCGTTGGGAGGATCCTGCTCCAGGGAATCCTCCTTCGTGATGGCATCCTCGTGATCCTTGTCGCCCATGTTGCTGATGGTCCTTGCAAAGAGATGATAGCTGCGGCTTGCGTTGTCGAATTTCAGGGGGCACTATTCCTTGCCCTCAGAACAAGACTGAGACCCAAATGATGCCCAGTATCTCCAAGTCCTTCTCGTTCAATTCTCCTCTCCGCTCCGGAGGAGCTGCGAGCAGTATGCCGCCGCATATCATCACCCCATAGAACGGCACATACTGGCCAAGCTGCTGTTTGGCTTCGTGAGCTGCATGCTCACTGCCGACACTGCTACCAATGCCGTGTATCGATGAGGATGATGAACGCGTCCAAGTGGCTTGTGGAAAACACCACCGACGCGCGTGTACACTGACGATGATGTGAGACTCGGGTGAGAGTGGGAAGAGTTCTGCCGATGAAGATGCCGCCGGCCGGAAGTTGATATCCCTGTCGCCTCGCGCCGTCCCTCTTCGGCCCTCGAGTCAATTCCGACCCCACACATCTTCCCCACACTCCCCACACTCCTCACACTCCTCGTACTCCTCACACTCCTCATACTCCTCACACTTCTGGGACGCGATCACGATGCAGGAGCTCGCGTGCGGTATGATGCGCAGGGGTAGGCTTGGCATGATGGTGATGGACCCAATGCTTATGCCACACTCGAAAACTCGTCCTTATGCCCACCAGCGCCCTTTTCAGATCATTGTCTCGGTCCCGAAGGAACCACTTTGTGTAAAGCTATCCGATACTAATGAAAGAGACGATATCCCTCTCGGACTTCAACACTGCGTCAATAGTGTCTTGCATCCGATATGACAAGCTTACTGCGAGGGACAACTTTGATCACAGGTGCAGGCTCGGGCATTGGCCAACACGCAGCCTACGCCTTTGCCAACCACGGAATCCGCAATTTCGCTCTCTGCGACATCAATCCCACGTCTCTCAAACAAACCACATCTCAGTTGAAAGCGGCGCACAAAGATGTCTCCGTCCTGGAGTTGAACGTGGATACCTCAAAAGAAGACTCCGTGCACTCCGCTATCGACTCAACAGTCAAGTCCTTCTCGCGCATAGATGTAGCTGTCAACAACGCCGGAGTCGGAGGATCGGGACGGCATACTCATGAAATGGAATTGACAGACTGGCAACGCGTGATGTCGATTAATCTGAATGGCGTATGGCTGTGCCAGCGCGCTCAGATTCGGCAAATGCTGAAACAAGAACCATTGATCCCGCCGCCACGTGGGAATCGAGGCGTCATTGTAAACGTTGCTTCTATGCTAGGCTTGAAAGGGAGCTCTCCAGAAGTCCCGGCTTGCGAGTATACTGCCAGCAAGCATGGAGTGGTAGGATTGACGAGGACTGATGCTGCTGCGTACGCGAAGGAGGGGATCAGAATCAATGCCATTTGTCCGGGCTACGTGGCTACGCCGTTGTTGAAGAACTCTTCGGTAAGTATAGAAACAACATTAGAATTGAGCGGATTGGTATGTGCTGATACTGCATAGAGTCTGGCGGCCATGCAAGCCGAAATCGCCAAAGTCCCTCAGCAGAGATTAGGGGACATGGAAGAAATTGCGGATTCGATCGTTTACATGGCGAGTCCGATGGCAAGTTTCATGACGGGATCGGCTATGACGGTGGACGGGGGCTACACAGCATAACAAGACATGAGCAACCAACGTATAGACAGATGGCTAGAGTCAAACATATCTGAACCTATCACGCCCGCACTTCTGCTCTCAGAGCTTCGACTCGGCCTTCGTGCCAGAAAAGTTTACACCTGTATCCGTCCTGGTGATGGTCCCGCTCTTCGTCAGAACTTGCCTCCTCTTCCTTCGACTCAACCATTCCCCATCGTCCTCTTCACGGATATAGTAGGCCCAATCGGCAGTCTCCTACAAATCACTCATCAGTATATCCCACATTTGCGAGGACCAAAGAGCGACAGGTGCACTTACATCCAACTCCGTCTGACTAAATCCATTCCCCAACCACGCAAACCTATTCCCATGATATTCGACCTCAAAATCCTCGAACCTCACATTCTGCAGAGCTTCGATATAATGCAACGTACTACCCGGCCACAGCGCTGTGATGGGTCCATCGACCAGACCGCTCTTATACCAACTCCGACAGGGATCCGCCCACACGGTGCGTTTCATGAATTCGTCTTTATGCTTGATGAAATCGTCCACTGCTTCCGCCTTCGGGCTGAAAGTTTTGATGTTGTGCGTTTGGTAGTGGTCGATCAGTGTGCACATGTAATCTGCTTGGAGCTCTATTGCTGAGAGGACGGGTCCGTTGCCTGTATGCTTCGAGATCAGCGAGCTGTGAAAAGATGTGACAGGTTCTGCTGACCTATGGGACAATTTGGACCTAGAAAGATGAGGTAGTTAGGGAACTCGGCGGCTGCGATGCCCAGGTAGGATTTTGGTTCTTTCGCCCATTCGTCTTGGAGGTTCTTGCCACTGGGTGCGATGAGAGGGAAGCGTGGTTTGAAAGTCGTGTCGAAGCCCGTAGCGCAGATGAGAACGTCGATAGGGTATTCTTTGCCATCGTCGCAGACACAGCCGCGTTCTGTGATACGCTCAATCTCGCCGTATATGGTCGTGACGTTGGGTTTTGTGAGTGATTCAAGATAGCCTACTCCCGGCGTAAGACGGCGACAACCGACGGCCCATTCTGGTATGAGCTTTGCGGCGAGACTCTCGTCCTGTAGCTTTTCCTTCATTTGCTGGACCATGTAGTCTTGAGTCGAGTTGTTCGTCGTGCTATTCTTGAGGAAAAGGCCGAATTGGCCGTTCAGGCCGGTCTCAATGTTCTTCCGATAGGCAGTCAGGGCACCCGGCTTGTTGGTAAAGTCGGAGCGTTCCTGAGGTGTGAAGACGTGCTGTTCCAAGCCTTGCACCGGTGAGACCCAAGTTGGCTCTCTGATGAACGTAGTGACGTGGGAGACATGGGGCTGGATTGTTGGAAGCACTTGAATGCCAGAAGAGCCATTGCCAATGAGCCCGGCATGCTTGCCAGTCAGGTCGATGTTATCATCCCAGTTAGCAGTATGTAGCAGTATGCCTTTATATTCATGAAGTCCCGGTATAGCAGGCCACCTCCAGTTGTTCAAGATTCCTGAGGCGTTGACAATTATGTCACATTGATCGAGTAGATCCTTTCCCGAGGACATGTCTTTGACTGAGATGTCCCAACCAGCATTTTCGTCATTCCAAAAAGCTCCCGTTACCTTGTGATCTGTACGAACGTATTGATGAAGCCCATACTTGTGCGCAAAGTCATCGAAGTAGTTAAAGATCTCACCAGACCCAGCATATACTGCAGACCAATCTTTCTTGGGCTCGAAGCTCCAGGTGTAATTATGCTATCAATAGTGAGACAGTTGCAAGCCAAATCAGTGTGCGAGATACTGACAGAAGGGACGTCGCACGCGCACCCTGGGTATTTATTTTCCCACCAAGTGCCGGAGACCTGTGAGTCCATTAGTCTTACTGTGCCCTTTTTGGGGAGCCTGACTTCGCTGACCTCCCGATTCTTCTCGTATATAATCAGCTCGACATTCTGGAAGTGTCGCTGTATCTTGTACGCAAAAAGCAGCCCACTGGCCCCAGCTCCAACGCAAATGACCTTGACATGTCGTTCTTGGTGGATAGGCCCGCCCAATCGTCGCCTCACATCTTCGTCTCCACGGTCTTTGCGCTTGCCCAGCGTCGGTGGTTCGGAGACTTTTCGAATGGGAAAATCTGCCATGATAAACTTGTCATAGGCTTAGACGGACAAGCGAATTTACGATTGAGTTCTTCGGGACTCATAGAAAGCTGTGTAAGAAGCTAGCTCAGAGGCATAGAGTCCATTCCGGAAGACTTTCTGTCGGTAAACTCGCGGCTCGACGAGTGTCTACAGGTTTCTCGAGTCATACGTGCTGCAAGGCTGTAGATCCACGAACAGCTGCCAGGCGGATCAGCTGTGGCTGCTAGCGGCATGGCAAATCGGTCCCTTGTTGCCCGAGACTTGCCGAGTGGGAGAAGTGAGGCCCCGGGCAATGGGGGGTCGTAGACTGGACGGAAAATGTTTTCAAGAGTACAGAACTTACTTGTTCCGCTCTGAAACAAGACATCCTATTGGAAGACAAAGGCAAGTGGCAATGCGGCCACGGTAAGTGTGGCGTTCTGGAATGATGGATCGATGCAGTAAGTACCTGTTCGACATACTTGTCAGCACCCCGTCCGAGCATTGTCGTGGAGAGACGAGAGAAAAACAACATCATGTCAGTGTAGCGTTGGCAAGCGGAGAAGCTTTTGCAGAATGTACCCCGTGCTGACTCGGATAGAACCTCGAAGCATCCACGGCGTAGGCAGAACGCAGAACGCAGAACCGGCAAAGATTGAGCGACCGTGGATAGGAGTGGGCACATGCATGAATGAAATGGATATCCTGGAAGGTGAGGTGTTGGTGATGACGCAGAATTCGATGTCACCTTAATAGTCTTGGATCGTGGCGGATAATAGTTCTGCCGACTGTCGGTTGCTCCTGACAACGCTAGCGTGTTTGAGCCAAGGGCGGGCAATCATCAACACATCCACACACAAAGAAATATCCGCAGAACAACACAATTGACGAGACCACACCATTACATAATCACGCAAACACGAACACAATGGAGTCGCCTCCGGCTCAGTCGACGCAGACTGGAGAGAGCGCCCTCGATTTCAACGTCGACGGACCGACCAGTTCGCCCTTCGTTTCCCACGTCGAGACCAGCCGCGTGGTCAGTCAGCAGCACGAGTCGCGCATGGAGAAGACGACAGAAGAGCACACGATGGACATATTCGCGACGCCCGTGAAGTCGAGACACGCTTCATTCGAGAAGGTAGAGGAGGACAAGGAAAACATTCCGGATACGAACGACTCAAGCAGAAAGCTACCCTTCTCGCCGAAGAGGCTGGCAACACCAGAGCAACATCCACTTGCTCGGAGCTCGTCGCCTGCAATTGAAGCGAGGAGAAATAGCAAGGACTCGGATCTGATGCCTCCGCCGCCTTCGACGTGCAAGCCTCAGACACCCAGCAGACGGTCGCCGCACAAATCTTCGCACAGCGTCTCAAATACCCCACGCGCAACGATCTCTCGGAGTAACACGCTGCAACGCGTGCAGGCTTCATTCTCGCAGTCTTCGACCTCTTTCAAAGCTGGCTTGGACTTCCGCGCATCACAACTACGACCTGAAGACACGACTACGACATCTGGCATGGATGACACATGCTTTAGCGCGTTCTCAGAAGTCCCCGAGCTCACGACATGGGCAAGAATGGAACAGAGCCCAACGAAACGCGGAGAAACGTTGCGCACACCAGGCAAGGCTACTGAAGCTACACCTCGCAAGACGCGTAAGCGCACGTCGCCCTCAAGATCTCCCTCGCCGACTCCACGTAGACAGAAGACGCCTGCGAATCACGACGGCACTACGTTCCTCATTGACTTCACTCAACAAATGGAAGGCCTCGCCGGCCAAGGCATGCGCACCCCTAACAAGCACCACACTCAGCCGGATCTGCTCAAGTATATGAACGATCAGCGCTCACCGCACAGGCCCACACGCCAAAGCTACGCAACGCCAGCCAAGCAGAACAATATTTTGAACTTGCTGGACTTCGAGCTTCCACCAGCTCCGACCCCAAGATCTGTACCTACCATCACGGTGCGCGAGCTAGAATCGCTAAAGTCCTCTTACCTTTCCCAGATCTCATCTCTTAAGGCTACTTTGAGCGGCCGGGAGGCAGAGGTGGAAAGCCTCAAGCGCGCCGTAAACGATGCAGAGCGCCGTGTAGGCGAAGCTCAAGAGACGCTTCGCGAGGAAAAGAACCGGCGTGAGTACGCCGAGCAAGAAAAAGCTGGCTGGGAGAAGCGCGGGCATGAAGTCGAACATGTTCTCAAGAGCGTGAAGGAAGAAGTGCTCAAAGGCGAAGCTGAGAAAGAAGATCTCATGCGCAAGATGGACGAATCTGAGAAGCGCGCTGAAGATGCGGAAGCCCGTGCCATTAGGGCCGAAGAGCGGTTTGCTGATGCCTTGGCTGCTCGTGCTGAGGGCTGCAATGGTGGCGATGGATCGGCTTCCGAGGAACAAGTACAGCGTCTTGTTGCCGCGCAGATCGATGCGAAGATTGAGGCTGTGAGTCGCGAGCTGCATACCGTATACAAGGAGAAGCACGAGCGTAAGGTCGCGACGCTCAAGAAGAGCTATGAAGCCCGCTCCGAGAGGAAATGCGCAGATTTGCAGCAAAGGCTCGCGGAGCTCGAGAAGCAGAATGAGGAGCTCATCTCGGCCAAGGACGCGACGTTTTCTGGTTCGGTACCCGATACCACCTCTATCGAGATCGAAGCCGATCTCAAAGCTCAGATCGAAGAGCAGAAGGCTCATCTCGCTAGATTGGAGAACGAAATGCAGACTTCACAACAGCAGCAGGAACAGTTGATGCGAGAGCTGCAGCAGGAGCGGATTGAAAAAGGTGATCTGGTCGCTGCTGTGGATGAGATGCTTGCTTTGCAGACTGAGCAGGGACCTTCGCAGGGTGCCATGAGTGTTGTGGAGGACTTCAGGAGAAGCATTAGCAGGCCTCCGTCTGGTCTTCGCGCTCCTGGCAGTGGATTGCCAGCTCCGAGTGAGAGCCGGATCGGTAGAGGTGGACCGAATGGTCTCAGCCGCAACCGCAGCAATGGGGGAGCTGGTGGAAAGGGATCGTTGTTGGCGAACATTGAGCGCATGGGACGTGCTGGCGGTTCGGCCCAAGAGTAGGGGGATCAGGCAGCTTGAACGGGAAATCGAGAAGGCGTGGGAGGCAATCTGGACGATTGAAATTGTACAACCTACTGTACAGCGATGGCGGCTTCTTGGCGTTCCTGTCGGGGCTGGATTGACGTGGGACGACGACCAAGGTCACGGATGGATAGCATACCCTTACGATTATGCCAGCATGATAATCCATCAAACAAACTTGTATCTCAACACTGACCATGTCGCTTGGTAGCCCTTTCTCCAGTCTTAACAAAGGGACCCGATCTGCCCCGATCGGTCTTTACATGCTTGAAGTGCGACAGGATCAGGGCAACTGATGAGGCCGAAGTAGATTTGCTGCCCGGGAATCGGGACTGGGCCGTCGTCAGACACGAGGTCTTTGTGTTCCTGTAGATCCGATGGCAATCCCCAGGAACCAGTCGTCTGGGACGGAAAATGTGATAGAAAATGCGCCATGGCAACGGTGAGCCGAGACTTCGGACTCGGGCCTCCTTTCTTTCGACTTCACCTGGTCTCTCCCTCTCACAGATGCATCATCACAACATGTTCAATAGTGCTTTTTCATCACATCGACGTGGCCTCTTCCAACGATGGAATGCGCGAGCAGCAGGACTGCGGTGTTCGGTTCTCCTTTCGCATGTGCAGCCGCACCTTGAACGAGTTGCACATCCGCAGGCCCCCACGCCTATCCAATGGACCAGAACATGCGTATGACGATTGCCCAGCCTGCACGAAGACGAAGTGAGATGCGATGCTCCCATCTCAGGAGTGAAGGTTTCCCTGCCGGCAAGAATGCAAGACACAGGCAGAGGCAGGCCGACAGCGTAGCATGTTGGAGCCGTCGACGTCACGCAGCGTCTCCCTCCCCGGGGCCAGGTACGCCGCTCTAGGGGCTTTGAGTTGGATGACATGTGCTGTGGGTGGTGGCACCGTACATGTACATGTAGCTAGCCTAGCATATTGGAGGCGGATCAGTTCGCAGCGGGACGGCGGGTGCCGCGGTCCGTAGGCGAGGCGGTAGGCGGAGACGGCATGGTTAGGTAAGCTCACGCAGGTCTATGATTGGCCACGAAGGAATTGCCCTGCAGCGGGAGCGGCGGAAAGCACCAACTCCATCTCTTCCCACCTCTCGTCCTGCACTAGCACTTCAGCTCGGTACCGACGTCCATTAGTCTCCTACGCCGCGACAAACACCGCAGGGACGCCCTATCGACTTCGTTCCTGACCGTCACCGTCGTCTGACAGAAGGGCGGTGAGCAATGGGAGCGCGACGAACAGTGGCAGACTATGGCCGAGGATTGTGAGCAGCGTCCAAGCGTCAGCGCGAATATGGAAACCGTACCGCGAAAGCGAGACAACCACACGCCGAGTTGCGCGGTTTGCCAGCGCCGAAAGGTCAAATGCGATCGTGTCTTTCCATGTGCTGCCTGTACCAAATCAGGGCTCGAATGCCACTTTCCGCCACCGGGCCGTCACGGGAAGAGGGCCAGGAGGAACACCATCTACCAACCCGCAAACCAGGAACCTGCTCACGGACGCCAATATCACGGACCTCATGCATCGGATCCCCTCACTACCGATCGACCCCTTTCGATCGGTCACTCAAGCGGCATCAGAACCAGCAGTGAGTTACCTTCACCAGAGTCCACGCACAGTGCCGGCACCACTACCGCGCGGCTAGTCTCCGATGGTGGTGGCTACCGCTATGTCAACAACCATCTCTGGAGCGCTATCTCGACTGATACCAACGTCGGCAACTCTGGCAGCCCTGCGACCAGTCCTGAGAACCGAAGACCTGGTTCAGCTACTGGATCCCGCTCCGGGAGAGCGGGCAACGAAGATGCAGAACGTCCAGACGGCAATAGCAACAGACGAAGTTTTGTCTTTGGCGATGGCCACTCACGCGCTCAGTCTGGCGCGGAGGACATTCAGTTCCCGGCCACGCACATCATCTTCCTATGGCAAACCTATCTGGCCAATGTCGACCCGGTGATGAAGATCACCCATGCTCCTACAGTCCAACACATCCTACTTGGGCAGATAGGCAAGCCCAGCATCCCCGCAAACGACCGTGCTCTGGTCTACGCCATCTACTTCATCTCTGTCGTCTCGTTGACCGACGACAAATGCCGGGAAAATCTTTCAGAATCGCGCGACGACCTGATACGCAAGTACAGGGATGTCACCGAAGTTGCACTATCTGCTGCCGGATTCATAACCAGTACCGACATAATGGTTCTCAGCGCCCTCATACTGTATCTCGCCGCCTTACGGAGTCTGGGCGAGGTCCAGACTGTATGGTCATTATTCGGACTTGCCATTCGCATTGCTGGAACCATCGGTCTGCCACATGATGGCAGTTCTTTCGGTCTGTCTCCCTTTGAGATAGAAATGCGTCGACGATTATGGTGGGGCATTGTCTATTTCGATGGCCGTATGGCCGAGCTGGTTGGCCAGGATGGCGACTTGATGGGCAACGACTACGAGGCCCAGTCGCCCGCAAATCTAAACGATAGTGACTTGTTCCCGACGATGGCGCGACTGCCAGATTCCCGGCGAGGACCAACAGAAGCGATCTACCTCCAGGCAAGGATCTTGAGCGTGACGGTTGCGCGGAGCTTGCAAAGTATAACAGGGCCACAAGGCACTTGGCATCGGCTGCAGGAAGCCACGATGTCGACATCTGAGAAGCTTGAGATCATGCAGCGTATCGAGCAGCGATACAATGAAGAGATACTTGAGCCTTGTGATCCTACTGTGCCTTTGCAGTGGTTAAGCATACATACGGCTAGAACCTTCTCCACTAAATTGCGGCTGATTGCCCGCATCCCCATCGTCGATCTTGAAGGGGAGTGGGAGAGTGCAGATGGATTCTCCGAGAATGCGTTCCTGCTGAGCATGGACCTCTTGCAGCTCCAGGTCGATCTGTGGTGTGAGCCGATGGTCCAGCAATGGCGCTGGCATTGGCAAGCCCATTTCCAGTGGTATGCATTAGTCTGTCTGTTGCGCCAGACTCGCCTGCGTCAAGCGGGATCCGGCATATCCAGAGCGTGGACCTTGATACAGAAGGTGTTTCAAATCATCATTCCGACCTTGGAGCTGGGACCTAGAAAAAGTCTCTTGCTGGATGGCATCCATAGTCTTCTCTCTGCAGCCAAACGGCATCAGGACCATCCAGCCATGTCGGATGACGACGCGAGACCGATGCTTGAGCAGCAGCAGCTCCAGCAGACTACCTTGCCCATGGCGCCAAAGTTTAACCCAATGAATGGGTTCAGCACCGGATACGGATCACGACCTCATTCTGCCCTCCTTCCAGAAATGGGAAACAGTCAGGTGCCAACACCGCCCTCCTTCGGACGAAGTGGTGGGGAAGAGCACGGCGATCCTGTGCTTGGCTTCGATCTCGACGCTATTGATTGGGTTGAGTTCGATCGACTTGCTTCTGAACTCTGCCAACAATGAAATATGATGCAGGTAACATCACGTGATATCAAGTTTGGCATGCGAGATCAGTATGGTCGGTTCGCAGTCGGAACCGTGGTCGGCAAAACTGGAGAAATACGACTCGGTCCCGAAGTCTTGGCTTGGAGCAACGCTTCGATGCCAGAAGAGGAGGTGCCGAAGAGGCCCCCGGTCCTCTGAACGCGTACGCTGAGCAAACGCGCCTACCTGTCACGAAGCTTCTCTATTTTGGAGTCGCTGTAAGTCTTGAATTCATCGCTCGCTGTCGGTGTCTCATATCCGACATTTCCGCCCTACGATCATGCTTGCTACACACGGCAGCTTCTTCCAAGGTCACTACAGACGACAACGAACATGCTGGCGGATGTTTGAGAAATCGCAAGATAAATCTACGACGGACGCGGCATCTCGAGAAATGCGAGGCTGTTAATCTCATGACATTGAGCGGCTCATCGACCTCATCTTCAAAACAAAATAAAACCCACGCAGATCTCATATCGAGATTGTCATTCAACACCTCACAATGAGCGGATTTTCAGAGAAGACGACCAACGTGAAGCTTAATAACGGAGGCAACGGTGCATCGGAAAGCACCGAAATTCAAGTGGAATGTGCGCCTCCCACTGGAAACAGCGTGTTGAGAATCGGAGCAGGTATTGGGGGGCTTACTGCTACTATCGAATGCCATCGGCATGGCCATTCCGTCCGGGTCCTAGAGAGGACGCCGACATCTAGCGCTGGAGGTAATACCTCCGTAATCACCATAATTGGCGTTTTTTCCTTTTGAGATACCATGTACCGATGTGATGGTTGTTTTCCATTATTAAGGCGATATATTCACTATCTATCGGAATTAGTGACCTCGTCCCTGGTTCATTATCCAGGCAATACCCTGTACGAAGTATGAAATGTTTCCATTTGTCTTGTCGACTGAAAATCTTGCAGAAATGCAGGATGGATACGACGAAGTTGCCACGCATGATCTTTGGATGCGATACCGTAAGCATACCCGCGAAGCCTGTTGGTGGTATCCTTCCCTTTTTGCTGCTGGAGCTCCTGGTTCGAAAACGATGGTCGCATGATCATCCGGCCTTGACGTCCCGTCTCAGGCTGAGGTTCCATGCTATGCTGCTTCATCAGCTGGAGAAAGCTTCGGATCGTCTTGGAACTTGGTGTCAAAGTGGAAGAGTACTATGCGGATGCAGGAAGAGGCCATCGCAGGTGTCGTGAGCAGTGCTGGACGGCAACGGAAGGCTGATCTGGTTGTTGCCGCTGCTGATGGATTGGATTCGAAGGGCTTGAGCCTCGTGGGGCCTGGAAAGGAAGGCAAGATGAGGAAAGACGGGCAGGAGGGTCTTTTCGACGTGCGTTTCCATTGGAGTTTTTGGATTAGTAAGGGCTTGTGGAGGAGGTAGGTGAGTACAGAATCGATTGGATGAGTCCGCGTGCTGATGTCCTAGCAGACACTATGTGGCCCCAGACATGGTACATCGCCCATGCAGTAAGTCTGGCTTGGACCCAACCTTTATTGCGCCTGCATGGCCTACGGATTCCGAAGGCGACCACAGACAGACTGGAATCTTGGCATAACCGTATATCTTCCTCTGAAGTCATCGATATCGTACAGTGCCATGTCTCATGGCTTTTGCATGATCTCCTCTGAAAAAGCATCAGTATGCATAGGGTGCAAAGGTCGACAAAGTGCTTCTCGGCCAACAGAATCCGGTCTTATGTCTTCCTGTCGCCGGTGCTGAGATGTAGTGCTTATACATCGACGTCGATTTTGCATCGACTCTGGGAGGGTGGCTCCGTGATATCGTGGTGATCTTGTTCTGATCGTCTGTCTACAAACGCGCGTCTGTGTGCGAGAGCTCATCCTTACTTTCGAACACTACTGGTGCAAATGAAAACGACATACAATCTGAGTCGACCAGCGATCTCAGTACGGCTCTTTTGTCGACTTCCGCGCAACTTCAAATGCTGGTCTCGTCCACTTTGCATGAGTCGACGGGGGATCTCATGGTCGACATATAGGCGCTTGGTCCATATTTTCGTGAGATGATCGTGGACTCGCCGATCGTCGGCGGGTGTAATTCCACGATCATCCAGATGACGAACGATGCGCGAGGTATCGGGTTGGGTTTGCTGTCGCGAAAGGTCAATGTTGTATTGCGGTATTGCCGTACTGCGATCTCGAAATTAGATCACGCTTCTAGTGAAGTACTAGCGACTCGTATTTCGATCTTACTAGGCGCCCCGGTGTAATCACAACACTTCGTCGGTCGGTGTTGGAGGCCTGAATAGAGAACTCGAAGCATCTCTAGGACTTAAAGTATTCAAGAGGGTTTAGGTATCCGGTGCTTCTGTGGCATGAGATTTTAAACACACTACAGAGCCTCGATCGGGAGCATCATCTCTATTGCACTCAATGGGCCTCTGTAGAAATCGTCACCGATCTGCTGCTTTTTGACTGGCGGTGCCCCTGTGTTAGCTAGTATGCTTGGAAAGAGCATAGCCCTCCAGTGCGAAAATGTACTGCGCGCGGTAGGCCGCAAAAGAAGGCGACATAGCGAAGGATCCTAGTTTATCGTGCGAATGGTTGATCTTTCGGGCCTCGCCTCCGTTCCACGTGCATGCAGTCAATCCATGGCGGCGGTACTAGCGAGTTTGCATTATGGCCTTCGTTTCGGCTTCGTTCCTAGCAGCTCGATTGTGTTGGTGCGTTGGTTGTTTCCTGAGGTAGCCATTTCGGGGAACATTTCCCATTCACACCCCAATTTTCAAGACCCTATTAATCTTCCACGTGATGCCAAATTCTTGGTGTGTTGACATGTGCAATTAGCAACCCGTTAGCGCACGGCTCAGCCCGCGGCCCCGATCCACCCCGCGCAGCAAGTGAATCTCCAACTTCTTCCGCTTCGCCGGCCTGTGCTATCAGCTTTCATCGACATCGCGGCTCATCTTTGAATATCTCACAAGGTATTTGCCGCCTGTTGTTTCCGCAACCCTGCTGGCATCTAGCGGACATCCGCTTCCACCCATGCAGAGCGACAACGAGCCATCGAACGACGACGATATGCCTCCATCTCGCAACCTTCTCTTGTGTTTCGACGCCTTCGGCACACTCTTCAAACCGCGACAGCCAATTGGACAGCAATATGCGGATGTCGCACGCTCGTTCGGACTGGGCGGATTCAGCAACGACGACGTGGCAAAATCTTTCAAAGAGGGTAAACTCGTTTGCCATTGCCAAGGAAAAGCAATGAGCTGATAAGGGCAATTGCAGCATTCCAAAAGGAATCGAAGGCCAATCCGAATTTTGGCAAGGCGAATGGTCTGAATCCGGAGAAATGGTGGACGAATGTGAGTGGTACTGAAAATTGGACTTCCGGCAGGGTAAAGGGAAATCGCACGTACTGATGGACGACACAGATCATAACGAATACCTTTCAACCCTTGATCCCACCAAAGCAAGATATTCCAAAGGACTTCGTGCCTAAGCTCATTCATCGCTTCTGGTGCGATGAAGGCTACACTCTCTTCCCAGACGTTCTTCCTCTCGTAAAGAGAATACGCGAAGCCCATAGATCTACGGATGATCAAGTCGTAATCGGAGTCATCACTAATTCTGACGACCGCGTGCCAGACATACTGAAATCCTTTGGCATGCGGGTGGGTTCACTGAGGTACGGCAGCAATGCACATTCCGAGAGTTCAAGCGGCGACGAACATGACATCGACTTTGCGGTCATGTCGTATGATGTAGGCGCCGAGAAACCTGATAAGCGTATCTTCACTGCTGCGGAAGAGGTATTACAGGTGCTTCTTGACAGCGAGGCGACTAAGACGGAGCATGATCTGAGCCAATGGCGGAAAGTATACATCGGCGACGAGTACGACAAGGATGTCGTGGGTGCGCTCGAAGCTGGCTGGAACGCGGTGCTGATCGACAGAGAGACGACGCGAGGACGCAAAGAGGTCTCGTGGCTGGATCCGAAGCCTCCCGGAGACCTGTACAATACTTTCAAGTCCTGCAAGGCCGTTGGATTCGGAAGTTTGGCGAAGTTGGCGGAGTGGCTGCCTTCGAAGACTTCGTGAAGGGCCACGACGCTGCATCCCAATCACGGCGCACCTTCGTTGAAGGCAACCACCTGGCTGCGAAGACGCTACACGCCACCTCAATCATAGGACCGCAGCGCGAGGATATCAGCCAGCTTGAGCTGATTCTTGCCACCCCAGCCGGCAACACCGTCCTCGACTGCGGGTCGAACTTTTACGTACCACGTCCACGTGCGTTTATCCAACTCTGCCAGAGACAAGGTCTTCGCCCAAGACTCATACAACAGCTCGAGCGCACGAAGAAGCTTTGCCAAATTCCACTCTTTCTCCGCAGCCTTCATTGTGGCTGTTGGCTTCTTCTTTGAAGCTGGGTCATCCGTTGGAGCGGTATCAAAGGATTTCAAGAGATAGGCGCGTGCAGACTGGGGCGTGTAAATGGGCAAACCGCTGTGGGTGGCTGTCCTCGTCGCCGCGGGCTGCTTCTCCACACCAGACTTCCTCATAGCTTCCAAATCCAAAGCCCACAAGGCTGGACTCTCTTCTTCTGGCGAGGCTTTTATTGTTTCGTCGTTTGGATCTTTCCATTCATAGCCCCATCGTTTGAGTACTTTGATGTCTTTTCCTGCCACCGTTACAGTAGATTGACCTTCACCGAAGCCTTCGTCTTCTGCATTTTTGCCACTTTCAATGCCTAGATAGATGGCTCGAGATCTACTTGTGATGCTCACGTACCCTTGAGCCAAGCTCAGCCTGCTGGAAAGCGGCTGCTCAGGCATAGTGTGCTTGAGGAGAATAACCAGAAAGGCCAGGACTAAAGGCGCTCGATTCGTGAACAGAGCCGTCTCCGCCAACTCGTCTTCGTCTGCCATACTCTCTGGTAGCTTCAAGGACTCCTCAAGATCTGCAGCCGCCGAGGGCTCGTCTGAAAAGAGGCTCCCGCTGCCTTTAGATTTCTTCTTCTTAGGTGATGGGCCCACTGATTCGTCGCCCGCTGCGCGCTTTTTGCTTACGCGTTTCGCCGCTGAGATGATTTGCTTGCAAATCTTCTCGTCTTCGAACATTGGCTTGATGTCTCCGGGCTTCGCTTTTGATAGTGCTTCCGCAGAGTCCAGGTTGGCGGATTGGAGCTCCTTTACTTTGCCCATTGCTGTTGCCAGAGGAAGTTTGGCATCTTGGGAGAGGAAGCGCAGAAGTGTCTGGAGATTTGCGGCACTCATGACTTCTTGTATTTCCTGTACGCCGATACTTCGTCGTTCATGGTGACGGAACGATCGGGAAGTCCCAGTGGGTGATCGAGTTCACACTACACGGGACCGCGCGTCAATGACGCGTGCTCAAGCTAGTCACGACTCTACGTGTACCTCGAGTCCCATCTTCTCACACTCTCCATCTACAAGCACGGGCATCACATGCTGTGACTTGCACGGAACCAGCAACAATGCCGGAATCACGCTCTACGGAACCGCTAGTGTGGATCGACTGCGAGATGACGGGCCTCAACGCCGAAAGCGACACCATCATGTCGCTCGCGTGCTTCATCACCGACGCAAACCTCAACCTTCTCGAGCCCAATGGCTACGAAGCCATTATTCAACATAATGAGGCCCAGATGAATGCAATGGGAGAGTGGTGTCGTAATCATCACGGCGCTTCGGGTCTCACGAAGGCCTGTTTGGCGTCGACCATTACAGCCGAACAGGCCTCGGAAGAATTGCTGGACTACGTGAAGAAGTACGCACCAGAGCGGAGAAGAGCATTGCTAGCTGGTAATACTGTACATGCGGATAAGATGTTCTTGCTCAAGGAGCCCTGGAAGCAGGTCATGAGTCATTTGCATCATAGGATACTGGATGTGAGCGCAATTAAAGAGGCTGCAAGGCGATGGGCTGGGCAAGATGTGTTGAAGAAGAGTCCGCAGAAAGCGGGCAAGCATGAGGCCAGAGCAGATATCTTGGAGAGCATTGAGGAGGCGAGATACTATCGACAAGTGTTCTTTCTACCGACTGAGAATCAAGTCGGTAGGTGAAGAACTGGATATTGCACGTGCAGGATAGACATTGAGCGTGCCAAGTATAGCACAGTCTTACTTCTATCACTGCTTCTGCGCACAAAATGGGAGAAGAGCCAATCTTGATCGATTGCTGGTCCGAGTCACAACCGCAGCGACATCGCGACGCTGACATGCTTGCCATCTCCTCGAGCACTCCGCCAGATTATTGGTGAGCGATCGATGAGCAAGATAGATTACTTGCTGTCCCAGAAATCCACCAGAGCTCGGATCCTTGCTACAGATCACGGTTTCGAAAACGTGCTTGTCCTTCAAAGGAGGCTGCTGCTTGCAGTGCTCATTCCAACAAGTGGTCGTACCGGTGCATTCTTCTGGTCTGCAGTCTCGCCGTTGGACTGGTGTTGAGGACAGTCATGATCTCGAGATCTGGCACGATTGACTCTCCAGGTACTAGTCTCCAATCGTACTTCAATATCAGCTGGCATAACGCGATTTTAAGCTCCATCGCAGCAAAATATCTCCTGCCGACTTGTCAGCCGCGCAATTTCTATGGTTCAGGCTTAATATACCCAGGACATTCGTGACGTCCGAGGCCAAACCCAAGATATCCTTGGCAGGTCGAGATGAATTGCCAATTGCTCTCCTGGCCCGAGTCCTCACGCTTGCGTAAGAAGCGATAAGCGTCAAACTTCTCAGGCTCCAGGAAAAGCTCGGCATCAAAATGTCTTGCTTCTATCATGATGCGGCATCCCTTTGGAATCTCGGTCTCGTCTGAAAGCTGGATATCTTCTTCGGCGTATCTCTGCAGGCCCCCTTGCGATCTGTCAGTGTTGCTAAGTACTTGACTGGGGAGCAACCGTCAACCCACATCTTTCGCGATGGAGTCTTTGCGACTCCTTCAGGAAGCTGTCCATCAGCCTTAGCCGGTGCAGCGCCGCTTTGGTCCAGCCGCGCTCTTGTAAGACGAGACTTGCTTCTTCGCGAAGAGGCTCAATGATGTCTGGGTTTTGACATAGATGCAGGAGTGCATGTGCAAGTGCTTCAGAAGCTGTGAACACGGCACCAACGATCAACGCGAGCTGGGAAGCTACTACGTCGAACGGCTCTCCTTTCGACAGCTCTACCATCCACGCGATAGCATTGGTAGTTCTCGGACGCTGTGCCCCAGAGGACTGTGCTCTTTCGGCTTCCAGCTTCCTATACTTCGTCAACTGAAGGCCGCTCCGAAAATTTGCCGTGTTACCCACCTGCTCTCAGACTTGCTCGCGATCAACCTCCTTGCGGCTCGGACCTGCTTTCTTATCCTTCTGCAATGCGGTAGGAACCATACTAAAACCGGCCTCAGCACGGAAGGTAGCGCCCTCAGCTCATGCGCAGCAGCGAAGACATTCTCGGTATAGCTCTTCGCAAGCTCTATCCACCTTTCATCCCGACAGATCTCGGGTCGCAGAAAGACTCTCGACGACAGCCTGGCAATGAACTCGGCCGTATCATTTCTCAGCCGCACAGGTCTCCACACTTCGCTCTCGCCGAATTCAAGGTGACAGGCGTAGGAAGCTTCATCCACCAAGTCTCCTGCTATCAACCCCAACGACTGCGTCAATCTCACTCGCACGACATCTTGGATCAGCCGGGCGTGGTTCTCCTCGAACGTCGCTCTCGGCCCTTCGAAGCCGGGATACTGAGGGAAGAATTCTACCTTTATTGACTTGGTGAAGCTGAGATGAGGATGTTGGGAGACTTCTGTGGCGAACCTGTTGGGCAGGACGATGCGGGGCCCGGTGCTAGAGAAGACCTGGAACGGTTGGTTGGGAAATTCGGCAAAGCCCTTCTGGAGGAGGGCTATTCCGTGTCTCTCAAAGGCTTGTCTGGGCTTGAGGCCTGGGAGGGTGGGTATCGGGTAGTGTGGAATCGGTCGGTGGTCTTGCGAGGAGAGGAGGATGCGCCAGATGAGATATGGGAGGAGGGTGAGAAATACTAATTGAATGGAAAGAGGTACAGGCTCATGAGAGATGGCTACTAGAATCGTGTGCCATGGCATCTTGAAGGAAGGCCTCGACAATGATACAGCTAGGGTGGCTGCTCACTGCACTGCCAACGGGCAGCGCATATCCTAAATACGTCCCCTCTCATTTCCTGAACGCCGATTGTTGGATCCTTCGCCCACATCTTATGGCCGTCAATCTCAACTCTAAGTACAGCAATACGAGTGAGAAGATCCTTTCGTTAATTCTTGCAACCACCACGTGAAGTGAATGGCCAAGCAGGAAAACACTCTTAGAATTGCCTGAGACAGACTGATGGAGCCTGGGTGACCATGCACGTCACGCTTCGAGAAGCGATGAACGAAAGAAATCCAAAAAACCTTCAATGCATTCTCCTATTCGATCGATACGAAGCCGGAGGTTTAAAAGTGCCGTTCCGTCATGCAGTCGCGGACCAGGATGAACCAGGCCAAAAGATGAGAGGATGACAGAAAGTTGAGTGATTCTTGCCAAGGCTTTCATCGCACTTCCACATTAGGCCTCTTAAGTCGTGAATTAGATTTATTGGCAACATGAACGTTGGTCATGTCTATATAGATACCGTGCAGTGTCGTCAAAAAAATAAAAGCGTACGACTGCTCCTCAAGAATCGTAATCATGAATCTTTCCGGCGCCGGTGCTCTGAATGCCGTAAACTTCCCCGAAATGGAGAGCTTAGAACCGTTGCGCAAAGGCGCCGTTGGCGCAAGCTGGTGTTTCGGTAAAGGTGTCCCAAACCCTATACAGGGGTCAGCATATTCATCGAGCTTAGGCTAGAGTGGGACTTACGTGGATGGTAGAGTGGCGGTGGAAGTAGAGGCAGTCTGAACATCGCGTCCAACAAGACCGACCTCAGTCGTGGTGGAATACAAAGTAGTGGTCAGGACCGCAGTCGAAACGTACGAGGTGATCTCTTGGATTACAGTGGTGGTGAAGTTATCTGGGTGACGCTTAGCGATGTTGCGTGCGTTCTGGAGAAGAGCAGCCCGCTCCTCGACGAAAGCGGCCTTGAGCTGATCAGTCACCTCGCGGCCCTCGGCAACGGCCCTCTTGAACTTGGCAGACATAGGCATAGGTGTGGCTCGGGCCTGAACGCCTCCATTCCGAGCCTTGCGGATGACACTGGCGGCAACGTCGTCAAGGTCACCAAGGATCGAAGGGAATATTCTTGCAATTGGGTCAGGTATGTAGGTTTGCGATGACAGTCGGGTGATTGTTGCGAAGGCGCTAAGGCCGCTCTCCTCAAATTCCGAGGCCATGCCAGTCGTGATCGTGGTCCCAGTGGCGTAAGACCCAGACGTGACAGTCGAGGTGATCTCTGCGTTGTTGTCAATATACGAAGTAGTCGGGACGTAGGACGTGACCGAGACGTAAGAGGTGGCGGTCGCGTAGACAGTGTTCGTGGTTTCCGGATTGGCGGTGACTGTTGCGTTGGGTGCTCCAACATCCAATTCAAAGTCACGCTGGAAAGCGATGGCAGATTCGTTGTTGTTGTTGGAGATCACTAAGATCGACCACGCCCCACTGTATAGGTTCTTGTTCGACCAATCCGAGCATGTGATGAGTTGTGAAGCATTGTTTGGTAGCATGGATGTTTGCGTGCATTCGCTCTGGTCTCCCTTCGGGTCAACGAGGATGTTGTGTGATGTGTCGTTGCTGCATCCGTTGAACATCTGCAAGGCCGTGAACGTCTCGTTCGTGTTGCTGTTCTGGAAGTAGGTACCGCCATCCTCGTAGTCGACTCCGTAGCTCTGACAGTCTGCGACCGCGCTCCCAGCAAGCGAGAGGACCAGCGCAGCACACGCGGAGTAGAAGGCCATGTTGTTCAGTGAGTGAATGGCGAGAACGAGTGACGCCTTGGTGGGTGTGGCCGTAATACAGTTTGCGTGGACTAAAGAGTTGCTGGAACACGAGCAGAGCTGCGAGAGGGCAACTCTCCAGGTATATTCATGGCATGGTGTCCACGCCATGGCCACCTCATCGATGGCATAGCTAATCGTAGCAGCGTGAGGAAGGTCTAACGTTGCTCCTGGATCTCCAACGTTCCATGCAGATCACGCTTTCATGTGGCGATCGGGGGTTTTGCAGGCTGTGAGGGGACAGAGAGATGCACAAATTCCCCAGCGCGTGCTTTGTATTCTTCGTATTGTGCTCGACTGTGCTGAATGCTCTTGACGATAGTGCCGTAACATTCGTCACCAGTGATCCCATTCATTCGTTTCTGGAGGCTGCCATCCGGTATTTCATCACCCTTCAAAAGCACATGATATGCGGCATTGGTACTTTGTGGCAATGCGACGAAGCAGGCCATGGCGATGATCGAAGTCGTCCATCTTGAGGCCATCTTGCTGGTGAGAAGCTGAACAGCCATTGGATGGCTTTTGTCGTTGCGACAAGGTGTAAATATCGGGCCTTTCCGAAGTCTTACCGTTCTTGGCATTAGCTGTGCTATTTTCTCTCAAGTGAATGGCGATCCACAATCGTCGGCCAAAGCCAACGGCATCTTCACCTAAGAAATCTCCCGGCCTCTGCAGTGTCCGGAAGCAGACAACGATCTTGAATGAAGCTTCCAACGCGACCTCGGCTTCGTGTGATGGAGATGAAGATGGGCGAGGAGGTCTCTACACTTGAAATGCCGATCTCCTGCAACTCGGTCCTTTACTGATCATATCGGGGCCACGCTACTGTTCGAAAGTATCGCGTCGTCCAAATCTCATTCCGCGTGCTCACCTCGTCTCGATACCGAGAGTCATGGCAGTAGATTGCTCAGAGGCCTCACGACAACCCTCTCCTGAGTCGTTCAGATGCCACGCGTGCTAGAACGTCAGCCTATCGCTCTGCCAATGGATCATGCTCATCGGAGCCGGGGCGCTTCCACAAAGACCGCCGATGTCTAATGGAATGAAGTTTCTGCAAGAGATGGTCTGTTGATACCAGCTTGTCGGCTCTGACTCTTCAGGTCGCATTGTGGACAGCCAAGCCTGCCGTGGGACAACGTGGACTGTCGCACTGTTCTTTAGTAAGAGTTAGAGACGACAGGTAAGGCATCATGCCGGAGGGAGGAGCCTGATGTTGTATCTCGAATCAACATTGGGGCTGGTATTCGAGCGGACAAGCTATGGTTTTCACCTCAAGATACCAAACCCCCCAACTAGCCGCTTCGGGTTTAGCGCTTTTCAGCACCGCATCAGCCCTCTCCACTCTTGGTGCGACTGACGGAAGCAAGCGACTGAAGAACAGAACTCGACCATATTGGACACTCGCAAATATCTACTACATTAGTAGTAAAGCCAATTATTCAAGCCACAGCGTATGCTGACAGACAACATGCACTGCTGCACCGCCATCACGTTCGAGAAGCGGTCTATGGGCAGCTCTCCTTGCTGTGGCTTGCTTCCACGGCACCTTCAATGCTGAGCGCCCAGCACACTCCCACGAATGAAGTCCGACTGCTTGGTCATGCCACACCTGCATACGAACGCGAGAGAAGTAAATCAACAAGCCTCGCCGCTGTCTAAGCTCTTTGTACCGGAGCGAGCAGCGGTAACCTTGTCAGCCGAAGATGTGGCTGGCTGACTGTGTTGTACTACTCCACGAATGGGCCAAGGGGCTTTCGCACAGCTTGTGCCATTCCTCCCAACAAGACTCCAGCAACATCCTTCCGGACCAGGCATTTCGGACAAGAACCGTGAGCTATCAGGCGGGCGTCGTGCCAAGCACTGCAATATGGTTTCACGTTCCGCTGTGCTTAGATGCATCTATGCAGACCGTCTTGTCCGAGGGGGCTGCATGAAATGGACTGAAAGTACGGCCTGAGGGCTGGAACGTACTCGAGACCGTTCGAGCATGCGAGCAGTATAAAGGTCGCCTTGTGGAATCATCTTGTCATCGTTGCTTACCACAACCATACTCACCTTTGACTTACATTGACCTATACTGAGGTATCTCACAGAATGACTTCGCCTATCACCGATCTCACAAACGTCCAGGGAGACATTCTTCTCAATGGCCTATCGAAGGAAGTTGAGACCTTCTGGTTCTTCTCAATTCCCGACGGTCAGGTCGGCACTTTCTGCTCCAATCTCCGTCAGGTGGCCCAGCAAGAGATCACATCGACTGAGAATATGCGCACTACCCGAAAGAACATCAAAGACTGGAAAGCAGATCCTGCCACCACGGGTCTAGTCCCAGTGGTCGGAGCCAACATTTCCTTCACCTTCAAAGGCCTGCAGAAGGTCAGTCACTAACCTTTCCTTGGCGGGCAAATTGGCTAACGACAGCAGATGTCCAGCCAATTGGGCGGTCTTCAATTGAACACAGGGGACAGTGTCTTCGAGCAGGGCATGAGAACGGACTCTACCCAGTCGCTGTCGGACCCCATCAAACCAGGCACGTCAGACCCGGACTGGGATGCGCAGTGGCTCAACAATCAACTTGACGGCGTTCTTAGTGTTGCTGGCAGTGACACCAACATCGTTCAGGACAAGATCAATCGCATCACGAACCTGTTCGGCGGCTCTGTGAAACTTGCTTTCAGTATTGATGGCAAGACTCGCCCGGGACAATTCCGTGGAAAAGAACATTTCGGATACCAAGACGGCGTCTCTCAACCTGTCGTTGGAAATCTCCCTGACCTGACAAAGGAAGAAGCCTTTGTGCCTCCTGGTCAGGACATCATTGATCAAGGAACCATTCTCTGCGGCCGCCCAGGTGATCTACGAGCACAGAACCGCCCGGCCTGGATGGTTGATGGCAGCTTCCTCGTCTTCCGCAAACTCAAGCAAAACGTTCAAGACTGGAACAAGTTCCTCGTCGACTCGTCCAACTTGCTCGGGACCTGGTCCGACCAGCTCGGCGCGCGTCTCATCGGACGCTGGAAGAGCGGATGTCCCGTCAATCTTCAAGCCGACTTCGACGACACGGCAATCGGCAAAGATCCGATGCGCAACAACCTCTTCGACTTCGACCCGCCCGGCCTGAACAACCAATTCGTCGATGTCAACAAGGCCGGCGCACGCATCATCTGCCCCATTGGCGCGCACATCAGGAAAACCAATCCACGCGGAGACCAGCCCAGCAGAGGCAGGGCAGACGTCATCCCCCATCGTATCCTCCGTCGCGGGATCCCGTACGGACCCGAGATTAGCGAGAATGCTCAAGCGGAACGCGGTCTCCTCTTCGCCTGCTATCAGAGCAGCATCGAGCAAGGTTTCCACTTCATCCAGACGGCGTGGGCGAATAGCCCCTTCTTCCGCTTCCAGGGAGCTGGCGTCGACGCCGTCATGGGACAGCAGAACAATCCCGGCACTATTGGCATGAAAGGCCTCTTCCCGCAGGATGCCAGCCGAGAACTGCAGCTTCCCGCTGTCAATCGCTTTGTCGTTCCTCGTGGTGGAGAATACTTCTTCACCCCGTCGATTGCGGCTCTGACTGGCCCGCTGTCGAGTGTGCGTTAATAGGGGGATGACTGCCCTTGGCTCTCAAAGACGGAAAAGCGAGCAAGCTCTGTAACGAGTTCGCGATATTGGGTTTGAAAAACAAGAAATTGAACGTTTACAAATGTAGTATATGCCCATCTGAGATTCAAAATCTGCTCGCTTCACGTACATTCTCTTTCAATCTATTGGTACTGCCGATACAATTTGAACCAAGAAGGATCCAGAAAAGTAAGCGACGGAGGCTTGATGATCCTAGCTGTTAGTGCTAACAATGTCTTTGTCTGCAACAAGCTGCTGTTGGTGTTTTTCCATTGTCCATTCATGTCCAATCGAGTTTGTCTGCAGTCGCACCACAAATTACAGCGCGCACAAACCAAGGCTCCCGCAAGATACCAAGTGCACGTCCCGCGTCGCTGTTGTGAAGATGAAGTACTACCGAGATCATTTCTCAGCTGAATTGATGTTTTGACTTGGATTCACGCTGGGAAAGTCTTCGTCTGCGCATGGACCATGCAGAGGCTTGGCGGCACTACTCCCAACATGGCTAAGTACTTGCTAGCGCCTTCACCCTTGTAGTGCTTGTGATTGAGTCTCTCACCTCGCTCTCCTCTACAGCATCACCTCGTCGCCGAACGACAACGAGCTTCTGGATGTGACCTCTTTTACTTTCGTTCGAGAATATGTAGTCGGCCATACTGTTCTACGCTCGCCCTCGTCGCGTCGACACGTGCCAGACGGTCATCGCGATGCAACATCGCAGATCTCGCCGCCAGATCGAGCAATCATATCCACGAAGCGGCTTGCATACATACTCGACTGACAGATGGAGCTCTCAGACTTGTCAAGATGTGTGCGACCTTCCGAGTTTTCGACAGAAATAAATGTAGAAATCCGGGAAGAAGCCACGGGGTACGCAAAGAGATGTCACGAGGATACCTCGTTTTGGAGAGGCTCAGCCCGTCGGCGTCAACATGCTGTATACCTGTATACAAGAAGGATACTTCAAAAAAGAGGATTCTGGCATACCGTTGCATTGAAAAGGACCCGTTGATCTCGTGCGCCGTCCAAGCTGCAATCGGATGACGGTCAATCGCTCTATCCGGCAAGCAACCGTGGCACGTCTTTGGATGTAAGAAACATTCAGTCCACTCCCTGTCGACTTAATGGGGCTTGAGGTCGTAGGATGAGACTTCAAGGAGATGCTGAGGTTACAGTGGGTCGCACTTACCTTTCTCGTGAATCTAGTAAGCAGACGTGAAGAATATTCCAACCATATAAATGACCAGGTCGCTTGTCATAGTTGCTCTCTTTCCCCTCTCCCTTACATCTGCGTTGATCTCGCACAGAAACTCCAAACTGAACGAGAACTTGACAGCGACCAACGACAACAAGATCTCTGCGAATTTGACATTCACCATCATGCCGAAAATGATGCACATCACATCAGCAGCCGTTCTACTACTGAGCTGCACATCTGCCTCACCCCTTCCAAATCCACCTGGCTTCACTCCAGGCATGCAAAGCCAGATGGACGCCATGATCGCAACCGAGGTAGCCGGTCTCACAGCCGAGCGAGAGAACTCCATGCCCACCACAAAGTCCAATTTCGCCCAAGCCGGCATCAAAGCCCCCGTCGAATCGGTCTTCGCGCCCGCCAACCCCTGGGACATCCTCGAGCAACCCCTCGCCCAGGCCGCCATGGACAAGATGAGATCCAACTACGTCAGCCTGGGAGGCCCCGATCTCACGGGAGAAGACATTCCCGTCGTGTACGCTGAGCCGATCAATGCTGCGAATAGAGCTACTGGTGTGCCGGTCGATCTGCTCGTTCACATCATTTGGAATGAGAGCAAGGGACATCCGTTGGTGCCGAACGGTGGCTTAATGCAGATCGATGATGACGTGCAATGGGGACTGATGAAGGACAAGAATCCGGCGTTGATGAGTCGGTATAACGTTGCGGATAACATCATGGCAGGCGCGATGGTCATGGCGGCCAAATGCATCACGATCCCGAGTACGGCTAGCGAAGGACAGTGGTGGGATACCTATAATGGTCCATACAAGGGAGGAGCTTGATTTCGAAGATTGTGCGGCCTTTCAATTCGAGAAAATTCCTTCATACTGCCTTTCATTTTCTTGGCATTTGGCATTGTCGGCTGAGCTTATTGGCCCGAGTGGCCGATGAGATCTTTTCGGCTGAGGACAAGAACAAGCTCTTGCTTGTTGATATTATACCCAGTTTCAGATTTGGAATATGTACTTGCTGAGAGCTTCCGGATTTATTTCCTGTGAGAAGCGTTTAGAACCCGCTAATTTCATAACCATGCGTTCGCTGTAAACGATTGCGAATTCTTTCGTAGGCTGTACACTCGAAATGGAGGGAGGCTATCAATACAATGTGAGCTCCAGGCTTCCTTGCACACACCGTAGCGCGAAGGTCTTGCAAGAGCGAGCGCCTCGAAGTGCGTCTTCAGCAGACCGCCCTGGGTGCAAAGAGAGCGGAGAGCCGTGTAGGGTAGAGAATATTCAATCCCCCAAACTCCGTCTTTTGCCCGACGCTGATGCAAATGCCGTCCTCTTAATCAACCACAAACGCCTCGCTATGCCGTCAAAATTTCAAGGGTATATACGTGGTCAGCTCGGCGGCGGCTGTTGTTGAGATTGCTGCTGTGACTGCTGTTGAGTCTGATGTCTCAGTTTCTGCGCCTGCAAGCACGAGAATTGTCAGCGAAATTCACGTACCCATGATTCCGTCTCGTTCAGTCCTTGAATAGCTTGGGTCTCCATCCATCTCTTATCTCCGCTTCCCGCTCCGCCGCTGCGTGCGCTTCACGTACCTCCAGCTCTAATCTCTCCCGTGCTCTTAGCACTTTGCTTTGTATGTAGAAGGAGCCACCTTTCTTCGGATCGTTCAGGTCGAAAAGACGTTTGAATTGCTCGTGGACGCGGCTGACATCGGCTTGGCCGGCTTTCGGAGGAGAAACGTTCAAGATCTTGCAGGCTTCGTCGAGCGTCAGGCCAGAAGAGGAGACTGTGTTCGCCGCTGTTGGATTATTTGCCATCGATTGGGCATATTTCTGGTTGCTGGCGTTAGCAGCGGATCGTCATCGAGGATGTCATGGTTGTATATACTTGTGACGCCGAAGCCTGTTTATATCTGCGAGGAGACCGTCAACTGCCATGCCAATATCGAAGTGGAACATTCGTCCGGTATACTCACGCTTCGGCAAAGGCCCTCCCAAATACTCGAGCGCCGGTCAGCTACCACCTCATCAGTTCTGAGCGCAGTCCATTTGGCGATCTCATACGTACGACGACCTGGCTGATGATACGATGCGCCATGATGCGCTCTCAAATGAGTGTGAAAGATGCTGCGAAAGTGGAAGATGAGATTCATGAGAGCTGGAAGAAAGTTGAAGGTCGGTCCGTAGAGCCGAGACCGAGCGGATCTTGCCGTGCCGAGAGACGGCTAATGTCCACATTTCCTCCACAACCATCTATACACTACCTTATACATATATCCCTCGAGAACTCCGCCAGTCTGAAATCATCGAGAAAATGCGGCATCGTATTCTTCCTTTGCATCTGGAGAACTCACATGGAGCTCCACGACGCATGACTTCATACCGTGACCTATCCAAACATCCCAATGCACGTGCCGGCCCTTGACTCCATTCGCTCTGCCGCAGCAGCGGGTATCGCGGCCGTGGCTATTTGGTCCCATCACCCGCGTCGACGAAACTACTAACTACCTAAGCTACGATCGGCATCACTCCTCACATCACATCAAAAGTCCCGCAACATCTTCCCAGACCCTCACAGACTCCACTCCTCCAGGCCCAAAGACACCTAGAACGCGAGAAAACCATGGCCTCACCTCCAACCTGGCAATCCGCCAACGGCGCCTCCGTCCCCCCAAAGCAACAGCTCTCCAACTCCTTCACCATCACCGCAACCCCCAAAACCGACATCTGGCGCCGCGCAGACGACGACGACGTCTTCAATGCCCCCATGATCTATCAAACCATCCAAGCATCAGATTTCAAAAAGTTGTCAGCAACCGTCTTCGCTCCCTGGAAAACGCAATATGATCAAGGCGGCCTCATCCTCGCATTCCCACCCCACGCAACCTCCGATTTGGCCTCTTCCAAAGGAACCAAATGGATCAAAGCTGGAATTGAGTATTTCTCTTCGAGGAGTGTAATGGGTGTGGTGGGAACGGACCGGTATTCGGATTGGAGTCTTAGTCCGATGAGTCAAGTATTCCATCAGAAGGCCCGGATTGTGATGGTCAGGGAGGAGACTACGTTGTGGGTTTATGCGGCGCAAGATGGGAGTGAGGAACTCACTCCTATGAGGGAGATCAAATGGGCTTTCATGGAAGGGAGAGGTGAAGGGGAAGTCTTGGTGGGTGTGTACGCTGCTAAGCCGACGGAGGAAACGGATGGGGAGGAAAGTGTGAGAGAGAAGGGCATTGAGGTAACGTTTTCAGATGTGGCCTTGGAGAGGGAGAGCGATGAGTAGTTTGGCGTGCTTTGATTCGGCATCAACAGCATTCCCCATCATGCGTTTCTGACCAGTACACGACACCACTGAGCGTCCTCATCGACAGTTGCTTTTGCCCTTATTATCCGCCGTCGTAGCCCTCCTCAACAACACTTTCAGCGCCCGAAACGCTGCCCCAGGAGGAAATTGCGGAAGCTGATGACCTGCGAAATCGAGCTGATGGAACGTCACGCCTCTTTTCTTGCCCCATTTCCCATCTATACCGCCTACCCCACAGCACACCAGGCAATTCAGGCACCACAAAGTCTTTTCTACAAGACTCCTGAAGTCCCTGCTCGCCATGCCAAGTAGCATTCAGCAAGGCCAAAAGCGTCCTGTTAGTCGGCAAAATCATATCCAAGTTCCCGGATCCAATCAGAACATCATCGGTATGTTCAACAACACGACGCATGACTTTGTTCTGCGTGGGTGTGACGGGCTGGACTTGCGCCGTTTTATTCTGTTTGACCCCTCTCTTTCGTGAGCTTAGACCAGACTGATACGATTGCACTGTCTGCAATAATTGAGAACGTATTTGACCTCGTCCGTAAGGCCAAGCCAGCTTATTGAATGTTGTTGACGAGAAGGAGGAAAGAGACAGCGAGTGGAGAGACGCGCCTGGCATCGGGCCGAAGACCCGCACCCTGCCGCTTGTGATAGCATGGATAGCTCCCAGTAGTGACGTTGGCTACTCCTACGGCAGGAGTTGCCCTACCCATCGATTGACGGGTACATTAGCTGCAGGGCGGCTCTCTTCCTACACGTATCCTGCCATTGAACCCACATCATACAGCACACGCATGATGCATTGGAGATAGGCGATGTAGGGCAATAACAAGGAACTAATCATCGCAAGGGCCATGTTCAAATGATCGCAGACTCGCACAACCTCCACGAACAGCACCACCATGCTCTCCTTCCTCCGCGCACCGCACCCACCCCGAACGAACAACGCCGATAGAGACACGGTATACTACGAGAATGGCACCTCCTCCGTGGCATACCACCGCAAAGACCGCCCGGGCGGCGACTACATGATGACGCATTCCTTCCCGCCGGCACACCCGCAAAACGGGCCCTCGATCATCCAACCCCCCTTCCACTGGCACATCTCCCAGACGGAGAAATTCTTCGTCTCCCAAGGCACGGCACACATGTACTACGGGCTCGGTTCGAAACCCTACGCCACGCTCTCCTCGCACCCGACACCCGGCTCGAAACGCTCCGTGACCCTGCCGCCGTTCCGCTACCATCGCTTCGCAAACGCGAGCAGCACGGAAGAGCTGCGGATGAACATCCAGCTCGATCCGGAAGACTATGAGAATGAGCAGAGATTCTTTCGCAATTTCTTTGGATATTTGGATGATTGCAAGAGGAGCAGGACGGCGCCGAGTATCTTTCAGCTGTTTGTCTTCTTGCATTCGGCGGATGTGCCCCTCGCTATTCCCTTGCCCAACGTTCCCGGGGCCGAATTCGTGGGGCTGTATCTCAGCTGGGCCCTGTTGATTGTGGTTGCGTATATTGGGAGGGTTGTGCTGGGATACCGGCAGACGTATCCGGAGTATTATAATAGTAGTAAGAGCAAGTAGACGAGAAGGAACATTGAAAACAGTTCCAAGGGATTTCTTGTCGAACGTAGGCCACTCAGCGGCGATCCAGAGCCATCTCTGGGCGCCGCCGAGGAGGAGTGGCCAAACTTTCCACGCAATCAGAACGACCACGAGAGGCGCCGTCAACTGAAAGAGCCTCAACGCGGTTCTCTGGAACATCGGGAGGTTTACCACCTCACTCCCTGGATCGAAGCATCAGCCTCGATTCGAAGCACAACTGCCTGACCTCGACCGGAGAGCACTTACATATTATCATGCACCTCACTCTCATCAATCTTTGGAAAACGGCACATCCGGCACTTGGGGGGAATAGATGGTAGGTTTTGCAGTCTTGAGGGTTTGTGCCATGTTACTCAGATGACCAGCGTCTGTAAATATAACATACCTCCACACTCTGACAAAGTGTTTGAGAGCCGGTCGGGATTCCAGCAAATGTCATTCGTTCATTCACTTCATCTTCTGGAAGCTCAGCTCGAAAGGGAAACCCCACAAATCACAAGCCTAAGCACTATCTATCTCGACTCTGCGTAAAATATCAGTAGGAGATAGTAAAAACCCCTTACTCGGCTTCGGCGAGGTGTCGTCGGTAGTATCCATCTTCTTCCATGGACGACAAATCATTTTTAGCATGTACTTTCAAAGAGTGACGGCGATTCGTGTCTCGCAAGGCTTGGTCACGAGGGTATATAATATAAGAGAGAAATCTAACAAGTCATGATCGATCACTCAACAACAGCATTGCTCTCGTCTTGATTTCGTATACCATCTTCATCATCATCATCATCGTCATCATATCAGTCCTCGAAGCGGGTAGCGCTCCAAAGCCGGTTGAAGCAGAATTTCCTCGGTGCTGCGGTTGAGTCGATCGGTTGCACCAGATTGTTCTATCGCTTCCGCAGAAGCTCTCTCATGACGTATGCTATGGGTGTCGTTCGTGGCCGGCCGTCCAGAATAGCTTTGACGTCTGGAACACCATGGTCCTTTTGGGGGATGTTCTAAAGGGGCGGTCTACGTCTTTTTGCCGCGCTGCGTCCGCGTAAGCACCGAGGCGTGTTTCCCAGTGGCGCGTGTAGATGCTCTGGCTGTTCTCGACGCGCGAGAGGTGGCAAACGTGCGGTCTGCGCTCGGAGGAGATCGCAACATAAGACGTGGGAACACTCCCGGTCATGTTCGGTCTGCATGTCGTAGGCGGAAGGCCAGGAGCATTGGGGTTTGCTGGAAGTTATGGTAGCTCTGCGCTTGCTGGAGGACAGGCTGGCCTTGGAAAGCGGGCTCTCGCATGGCATCGAGAACCAGCTTGTTGTCGAAGAAGGGTTGCATGAGTGACCAGAAGGGGCGGTGGAATACCCACTACCTCTCTTGTCAGTCATGAGCTCGTGCGACGCTTAGAGGGAGGGTGAAGTTACCAGTGGCTTTGGCTGTCCTCGCACCGCCTCGCTCTTGGAGGGCTTGATGTTGAGGTATTTGGGGACTTTGATATAGGTGCTCAGGATCTGCTGTCCGGTGTTGCCGTCTTCGTAGAGCTCCATGCCTCGATGGCCGGCGGGTTTGGAGAATGCGGGATGTAGATCTACAATGACAATGCTAGGATAGTATGAGTGGATGCGATGCGATGCGCGATGCTTCAAGATGACTCTTACCGTCCATTGGGCTTCAACATGAGTGGAAGAGCGCGCGCAATGGGTTGGAGACTTGGCAACGATTTCAATGTCGTACTGCATGTGACGATGTCGAATTTCCTGATCCATCATCAGTATGCTGAATTCAACGAGGGATGTCCCGCGACGCACTCTTTGCCTTGCATGTAGTTTGCCATCTGGTCAAAGTCCATGAGGTCGATTCGATCGTAGGTAATGCGGTGGTCGAGGTTTTCTCGGACATCGCGTTCGTGACCTCGGGCCATCATCTTCTCGGAGAAGTCGAGTCCCGTGACATGGGCGCCTTTTCGCGCGAACATACGGCCGAGGATACCATTTCCGGCGCCCAAGTCTAAGACCGTCTCGCCGGCTTTCCACTCGGCCAATTCTTCGACTCGCGGGAGGAGACACTGGGTGAACATGTCGTTGCCGTCGTCGTCTTGGATGCCGCTGCTGGACCTGGTGATGGCGGTGGCAATCTGGCCACTGTCGCTGGCGGTGACATTCTGGCCATTGTCGCTGGTGGTGATATTCTGGCCATTGACGCTGGCAGAGGTAGGCTGTGTGACGGTGACCTGGTTGGTCTCCCATTCGCCGGCCATCTCGTCCCAGGCCACGAGATTCTCGCGGTTATACTCGGCAAAGTCATTAACGTCCGGGGTGCCATGCTGCAGCTGGATGTGCTCATGGATGTGTTGCGCCATGATGCGATTAGAGTGGCTAGAAGGTGATGTTGGTGGTTTGGGGGCGGGAGATGTTCAGTTCTCACTTGGACCCCACTTGGTGAAGACTGTGAAGACTGTCAATTGAACACCGTCAACGCCATTCACACTGCTGTCCACACGCTGTGGGCGGTGAAGGATACGACCTTATCATGCCCAAGGGGGGCTGTGTAGAGCTCGCTCAGCCCCCAGCACCAAGGCATTCAAGGCATCTCCTACAGCATCAGCCTCTTCCATTTCTTTTATCCCATGCAGCATCCACTCCACCCTCCTGCCGACCCGCCTCGACTGCACCGGTCAGCCCTTTACGCCTAGTTTCTCTGCTGGCGGCCACAGCCTCTCCTCCACCTCACCCTGCATGCCGCTCCACCATCTACATCTCCCTCACGTCCCTTCACCATCCCTTATCATCCCTCTCCAGGCCGCCATCCCGGGAACGGTGGATGGCGACTTGGCATTCTAGTACTGTATGACTACTACTCATCCTCATTCTTAGCTTTCGGGCTACTCGTTCTCGATACCTCAGCTGGTGTAGGAGCTACAACGCCTGAAACATGGGTCACTCCTTCTCCCGCCCCCCTTCTCCCGCCCATCGCCGCGACATCGAGGCATCCTGTCCTCCCCAACAGCCTCCATCTCGTCCCCACGCCAACGATTCGCATGCCAGCTTTTCTGCCGAGGACGACCGGAGCTTCGAGCAGGAGGGGGAGGAGGATGATAGAGCAAAGCGTGCTCGCGAAGAAATCTCCAAGCTAGATGACGAGTACGAGTGGCTCCATTTCCGGCACGGACCCAAAATCGATAAATTTGGAGACGCCGTCCAACCTCATACAGACGAAGGCGGTAAGTGCACCTTGTATGCGATCCGCCAAATTATCACGAGATTGACCCCAGAACGTTCGTTATTAGGCGAGCCTTATTTCATCGGAGATGCCTACCAGGACATCAATCCAGTCTTTGCTTCCGAATGGGCCATCCCAAAGTAAGCCGACTCCTTCACATGCCAAGGTAGGGCGACGCTCACAACTAGGCAGTCCTGGTCCCTACCTCCGATACGTCAAGCAGCTTGCTCAAACCTGGAAACACCTCGAATACCTGTGCCACTGGATGGAAGTCACCTGTGCGCCTCCCAAATGGAAGTTCCTCAGGCGTGAGCAAAATGCCGCCAGTCGTGAAGAACGAGCGGCCAGGACGAAAGTTCGCGTCATTGACTACACCAACGCCTCTCTTGATGCCTCCGAGGAATATTACGACTGCGCCACTCTCAGAAGAGCACTGGACGATAGCAGACAGACCACCGACGCTCGTCAGACCAGACTGATCATTGCTGAGGATCTCTCTCGAGACCTGGTCGAGACACTGGGTATGTCCATGAATCATCTCACCTCCCGCACACACATACATACATACACACACACGCAGCTGACAGCTTCAGGCGACTACTACGATGTGGACCCACTGTTCTTCGCCTCCCACATTGGCGACTACCTGTTCCACAACACTCGGGATCGATGGGCTGAGCTGCCGACTCTCGACGCGGATGCTAGAAAGATGCCGCATTTCTGTCTAAGCTATCTCCGCGGTCGATACTACGAGCGAGAGGAAGATTTCGAGGAGGCCGAGCGGCAGACCGGCATGTTCAACGTCCTACGTCGTCTGGACAGCGACAGAAGTCGCAAGAGGCTACAGAACGGCCTCATCGACACGCGAGATGCTAGCGTGGCACTCAGCAGGGCCAAGACGTCACTCTGGTGCAAGCCGAGAAAGCAAGGAGATCCAATTACAGGTACGGATCAATAAACACTCCTAGCCTCTGAGCCTGCTGACCGGCATAGCAATCTTACTCGTGGATCCTACTGTGGGCCACGGCCACCCTCTCTGGGGCGGATACCGTCCCTTCACGCAGACGCCCTCGATGCAGAGCTGGCGCGACAACCCGTACCAATCTTTCGACGCGCCGGAACGTAAAAGCCTCTTCGAAGACGTCGTCTACTGGAGTGAAAGAATGACTGCCCAAGACCTCGCGCTGGCCGATAGAGATCCCCGCTGTCTCGCCCTTTCCATGCTGAAATTGGTCATTGCGGACTGGCTCACCGTCCTCAAGTACATGACCTCTACGCTTGGCAAATTGGAATGGGAGCTCGAGGTACCTCACTGGGGAAGAGGCGGGGTCCACGAAACCGACAGATTACTGAAGAAGCTCTCACCGTGGCGCCGTAATGTCGGCTACTACGAGACCATGATCAGCCAGGCCATTGCCCGCCTGTTCCCGCCCGAAGTCAGAGCACCGCTGCATACCTCCGCCCCGGCTGGCGCCAATGCCTTCGACACCCCTCTGCGTCCACCCGACCACTACTGGTCCTACGACCAATCCCACGACACCGGCATCCGCTCCCTCTGGCTCGATTTCCAGAACGTCAAACGCCAAATGGACGAAGTCCAGGCCCGCATCCGCGACATTGAACAGATCGCCTTCAACGCCAGCAACATCGAAGAATCCCGGCGTGCCGTGGAGCAGAACCGCAGTATCGGAACCCTCACCTTCCTCGCGACCATCTTCATCCCCCTGAATTTCACTTCTTCCTTCTTGAGTATCTCCGCGGATTTTTCCGAGGCGCGCACGACCGTCTTGCTCTGGTTTGCCATCGGCATTCCGCTGACGGTTCTGACCTTGCTCGTTCTTAACCTCTTGCATCGCGGCAGGAAGGGGTACCTTCTGAAGGCGCTCCGCAAGTGGCTCCGGGAGTCGGTCATCCAAGCCTATTAGGAATGAGATGCTTTTACTGCTGCTGCTGCTGCTGCCGCCGCGGCTAGGACCAACAGAACTTCCTCCCCGCCTTCCACTGCTCCGGCGACAGAAGCCCCCAAACCGCAGCGCCACGATCCCTTGGGCGTGGTCAGAGAGGGGAACCACCACTTCCACCCACCAAAGGAGAACACTAAATAACGAATTGAGCAAGAATGACCCAACCCCTCAGGTCAAAAAAAGAACGAACGATCGACGAAGCAAATGTATAACGGGTAGACATGATCTCCTATCGGACGAACTGAACACAACAATATATACAGTCTTTATTTTTCAGCTTTGGCGTTCAAACGGGGAGGCAGGGAAGGAAGAAAGTTGATCAGGGATTCCCTGTTGTCTTCTCTTCTCTTCTCTTAGCTCTGGGGCAGGGAGAGCATCACTTATACTTATCCTACACTAGAGAGCATCAGCATCAGCATCAGCATCAGCATCAGCATCAGCATAGGACACGACGCGAGACGCAATAGCACTTCCACTTTCTTGGAAAGTCACAGATCGCCATTCTGGTCTACTGACTACACTGCCTCGTGGCAGGCATGCGAGCTTTTTCTTGCCCATCCTAGAGAGAGTGGGTACAGCAGGCGGTTCATTGTTCGTCATCATCACAGGGAAGAAGTGTCTTAGGATAGATACGAGGCATCAGTCCAAAGTGAACTCGTTCAGATTGCACACGTCTGAGGCGTAAAGAATTACTCAAGAGAGCTTGCAGAGGTTTACGTATGTGTAGACAACAAGTGAAGCGAGAGACCTGGCACGTGCATCACTTTCCACAAATCGCTTTCATGCTACGTCCAGCCATAACTAGCTAGGAGCTAGGTAGCTAGCTGAAATGCACCATCGACACCCAGTCCCCATCTTGGCGCATACATGCATTTCTGACCTGCAAAACGCCTTGCACTCCACCCACCAGTGATCCCATCCATGCATGCCTTACTGCGCCCGAATAGCATTCCCAAGCGCACCACCCGTGAAACCAGAGCCGCCACCCCGCCGCGGCGCACCGCCACCGCCTCCACGGCCACCTCTCGCGCCACCCCGGCCGCCACGGCCTCCGCGCTGAGCACCTTGTCGCTCGAAGGCGTTGGCAGTGCCCTGTGTCCGCTGTTCGAGAACACGCTCGTTGTTCTCGATGAGGTTCTGTGCCTTGTCGCTGAGGGTGAGAGCCAAGCTCTGTAGCCGGCTGAGTTCGACGCCCTTGCGGAAGTTGATGGCGCCGTTGACCTGGTCGAGCGCCGCAGCGAGGTCTTCATGGTGGATCATCTTGGAGACAATGGCAGCGACCTTGCGAGGCTCGAGCTCGAACATGCCCGCCAACTTGTCGATGCTGAGGGTATCGTAGAATGGTGCGTAGGTGAAGAGATATGTCCGTAGGCCTTCTTCTTGGATCTGCTGCTCGAGCATCTCCTTGATCTCTGCTGCCTTGGGTAGCAGGTCCCAGATCTTGATGCTGATGATGAACTCGGCCGCCTTCTTCCACTCACCAGCTGCAAGCGCTTTGGAGGCTTGCATGACGTGGTCGCGCGTGTTCTCTGGTGGGCCGGTAAAGATCTGGCGCTCATGGTACTCCAGCATGCGTCGGTAGGACTTCGAAATGACGCGCTTCTTCAGGTCAGGCGAGCTGCCGGACTGTGCGAGAGTAGGGATTTCCAGAAGCATGGAACATGTCAGGTAGACGCACTCCAAGAGCTCCAAGTTGATGTGCATGTGGAACGGCAGTTGTCTCTGCCTCTCCAAGCGCTCTTGTTCCGGGGTGATCTGAGAGTATCTCTGCATTTGCAGACCTTGAGCCAGGAGTTCCTTCTGGCGCTGGCTGCCACAAATGTCTTGAAGAGCAGTCTGGCACTCGTAGACGAGGCCAGCCCTGAAGGCGCAAAGACCGACTTGAGTCAGCGTTCGGTTGTAGAGGATCTGAGTGTTGACATCGAAGGCACTGATCGTCTCTTGCAGATGTGACATGAGCATCATGTCTCGGGCCTTGTAGTACTGGTCGTGCAGTGCCAGGTGATAGATTTGGCAGAGCATGGCCCGGCCCTTGAGGATTCCCTCGGCGTATTTGAAGAGATACGATGCAAGAGTCTGCACGAGTGTCGTGACGTCCTTGGCCTGTGTGCGAGGCGTGATGGAAGAGTCGAGCTTGTTGTCAATGTCCTTCCAGCTATTCTCCTCCAGAATGGTGACCACTTGGGAAGGCTTGAAATAGACGTGCTCCAGACGGCGCATTACCACGCGGTTGATGTTGTCCTGAGCAGTCTCCAGCTTGGGCACAGCCTTTAATCGCTCAGCATAGATCATGACACGCACAATGTTGGTGTACAGGGCAGTCTCGTCGGAGAGTCGTTCGACGTATTCTGCAGTGTGTGGATCGACGTGTTGTAGCACCCTCGTGAGCTCATCGTCAAGACGCTCGACGAAGGAGACAATGCTGCCAGGCACCTTGAAAAGCTCGCCAGCAGTTATTGTGGGCTGCTTCTCGTCATCTTCCCACTCTTCTGCGCCTTCTGGAACAACGACAATGTCGCGGTTCGTTTCCAACACATTGAGGAGGTGGGCAATCTCTTGCGAAGCCAGCTTCCACTGCTCCTGAGACATTTGCGAACCGGTGCCAGAAGTAAGATCGAAGCGGGTAGCGATCGAGGTCAAGAGAACACGCACCCGCTGGTAGTCATTGACTGCGACATCCAGGAGCTTCTCCATTGTCCGGATCTGCTCCAGACGATCTGTATTCTTTCTGCCTCGGGACTCGACAATCGATCGCAAGTGTTTCAGGATGCTCTCTGGAGTGTAGACCATGGCCTTGCCACCAGCGCCCACCATGGTAAATCCATCATCGCCCGCCTCGATCTGCTCGGCGGTTGGCAACTGGGCCTTCTTGGACTTCTTCGATACTGGCGCAGCCTCCTCGACCACCTCCTCCTTCATGTACTCCACTGGGCTCTTTCTGAACTCCTCGATCTCAGTGGCGTAGTCTCGGTTGTTCTTCCTGATCTTCTGGCGCAGCGCATTCAAGCCCTTCTGCGCAATCGGATTCATCTTCTTGGGTGTGACCTTTTGCTTCTCAAATGCCTCGGCGACGTGGGTTTCGAGCTCGGCGATGGTTTTGATGTACATCTTGGGCGGCTTCCCGTCCAGATCGCGGATCAGAGTGGGCAGCTGGCGATTCACCTTGTCATATTGCTCGTTGATGGCATTCCAGTCCCCGATCTTCTCAGCATTCTCGATCAGACGGATCGTGCCCTCCAGCTCGTCGAAACGCTTGTCCTTGGCAGATTTCACGATGGTTACTCGCTCCTCGTCGCTGTCCTCGGACTCGTCGGATGCTTCACGCAAGAACCGCGAAGCACCAGTCCGACCGCCCTCATCGTCGCTGCTGGAGTCATCGTCATCCTCGTCCTCATCTTCTTCCTCGCTGGATTCCTCCTCGCTATCCTCGGCCTTTTGCTGTTTCTCCTCGTCACTGTACAGCTCCTCCTCGTCGCTGCTGCTGTCGCTTGAGCTATCGCCGTGGAAAAATCGGGATGACATGGTTGCTGGTGATTATGCCGAGAACTTGAAAGGACGGGCGGCTCCCTAGCCTTTAATTTTCGTGGGTGCGCGAAGGAAGGTTTGTGACTCAAGTGAGCCGAAGGTGGATGGTCGAAGTTATGATTGATGCCGCTTCCTTTTTTCCCCGTCGGTGCCAGGCAGGTGGGGCGCCTTGGCGTGAGTGCAGCCTCAGGCTCCAAATGAACCCTAACACGCCACGTTCACATGCTTGTCTCTATACACTAACACGAAGTCATCCACTGTGACACACATTCTGAGTCGAGCGATCGGGAGTATTAGGCGATGTCAAAGGCGAGCCGATGACTGAAATGTCTTGCGCTGACAGCATGAGACTTATGCATTACGTGTTACAATGGCGCCCAACGCTACAGATTCGACTTCGATGCTGCCTCCGGTGCTGGTCGCATGGCCGCCAGCTGATCCACTGTAGCTATTGCACCTTCCACGTCCCCTTTATTGTACAAGAACAGCCCTTGCAAGGCAGCTGTGCTCACGTTGTCTACTAAGCCAGCGGACCTGGCCTTCTGGACGAAGCGCCGCTTGCCCTCTCCGGTGGTATCTTGCTCGGAGTAAAACCGGTCCCACAACTTGCCCATCTGCCATTCGCTCGCATTTCCCAAATTCGCCGTCATATCAACACGTCCTGGCCTGATTAAGGCGTCATCAAGGCGATCGATGTGGTTCGTGGTCATGAAAATGATGCGCTCTTCTGCACTGGCAACGCCGTCTAAAGCATTCAGTAGGCCCGAATATGTTACATTTGCTCCACTGTAGCCATCTTCGTCTCGCTGTCTACGGTTACTGAACGCTGCATCTGCGTCTTCCAACAGGACAAGCGTCCGCGCCGGGACGTTGAGTAGCAGATGGTTCAACAAATCGTCAGTTAGACCCCGCTGACTGAGACTTAGCATGGCAATGTTGAAGTCCAGCTCGCCAGCCAGTGCTTGCACAAAGGACGTCTTGCCTGTTCCTGGAGGACCATAGAGGAGATAGCCTCGCCGATAAGGAATGCCGCGGTCGAGATACCACGTTCGGGCGTCGAGGAATTCGCGTACATCGGTGAGAATTCTATGAGCAAGACCTTCCTCCAGCACGACCGAGTCAAATGGTCTGCGGCGTTTAGGGTCGCCGGATGGCTCCCAGCTCACGTTGCGGCTGGTGTAAACCACCGTTTTACCTTCGGTGCTTTGCAAAGCCATTTGGTGAGCTTCGCGAAAGATATCCTCGAAGATGTTGCGGTAGTAATACAATGTAGTGAGCTTCACGGTCTCGAATGGCTGACCGTTGGCGTCGAAGCTTCTCCCTTCCCGCTCGCGACTGACAGAGATGAAGGCATTCTTGTAGCGCAGGATGTGCCTGCCATGCCCAGGAACAAGAGCAAAGGCCGTCTGCTGCGATCCACTGGCTGTCCTCTGCACCTGAGTCTTGATCTGAAGATGGTGCAGACCAGGCGTGAAGCGTTGGATCAGGTGTTCCAAGACCCCAACGTGCTTCCTACTTCCAGGAGGGGCCAGCTGGGATTGATAGTGGCGAGTCATCCAGTTCAAGACCCAATTGTAGGACTCATCGTGCCGTGTGATTTCCAAATCAACAAGCATGCGATGCCTCACTAGCTCTGCGGCTCTGCGCAGGCCTTGCGAGCCATATCGGACGGCAGCGCCAAGACCAGCAAGGCCAAAGCCGGCAGTGAAGAAAGGATTGTTGAGGAGTTGGGACCAGACGGAGCCATCGCCGCTGCCGATGTCGGCTAGCTGTCTCACCGCATCCTCTCTGTCTCTGGACGTTCGCGCCGGTATGAGGGCGTTCGGTGATGGAGCAGGCGCATTCTGGGCCATCAAGATGCAGTTGTTTGATGTTTGGGAGATCGGATCTTGCCGTCCGCCGCTAAGAATCGGTTGGTGTAATGTACCTTAGTGTCGAACGCGCTAGACAGGGGTCTCGGCACCAGGCACCAAGGCAACAACACTTCATCTCGTTCTCGTTCTTGCATTTCGCCGGATGTCTTCCAAGTTGAACGCCAACCTTAGGTGACCTACCCGACATCGCCATCCACCCGCATTGGCTCCGCACTCTTCCACATGGTCAGCAGCATGGAGAAGGTCACCGTGGACAAGTCGTATTTCGATGCCTTACTCCGACGGTATGTGAAACATGCCACAGACAAACGGCCCTGATTGGCCTAGCCGCTCATGCTGATTGTGACCAACAGAGCGGATTTCGTACGCTCTTCCTCCTCTTTCCCCCTCTTGCTGTGCGGCGTCGTCCAAGGTGCTAACATCGCCATGAAGCACACCTCCGCCCAACTGCTGGGCCGTCCTGATCCTGCCAGTGTCACCATTTCACGAGTCGAGTACGACAACCTTGTGAGTATTGTGGTACATATCGGCCACAAACATTGCACCGACTGACACAATCGGGCAGCTACGCAATGCTCGCGAGTTTGAGATGCTCAAGAACGCACTGTTCGACGGCGGACTTACTCCAGAGACACTTGCTCAATTGATAGCTGGTGCTAGCGTAAACGAACCGCGCAGAGACTCTCTGAACGCTTGGGCCGGTATGGGACACATGTCTGGCTCTCCTCACACTTTGTCTGACATGAGTGTGCAGACGACTTTGACGACACCCAGCCGCCATACAATGGCCAGTCACAATCCCCTTGTCCAACGGCGGGGCCGTCGGGTCTACGAAATGAAGCGTCATGGAGGGCCGGCAACTCGCACTCTGCTTCCAACTACTACGGACACGCCAATGGAAATGACCATCATCCTGCGAATACAAATCTGCGCGTGCCTGGCGCTCGGTACGTCAGCAACGGCGTAACGCCGTCTTCAGTCCCGGACATCGACGACGCAAGCAGCTTCGTGGACGATGCAGGTACAGAGCCGCCACAGAACAATGCTGCTACTCTTCGTACGCTCTATTTCTGCGGATTCCCGGCACGAACCACGTATCGAGACCTGCTTTCTGTCATCAAGGGTGGCAAGCTTCTCAGTGTCAACTTACGGTCTGAGAGAAGCGCCACTGTGTCGTTTCTGGATGCTGCCCCAGACTACTTGGCATGGGTCACGCGCAACGACATCTATCTGCACGCCAAGAGGGTCGACGTGAGATGGGCGGACCGCCAGTTTTCACCCAATGGCCACGTCAGCAACAAAATCGCCAATGGCGCTACACGCAACATCCTGATACGCTCTGCTCTTGACAAGGGTCTTACGGAAGCCTCAATCCGCGAGGACATGGAGCACATACACAACCTGGTCATTATTGATGTCACATTCAAGAATGGCAATGCCTACGTGTCCACAAACTCTGTGCACAACGCTCTGTTTGCTCGGACTTGCATGATGAGCAGAAACACATACAAGGGATGCAAGATTGAATTCTGTGAGTTTCGAGTTGCAATTCTCGGAGCCTGCGGTCACTGACTGGCCTCTAGATCCTGACGAATGCGATGTCCCGTTGCCGGCTCGCGCTCAGTTGCCCAAGCCGATTCCTAGGGAGCCAACGAAGAAGCACATTTCTCTAGTCAATAGATTTGGCATGCTCGATATCGACGGAAGCGACTCTGGCGAAGAGAACCGGGACCCCGACGATCAGATTGGAGATTCTGATGAGGACGATGACGATACCGTAAATGTAAGTTCTTGTTCTTAGCTTGAACGACTACTTCTGCGCGGACGAACGCGTCCCAAAATGCCAAGGACATCGAATGAGATCAGACAGGTTAACGAAGCACAGATCAAGGCTCGTCACGGAGTGAGACTCGACTTTCTCGACTCGGAGAGCACAGCCTAAGCCTTTCATACACCCACAGAGCGTCCTGTTCCAGACCAGGCGCCGTTCGAGCTTCTCTGCGCACCCCAAGGCGCCTTAGCTGTTTCGATGTCTGGCTGTGGACACTACTCGTGTCGTTGCAAGTTTGCTTGTGTTGGACGGGGTTTGGGGGTGTGGGCATCGGTCTGAATATGTTAGAGATACCCTATTAGCGCGACAGAACCTGTACTTGACATGTTTCCCTCAAAGCCATCGTTGGCACTGCGCTCATCAACTACGACGACCACATTTGGGAGAAGAGGGCATCATCGTGAGCTTTGTTATTGCTAGTGACACTTCCCGCGACATTTGCAACTTTAGGACCCAGAAGCTATGAGATCATAAGAAGCCATCGAAGAAGATCGAATGCTTCGCTTTACGCAAAAAATTCCACCGCTGCCGGAGTTACGCGTTTCCTAATTGAAACGTGTGATATCCTTTGGCAGACTTCGAATAAGCTGGAAGACGTCCAAGCTGTCGGGGCATATCCGCACCGGAGAAAGATCTGGCATGTCGATACCTTACCACGACGGGAGCTCATAAGCGTCGCCATACATATCGAACAGATCTCACAAACCCGTCGTTCCAGAGCCTGTCTTCGGTATGTCTGGAAGATACGCTATTCACGTGTTAATGGCTGACATCGTTCCTAGACGGCAAAGCTTTGGGCTCAATAGCTATGTCTATGCTGCAACCGCAATTCGATCGAAATCTGGAGAATATATCATCGTCGTCCTGTTCGCGCCTGTAATCTTGAACCCCCTTAACTTCACCAGGTATTCCCTAATAATATCTACATCCCAATCATAACCGGTGAGTGGGAACAGGAGATTTCCCACTGGCGTGCTTACCATCCACAGTAGTCCTGATAGATCAGTATTGATACTTTATGCGGATTGCTTCTTGTACTCGCGAGCTGAAAGTGCTCGTAGCCCAAGTTTTTGAAACCCTTGGAAAGAAAAACAATACATTGTCGTGTTGAGATCGGTGGGATTAGGGAAACAACCGACATCGTTTTCAAGTGTCATACCCCATCACTGGGGTTCTCCCGAAGCCATTGTCAATTCTGCCGCTCAAGGCAACTGCTCATTGTTGCTTTCGAGCACAGCCTCGCAACCCAAGTTCCGACAGGAGTGTGGTTGAGCTCGACTCGAGCTCCAGTGGCAAGGGATTCTGTTTTTGTGGATGCTCCGGAACGGCGGAAGGGATCTCTCGAGGAAACCGGGTCCGGCTTTAGGGGAATATTGAATGGTTCTCCCAAATGAAGTTGCTGAGATGGGGAGAGGCTCCAGGTAGTTCTCCATCCATGAGGAACTTAGCTCACGCGAAGATCTGCATGATCCCTTGTGGGTCTAGATGATACGGTATTCCAGACACATGGTCTCTTACAAGAATTTCTTTCCTGTGTGGAATCAGCAACCGGTGGTGAACAGAGAGAGTCTAGGTGAAAAGCGAGAGACAGTCTACTAGGAAAGCCCCTTTTCACAAGCTGTTTCAGGACGGCTTCCTTCCCGTGACAATGTACATGCTCCATGTAAGGTAGATCCTGCCACCCTCGGCCTCCTCCGTAGCCTTTCTATGTAGCTCTTTGAGTCCTTCTTCGTCGTAGCCATACTCGGGAGCTTTCTTGGCAGCAGCGACAGCCGACCAGAGAAGAGCCCAGTTCGAGACGGCGACGGTCTCTGTCCTCGTCTCTGCTACCCGATCAATTGCAAAAACATCTTGCATAATGTCCTGGTATCCGTTCTTCTGGACAGTCTGCAGGAGCCCCGGATTGATCCCATCGGGCAGACATTTGCCGTACGGAGTATGCAGGTCAAGGTAGGCTTGGAACAATGCTCTCTGAGCAGCCGTCGAGGCTCCAGGGACGTTCTGAAGCACTCTCTTGTTGGAGAAATCGGATTCGTGCCATTGCAGCCAGCCTCCGGGCTTGAGCATTCGCTGGGCATTCTGAGCGACCAGATTCCAGTCGTTGCCGACTAGAGCGATGACCATGTATCGGATATGAATAATGTCAAAGGCGTTCTCCAGATGGGATGGAATTGGCTGGAGGATGTTGAGCTGCTCGAACTTGCATCTTCCGTCTTGGTTTCCCGGTGGGAATTGATCAGGAGAGATATCGAAACCGGAAAACGTCCATCCCGTAGGGGCGGAGGAGGCCACTTCTCTCAGCCAGATTCCCGTTCCGGTTGCTATCTCCGCGATGCTAGCATTCTCCGGTAAGGCGGCTTTGATACGCGGATGGATGTGAAAGCCAGTATTGGCGACGACTATGCGATGCTGCTGCTCGAGACGAGAGCTCTCTCGCTTGTCCCGTGGTAAGGTGTAGGTGTCAGTTGCAGTCTTCTTGTCCATTGTGTCCTTTGGATATCTCGTCCTCCTCAAGCACTGGTACGGCGGCCTTGCTTCTTATGTTACCTACGTTCTAAGCCCCCCGCTCGATGAGTGTTTCATCTGACAGGGTTATGAGAGTTTGGCTAGGTATTGGATGACAGAGCTTCCAAAGTTTCGTGCGTCAGAGCACTTCCAGGTTCCATCGGGACTTGATCGGAGGTCGAAGGCATTGCAGCAAAAAGCGGTCAAGATTTAGAGCAAGCAGGATTCGGTACTGTCCGTTACCGATCCTTCGTAATCGAGATGAACGTATACGGCTTACAACCGACACTCCTTCTGCAAAAGAAACACCGCGTGCCTTCGAGCCGACTTATGCCGGGTGTACCGGGATGATCATCGTGGCGTGACTGACACGGCGGTCAAGTCTATCGACCTCTAGTACTCGGACCGCCTCGGGGGATCCTTGAAGACGAACGTCCATCCTGCTTGGTTGGGGTCGAGTACAGGGAGTTCTTCTCCAGGAATTTGGTTTTGTAGCAATGCCGGTAAAGTCTTTATAGGTTGATCAAATGGCAAGAATGGGTCCTGCATGTGTGCTGTGAGACCTACGAGCCAACAGTGAGGGCATTATTCGCGGGAAATTCGTAGCCGCAGAGATGTTGTTGTGCCGATATAAGAGTTTCAATGCGTTTCTGACTGCCCAAGACGATGTTGGAGAAAGAAAGGAGTACGGCGAAGGATGGGAGATGAGGATTGACGAGTGCCTCAGGCAGCCATCGGATTCGTGTTTGCGGCGTTCGGGGGTCTCCCTCTGCACTCCTCGCAGCAATATTGACCGACTTCTCTCGAGCTACATACTCAACACACACGACATTTCACTGCAATCCTCTCCTTCTCACCACAATGCGCTCCTCGCGCATTGCCAGCCAGGCGATGCGTCTCGCGGCCGAACCTACACGCAAGCCTTATATCTGCCGCGCATGCTTGGCCCAGGGCGCCCGCCAATTCCACGCATCTTCTCGTAACAATGCAGATGTTCCCTTCTGGAAACGGATGAAAGAAAGCGTCTTCGGTTCTGAAGACGCGACACGAGATGAGGCATCCCGCGAAGAGAAGCAACGCAAGCGACTGGAGCAAGCAGCAGAGGGGGACACAGGGCTCCAAACCAAAACAGACAGGTTTGGCAACGAGTACGTATCTGCGGAGATTGTGGATCCTAGCACGCGCAAGGACTACAAGCCAGCGAACACATGGGAGGGACTGGAAAGAATTGGAAGCGAAGCGTGGGTGCGGAAGAGGGCAGACCAAGGAGAGAAGTACGTCGGGTAAGTTGATTCACGCTCTGTGGATTGCCTACGGCCGTTTTGACTGGGAATTACAGGTTCATGCCGCGAAGGCCATTGCAATTGGCCGACGTGCAATGGCAAAAGCTTCTGCATCACATCACGGTCGAGGTTCTGACGCTCTCTGCAGCTCGCCGGAATGTGCTTCAGATATGCAATAGGGGGACTGTCTCCGCGGAGGCCTGGGCTCTGACTGCGGAAGCTAAAATATACGTCAGGGGCGATAGGGCATTTGCTCAATGGGATAGGATGGGAGCCGAGCAATCATTGCTGGCTAGAATGCCCCGAGGAGAGCAAAATCCTTTCTCGCACGCAGGTTCTGCGCCAGAGTTGAAAGCCGCTCAAGGGGAAGGTTGGCATAAGAGGAGGGAATGTATGAAGGTGTCACTTGGAGATCCCATGGTCAAGCTTGCGGTGCGTATCAACCTTTTCACCAACGGATCAATACATAGACTAACACATACGCTTGCCCAGATCCTGAAGCGTGTGATGCAACTCACAGGCAAGCGCATTCCCGATGTCGCCGTCTCCGACGCCAAAACAGTGCAAGACCTCTATGATGCTTTCAAGACCAAAGAGAAGCCAAAGAAGCTCTATCAAACCGAGGAGATGGGGAGTATGTCAAAGCAATTGCGAAATGTGACGGTGCATCCCGAAAGACAGACATCGGTACACAAGGAGAAGAGCATTGGAAGATGGAAGGTCATCGAGGAGGAATTGGCATTGCGGAATCTGCCTGCGTTCCACAGAACAGGACGTGCGCAGGCACAGCCTCGGTCTGCCTAAGACAGTCTGATGGACGGCTTCAGGACGAACAGGCCGGCGAACACATCGCCTACATCAATAGGTGTGTATCAAAGCATATGTGGAACTGACTGCTTCGCGTTCCATTCGTTGGCCGTTCGCGTTCGTCAAGCCAGCGTCCTGTGTCTTTGGGTCGTCATTCACATTCGGCTTAGCAGCTTTCGTGGCCAACAGCTCCAGATATTCCAGCATTCGAAGATTGTAGTGCAGTTCTTGCGCCTCAGTACTCTGCGCGAGTTCGCGGGAGCAGCCGATGCAAGGCGAAGCGGCTGACTCCAGCTCTGCAGACGAGCTGAGCTGCACTGCCGCCCACAACTTCATCCTCCGCCGCCAACAGCCAGCGGGAGGAGCGCACACCTATTGACATAGTCATTCCGGCATTGGAATGCTCTCGAAGGCTTGTAGTCCATGGCGACAGATCCGAACGAAATACTGGTGGACAGGATGGCAAACGGACCCGTGCGACACACCGTGAATCCGGCGGACTTGATGTTTTCCAGCAACGAACACGATCAATCGGCACCCGTCAACGCGGACGCACCAGATCCACAGGCTCAAGGCAACATCTGGAGTGGCACGCCAGTATACGCGCGAGAACCGGCTGTTTCGTTCGACCAAGCAAACCATCTACCAAGCACCGGCTGGGAGCATCTCATGTGGACCGGGGACCTGAGCTACAGTAGCCACGACAGCAGTCCCGCCGACAATGCCTTCGGTTGGCAAAGTCTCGTCCACCGCTTCGGAGAGCAGGACCTTGCCATGAGCCCTGCGGATGGCTTCGACAGCGCTTCCATGTCGCGGAATGTCTCGTTTGCTACATCGGATCAAAGCTCGTTCCAGACTGAGATTAGCTTTCCCGACAAAAGGGTCGATCGACCCCGACAGACCAGGCCTCATCGAGGGCAAGTGTATGCCGATATGTCTGTAAGTGGCACAGAAGCTGTCTTGGAAGACTCGGACAGCCACGATTCTTGGACTACAGCCGAAAATGTGGGACCATGGTGTGCGCGCTTCAGAGAGAGACTTCTCCAGTTCCGTCGTCATAAAGATCGAGTGTCCGTTATCACTTCGCCCTTGCAGACCCGGCAGCGAACAAAGGTCCACTCGATGGCGAACCTTTGGGGACTGAGCCACACGAGCATTGGCACGGGGAGGAGCAAGAGGATGCTCCTCAGCAAATGCGAGCTCACACCAACCTCGACATCATCAGAAAAGAGATGGAACCCTACCCGTGACAATTGGTCCCGTGGGCTGGTGAATCCCACCATCATACTCGTGGATTTCGTCTCTTTACAACTCAGCTCAGGCCGGATCCAGCAGTGTCTGCGAGAAGCAGGTCTCCCGACCCCGAAGAGGCTGACCATTGACTACAATACCAAGACCTCCCCCATGCCACAGTATGCAACAGTATACGCCATGTTCCAGCGCGTCGAAGAAGCCATGGAAGTCATACTCGCGCTCGACGGCAGTCGGCCGAATTGGAACGGCGTCGACACGACCATGGAAAGCGATTTCGTGCACTTCCCCCCTGGCTTCGACCTCTCCGACACAGCTCTCCAAGCCTTTGACTCTCTGCCCGGACTCATGCGCTCGGAAAAAGCACGACTCAGCCAACAAAAGTCTCTCCTCAAGTCTTCCAACCCATATCCCTCCGAGACCGAGGAAGAAGAAGAAACGGAAGACGACGCCTACCCGGACCACATGTCCTCCAAATCCGCCGCAAAGACTCCCCGCCAACGCTACTTCCGCAACACTTCCCACGGATCTCCTCACTCTCGAGATCCGGGCTATGCCTCGGCCACTTCCCTCCCGTCTGACCACGACCACGATTCGGAAACATCGACGAGTCGAAAGCGAAAACGCATCCCCAAGGTCCCGGGGGGCTTTCCGTGTGCGTTTGAGGACTGCCATCGGGTCTTCGACCGGGACGGCGATCGGCGGAAACACGAAAAGAACCACACGGCGCGACGGCCTCATGCGTGCACGCACTGTGGCAAAGGGTTCCTGTTCCCGAAAGATCTTCGGAGGCATGTGAGGGGGGTACACGAAGGCGGGAACGGAAGTGATACCGGAGGAGGGGGTGGTGGTGGCGAAGTGGAGGAGGATGGAGCTACGACGGGGACACAGCGTGAGTAGGGTCCATGAAAAGTCATATCGGCCTTTTTGAGAGAAGGCGGAATGGAATTGGAGAAAAGCTGACGAGAGTGGGATCTAGCTGTGCCCATCGCGGCGCCACTGCGACAGCAGGATCGATTCCGGAGGCTGTATCAGACGAAGCCATTCGTTCGGGGCACGAGTAAGCTGTCTTCCTCGTACAGCTGATGGAGAACGAGAACGGGAGCAGAGAAATCCAAACTCTACGAGTTTTTGGGTTCGACGCTTCTACTTCTGCTCCTGCTACGCGTGCAGCTACCGCCTCTGGTATCTATAGAAAGGTAAAGAAAGGCGTGATGCGTACATCACCGCTTCCTACCCGTGGGTCTGTCACTCCACTCGCTTCTGCCTGTCTCATCACCCCGGGTCGTTCCGTCATGTATGCGGTTCAAACGTGCTCGAGCACCGCCTGGGCGCCAGTGACGGTAACGCTGGGCGCCTCATCCTCGACAAAGATATGCTTGACAACGCCATCGTCGACAATAGCCGCGTAGCGCTGGGAACGGTGGTTGCCGAGCAGACCAGAAGCGTCGAACGACAGACCGGCCTTGTCAGTGAACTATCCATCCAACCAACCAACCATCAGCAACTTGTCATAACAAACATAACATAAACATAACAAACCCGCCCTCGGAGTAGTAGTGGTAAGAAAAAGAAAAAGAAAAAGAAAAAGAAAACTCACGTGTCCATTATCATCCGCAAGGAAATGCACCAGCGGGTGCTGAATCCCCAACTTCTCCTTCCACGCTTTCGTGGTGAAGGCGTCATTGACGGCTACAATGTAGATGCCCTGGACGCCCTTGGCGGCGAAGCGGTCGGCGTGCTCGCCGTAGCCGGGGACTTGGGAGGAGCAGGGTGGGGTGAAAGCGCCGGGGACGCCGACGATGATGTCTGGGTGGGGAGGGGGTCATCAGTGTCGTCGGAGGGGGGAAGGGCTTGGTTTGCGTGCGTACTCTTTCCGCGGAGGGAGTGCAGCTCGACGGTTCCCTTTTCTGGGTTGTCCTCTTTCAGAGCGCCGGTGGAGGGCAGCTTGTCGCCCTTTTTGAGGGCTTTGTTGCCCTTGAGCTTGTCGACGAGGCCACTGGGAGCGTCGTTAGCGACGATTCGATTTCGAATGGCAGACCTCCTCCTCCCCACCAGAGGAAGACTTACGACATGATTGCAGTGTTTTATTGTGTTGTTGTTGTTGTTGTTAGATTGGAGTTTTGAAACGTCAGTCACAAGGTGAGTGAGGTCAAGAAGGACGCAACAATAATAATAATAAGTAAGGAACCATCAAGGTTGCTCCGCTAGCGTTCGGTGATGAGTGAGGGACAACAACCAGCAGCACCTGTACAATGATGTAGGTAAGTCTAGAATCCGAATCCAAATCCGTTCGACAGATGACGTGCTATCAAATATCGTCAACAACAAAGAAAGACTCGGTCCCTCGGTCTACCGGACTCGATCGGAGCGTCAATCACCTCATACGCGGGGCGGAGGGGCGGAACACAGAAGAAGGGAGCTCGGAAGGATGTCATGCAACGACGGAGGCAGAAGGCAATTTCAAATGGTCACTATTCGGGGAGCCTAGCCTGTGAATCGACTGAATGAGGCGCGATGGATTAGAAAGGCAGCGCCGAGATAGGTCAAGTGCGACTGCAATGACACAACACCAGTGTGCAAGGTACGTACCGTGGGACAGATTCCTGCTGCCGCGTCCTCCACTTTGAACTAATAAGCGATTGAGCATCTCCTAGGCCTCGTCTTTGACCCAACGCAATAATATCCTCACCAGTTGAATACTAAGGTAGTATCTATCCTCTTTGGGAACGGAATGCCTCTGCAAGCTTCTGCTTGTGCCTCCCTCACCTCACCCGCCAGGATTGTGATTCGTCTACAAACAACGGGAACTAATGGATGTCACTCTTGGCGGAGTTCTGCTCACGCAACCGTGTCGCTTTGGGAAGAAGGTGGATCCTCCTCCGTGCTCTGAACGTCCTGCCTCCGAAGGGTCGAAACATAAGGTAAACACGCCGCGGATACCTCCGCCGTGAGCTTCGTGAACTTTCATATCCAATGTCGCTTCGTACATGGTCGTCTCTATTGCCTCATTGCTGTCGTTCTTCATTCAACATCATAACAATCATCTCTGCCACAGTCTGCTCATCCTCATGGCGCCGCTCTTGTTCGGTCCCACGCTGGACCAGCTCCCACTACGCTCTCGTCTCCCAAGAAATTGCGTGCCAGGCCCGCATCTCCATGGTCCTGTCGACTGTCCCTGGCACGTCGTCTGCGTCCTGACGAGCGGTCTCCGCGTCTACCCATTGCTGCGTCGCCAAAGGCGCTCATGACCACGTTCGCCGCATTCTGTACAAAGTTGTCGTTCATGAAGTGTCCACCCGCGTTTCCCAGGCCCCAAGTCTGCACGTCCGCTTGTCCGCGTTGTCCGGGTTGTTCTTCGTCATGACCAAGAAGGCTCGCGAGCTGCATTCGTCTGGCAAGATCCGCATCAGTCCGCTCCTGCTGCCGTCGGTGCTCGATCTCTTCTATGTACGTTCGCTGTCGTCGTCGATGATCCGCCGGCTGCGCATTGAGAGGCAGATGCGGTTGCTGGTTTGCTGGCTCATGCACCCCGAAGGCTCTTCTGTAGATTGCTTGTATCGGTTCCGGTATGCGCAAATCGTTTAAGCCATCTGCGTCGGGCGTCTGTGTATAGTTGAACCAAGGACAATCGCATGTCTTCCATTTCTTGCTGCACACCATGCAAAACTCGGCAAGACAGCGACAAGTCATGTGGTTACTGTCGCCATGACCACGTTAGCTGCTGTCCAGCTTGACCAAGCGTTCAAAAACCTACCATCCTTCTTTGAGCTCAACCATAGCATGACAATTATAGCACGTCTTCCAGCCTTTCTCTTTCGCTTGCTCCACTAGCTTAGCAATCTCTGGATCTTTCGGACACTCGGAAGACTTATGCATCTTTCCATTGCACGACGTGCACACCTTGGTACTACATCGTGGACACTGTGCATACCTTCGTCCCTGAAATGAACGTATATGCGATGGCTTGATCCACTCTCCGCATTTCGGAGCGGTGCAGTAGATTCGATTCTTCGTATGGTATTCCTGATATTTCCTGTTCCAGCTAGTCTTGAATCTCATGTCAAATAACTTCTCGACGTGCTTGAGGGGTATGTGATCCTTGGTACAGCATCTTGGCGGCATGTGGGCCGGATCTTTCACGGACATCTCAAAAATACGTTTCAGACAGTCGTGACACATGCGATGACCACAGGCCAATTTGGCAGAGCGTGCATGAGGAACATCATCCGAGCCACACGTCAAGCACTCAACAAGTCGCGGGGCTGCGGGGACAGGGGGTGCTGTATTGCGACGGAACATGGAGCTGAGCAGCGACGGTGTTGAGTCTCGTTTGCTAGATCTCGTAGACGTGACCCGGGTCGATTCAGAGATGGGCTGCAGTCGCGACGAAGCGTTGCTCCCGCTACGTCTGGGAGAGGAGCGAGGGCTTGATAGTGTACTGGTCGACTCCTTGGCCGGCCGCAATCCAATCTGAGAGACGCTGTCATCTGGGGTCACCTCCGATTCGAAGACGGTGGGTAGATTGTCTCTCCGCGACGAACTCGATCTCGTCGACCGTCGCTTCATGTCCAACTTGGACCCCTCGCTTTCGCCGCCATGTCGTTCGGTAGGGGGAGCTGGCACTCCGTAGACATATTCTTCAGTCCTACTGCGCAGAGTGGGTTTGCCCCGCTCGACTCCAGCCTTATCCACGCTGCTACTCTTGTGCTTTCTCCTCCGCCGTCGATGCTCCCCGCTCACCGACTTCGTTTGTGATGCAGCCGCCTCTTGGTCTTTGGTCTTCTTCGCACTCCTGGCCGCTGACTCTCTCCGTGCCTCGGGCGAAGCGCTCAGGTACAGTAGTCGCTTTCGTCGTAGCTCGTCAAGATCGGGTTTCGGCGCAACCCCTCCCTCGTCACGGGCCTTGGATGTCTTTGGCCTTGCCGTCGCTTTGGATCGATGTGTTCGTGGTGCGCTTCTCATTCCGTGCCGACTGCGTCCACTTACGCTCGCCGCCATGATCAAAGCGCTAACAATGGCATGGCCATACACGCTCCGATCAGCGGTGTATAAGTCAGCGACGAACCTGAGCTCACGAGATTGTCGAGGTTGATGAGGTGTCAGGAATCCTGGTTGGAGATCGCAGCTCCTAGCTCCACCACCCTGGTCCGTGCTTGTGCTAAACCGAACCTGCATTAGCGCCAAGTCGGAGCGAAAAGTCGTAACGGTCGAGTGAACCTGGAAATTGACGCGGTCGTGTGCTGCTTGCGATATCGGTCAATATACCAAAAAGTCTTCTGGCAGACTCATACAAGCTGGCATTGGTACAACAAACTCCAAAGGAGCATCGTTTCACGAGCCGGAGCCGAATAATCGTGCACCACGTCTGTGCGTGACCTGTGCCAATGACTCCTTGAGTCGAGTAGAAAAGAAACTCCTCCTCTCATCAGCCACCGATAGAAGACCAACCGGATAGAATGGCTCTCAAAGCAGACGACGTGAGGCCCGATCCCACTTCAGATCTCCATTGGTCGGACTACCGGGGAGCCATTCACGAGATCTTCGCGGAAAACGCACAGAAGCACCCGGATCGATCGTGCGTAGTTGAGACGGCATCTTCAACTTCACCCAGGCGAGACTTCAGCTATCGAACAATCAACGAGGCCTCGAACGCCGTTGCTCATCATCTCGTCAGCAATGGCGTTCAGCGCGGCGAGGTGGTCATGGTCTACGCGTACAGAGGCGTAGATCTCGTCGTGGCCGTTATGGGCGTCTTGAAAGCCGGTGCAACGTTCAGTGTCATCGACCCGGCATACCCTCCCGACCGTCAGATCATCTACCTAGAAGTCGCTCAACCGAGAGCACTCATCAATATAGAAAAGGCAATCCAGGATGCGGGACCACTGCACGAAAGCGTCAGGAAGTTTATCACGGAGAAATTACAGCTTCGGACTGAGGTACCTGCGCTCAAACTCCAGGACGATGGGTCTGTCGTGGGAGGCGCCTTGGGAAGTGGCGCAGACTGTCTGAAGGAACAGCTCGCCAACAAGGCGAATCTACCGGGAGTCCTTGTCGGGCCTGATAGTAATCCTACGTTGTCCTTCACCTCTGGCTCCGAAGGCAGACCCAAGGGCGTCAAGGGTCGACACTTCTCGTTGGCATACTACTTCCCTTGGATGTCCCAAAGGTTCAACCTGACCGAGAAAGAGCGCTTTACCATGCTGAGCGGCATTGCGCACGATCCCATCCAGAGAGATATCTTCACACCGCTTTTCCTCGGAGCTAGCTTGATCGTACCGCCAGCAGAAGACATCACATTCGATCGATTGGCAAGATGGGCTAGTGAGAACGAAGTCACAGTAACTCACTTGACACCAGCCATGGGTCAGATTCTCCTAGGGAGTACGGAACCAAAGGTTGACAGTTTGCATGCTGCATTCTTCGTCGGCGACGTTCTGTTAAAGCGTGACTGCCGACGTCTGCAACAACTAGCGCCAAACTGCAGGATCAAGAACATGTACGGTACCACTGAGACCCAACGAGCCGTCAGCTATTACGAGATTCCTTCTCTGAATGAGGACGCCGGCTATCTCGAGAAGATGGGCGATGTGATTCCGGCTGGAATGGGAATGATCGATGTGCAACTTCTGGTGGTGGACCGCGAGAACAAGGAACGACAGTGCGAAGTCGGCGAGATTGGTGAGATCTATGTCAGAGCAGGTGGTCTGGCAGAAGGATACCTTGGTGATCCGGATAAGAACGCTGAGAAGTTCAAAGACAACTGGTTTGTGAATAACCAAGGTTGGGTCGATGAGGATAAAGCGAGAGTTGAAGCAGCAGGGAAGTCCGAGCCGTGGAGGGAGCAATACTTTGGTCCGCGAGACCGCATGTACCGGTCTGGCGACCTTGGCCGCTACATGCCAGATGGCAACGTAGAGTGTGTCGGCCGTGCCGATGACCAAGTCAAGATCCGCGGATTCCGCATAGAGCTTGGAGAGATTGACACACATCTGAGCCAGCATCCATTGATTCGTGAGAACGTCACCTTGGTGAAGCGAGACCACAATGAGGAGCAGATCTTGGCATCTTACTATGTACCAGACATGCAGAAGTGGAGAGAATGGTATGCTGAGCAGGAGGAGCGCGCTCAAAGCAAAGCACCAGACGGCACGCTGCAACCTGCGCAAGGGACACCTCGACGCAGAGTGTCCGCAAACGAGGAACATGGACTCGCGGACCGGATGAAGATTTTTGAGCTCCTCACCTCGGATGTCCGTGAGCGCCTGAAGAAGAAGCTGCCCACCTACGCAATTCCTACACTCTTCATTCCTATGCTTCGACTGCCTCTGACGCCTAACGGCAAGATAGACAGGAGAGCACTTCCGTTCCCGGCAGAGGCTGATCTCCTCGGAGCAATGCCAAAGGCAGTCGATATCGAGTCTCGCACCGAGACGGAGTCCGCTCTCGCGGAAATCTGGGCTTTCCACCTCAAGTCACGAAATCACACCTCGGACACGCTGCCACGAGACACCAGCTTCTATGACCTTGGCGGGGACAGTATAATGTCTGTTCAGATTGTTCCAAAGATCAACAAGAAGTGGCAAGGCGCGAACGTGCCCATGTCGGTGATGGCTGGTGGACAGCCTACGCTGAAGAGCGTCGCGAGATATATCGACCGAACATTGGATCCTGTGGGTCTGCGACTAGACACGACTGAAGAGAATGACGAGCAACAAATCGAGCACTACGCAAACGACCTTCCAAACCAAATTGCACAGCTTCCGGCTTCAATACCTGGTGGATCGATGTCCTCAATTGAGGCGGGCATCAACGTTCTGTTGACCGGTGCCACTGGCTTCCTCGGAGCATACATCTTGAACGATGCGCTCATGCGAAATCCTCCGAACCACGTATACGCACATGTCCGAGCACCTTCACCTGCCGCTGGTTTAGAACGAATCAGACAGACCTGCACCGCCTATGGTCTTTGGCAAGATTGGTGGGCAACAGAGGGTAACCTTGAGGTTGTAATTGGCGACCTCGAACAGCCAAAGCTCGGGCTCGGCGATGCGGATTACAAGAAAGTCACAGAAGACGCAGACCTCATCATCCACAACGGCGCAAGAGTTCATTGGCTTATGCCGTACGAAAACTTGAAGGCGGCCAACGTCGCGAGCACGATTGAAGCCATCAAGATATGCACTACCGGCAAGCCAAAGCGACTTTCTTTCGTCAGCTCCACCAGTGCACTAGACACCGATCATTTTGTGCAGCAATCTGATGCCGGTCAAGCTGTGCTTGAGTCAGATGATCTTGCCAGCAGCAGTCAGGGCTTAGGTACGGGATACGGGCAGAGCAAATGGGTGTCTGAGGCCGTCATAAGAGAGGCAAACAAGCGTGGCCTGAACGCTGTAATCATTCGTTCAGGCTATGTGATGGGAGACCCAACCAATGGGGTGAGCAACACCGATGACTTCTTGGTGCGAATGCTCAAGGGCTGTGTCCAAGTCGGGGCTCGCCCTGATGTTGAAAACACCATCAACATGGTACCGGTCACGGGAGTGGCTCGTCTCGTCAACGCTGTCTCCTTCTTCGGCGAGAGCGGTCAGGTCGCGCACGTCGATGCTCATCCCCGACTCACATTCAATCAATACCTAAGCACTCTACAGACCTACGGATACGATGTCCCTCTTCTCCCGTACGACACTTGGAAGCAGAAGGTCGAACGATACGTGGAGGCAGGACACTCTGGCAATGACGAGCTGGCACTGCTCGGTCTGTATCATATGGTCACTGGTGATCTACCTGCTGCGACCAAAGCACCCAATCTGGACGACCGCAACGCTCAACGTGCGCTTCACATTGATGCCGAAATCACCAAGCAGTCCTGTCCTTCGGCCGTGACGCCGGAAGCTGTCGGTACTTACCTCAAGTTCTTGATCGACCGTGGATTCATGCCTCCTCCGAGTGGCAAGGGAACTCGTCTGCCAGACCTCAAACTGGATGAGAAGCAGATGGCAGCTCTGAAGAAGATTGGTGGACGTGGAGGTGCTTCGTCTTAGGAAGAGTCACGTCAATCTTCGTATGTACGGCGGATATGTACCTCCGCAAGCGTTCAAGTATCGGCGCTGCACCTCAAAAGGAAATCCGTCCCTAGACGGCAGGAAGCGAATCCCTGTGCATCTCGCTGAATTGTGAATGTTGTTCCTGGGGACTCCACGATGCGCGTGTCAGTCGTGCATCCCCCGCACCGTCCATCACCGCCTCCAATCTCACTTGTCCTGTGGGCTGTGTCATGGCGACTCGCCCTGTGTGCTGCTTCAGGCTGATTGTGCCGCAGCAAATGCTACCATGCCACCCTCTCACCCGCTGTTCGTCGTTCGTATATCACAGAGCGTAGGTCCGTTCACTTGCAATCTCTGCCTCACACGAGAGGAAGGAGACCGCAATGCCTTCTCTCCTATCCCTCGTCCTGTTCGCAGCAGGCCTGACAACCGCTCAAAACTTCACCCAATCAATCGCTCCCTCGGCAACAGTCAATGGATCCGCCATCCCGAACTCATCGCTTTACACCACCTCCCTGACCATCAACGTGGAAGACTTCTGGAACCTCCGCGTAGGGCCCGTCTCCAGCGCCAACACCACCACCACCGTCCCTGCAACCCCAGTCCCATCGGTCTCTCTCATCCCACCACCGCCACTCTACTACTCTCCCTTCCCGACCGGCGAAACAACGTTTCCGGAGCAGAAGAACGAATCCTGGTCCTTCCCCAGCTCCTTCCTCTGGGGCGTCGCAGGCGCAGCCTACCAAATCGAGGGAGCAGCAAAGACAGATGGCCGTGGTCCTTCGGTTTGGGATAAGCTCTCCCGGGTCCCTAACTATGTCGTGAACAACTACACCGCGGACATCACGGATAATAACTATTTCTTGTATAGGCAGGATATCGCCCGTATAGCGGCTCTGGGCGCGAACACGTATAGTTTTAGCATTAGCTGGAGTAGGATCATGCCGTTTGGGAAGGGTCAGGTGAATCCGGAGGGGTTGAAGCATTATGCGGATGTTCTTGATGCTTGTGTTGAGTATGGGCTGGAGCCGGTCGTTACGCTTTATCATTGGGATACGCCGCTGTTTTTGCAGGATACGTATGGAGGTGAGTAGAAATCTTCTTCGGAGAGAAATTGATGAAGGCCGTGCTGATTTTGGTCGCGATAGGTTGGCTGAGCGAACAGATTGTCGAGGACTTTGTGGAATATGCACGTGTGGTCTATGCTTCGTACGGAGATCGGGTGAAGTATTGGTATGAAAGACCTGCACGGCTCCATCAAAGGGCTACGACTGACGTCTCTTTAAACACAGGCTCACCGTGAACGAGCCCATCGTCTTCTGTGGCCAATATCCGCTGCCAGCACAGTACTTCAAGAACTTCACCATCCCCAACGTCCAGCAACCCTACTGGTGCGGCCACCACGTCCTACTAGCTCACTCCCAAGCCTACCGCCTGGGAAAACAACTAATGCCCAGCTCCATGATCTCCTACAAGAACAGCGGCGGCTACAAGATTCCCCTGACAAATGCCTCCGCAGACGCCGAAGCCGTCGAGCGCGCCTGGGCCTTCACCGAAGGCTGGTTCTCCGACCCCGTCTACCTCACCGGCGACTATCCCTCCCAACTCAAAGCTTTCGTCTCCCGCTTCCTGCCCGACTTCACGCCAGAGCAGAAACACACCCTCAACGGCTCCGCGGATTTCTACGCCCATGACGCCTACACCGCCCAATTCTACTCGGCCCCCGACACCGGAATCGATGCTTGCGTACAGAACATCTCGAACCCGCTCTATCCCTCCTGCACCAACACCACCTACACCTCCGCCCCTGCCTCCGGCAGCTGGCTCATGGGCGCGGCCGCAGACCCGGGCGCTCCCTGGCTGCACCGAGCCACAGAATGGCTGCCGGCCTTCCTCACGGCCCTGCAAACCCGCTGGCCTTCGCCGGGCGGCATCGCCATCACGGAATTCGGATTCGCGGAACCGTACGAGTCTCGAAAGACTCTCCTCCAGGACATCCTCTACGATCCCGTACGCATGGGCTATTTCCACGATTACATGCGCGCCGTGCTGGCCGCCATGGCGGGTGGTGTGCATGTCCTCGGCACGTGGGCGTGGAGTTTTGTGGATAATTATGAGGTGAGTTTTCTTCCCTTTTCTTTCCCATCTATCTTGATCCAAAGCAGTGAAGAAAGAGAGTGAGTGAGGGGATGGCTAAAAAGATTTTGGTGCTTACGCGCGTGTATGTATCTAGTGGGCACAAGGCTTCTCCGTCACCTTTGGCATGCAATATGTCAATTTCTCGCACCCTGCGTTGCCGAGGTATTACAAGGCGAGTTTCTTTGAGTATGCCAGGGCTTTTGAGGTGTATCAGGAGAAAAAAGGGAGCGGAGCGACAGCGCGAAACGACGGCGACGACGGCGACCTTAGGAGAGAAATTCCTGAATAGAAAACTTGAGGATTTTTGAATTGTTGAAAGATTCCATGCTTTTTTTCCC